TCAATCCTCAGTACAAAAATAAAAAAAGAAAAATCAAGGAATAGTACATTAACATGCATATATATGTAAAAATCTAAAGCCCACAGCTCAAATGAGTAAAAGAGGGTGGACTGTGATGTTTAGTATAAATTTTTTCCCTGATATTTTGCCTACTCCCTTTTCTATCATCCTCTTCTTCTTTTTCCCTGTGTATATGTTTTTATCCCTTTCTTATGGATTTTCCTTTCCCTTCCACCTCTTTCTTTCCCTTCCGTGTCTCTCCCACTTCCATCTATGCTCTTATCCTTTCTTTTTGACATTTCTTCCTGTAACTACAAAGAACTGAAATATGTTTTAAAGACTGCACTATGCTGATTTTGTAAAAATTTCTGATTCCTATTCTTGATTTAAAAGCAAACAGTGAGGCTAGAGCTGAAGCTCAGTGGTATTGTTAGCCTAGCATGCATGAGGTCATAGGTCCAGTCCCCAGCAAAACACACACACACACATACACACACAAGAGCAAACAATGTATTGTTTTATGTTTTCCTATTTATAGCCCTTTATTGATTTGTGGCCACCTTTGATTTAGCGACCCTCTAAGGGGAAAAGGTTGCCCATCTTAATGATGATCTTTGAAGACAACATGTAGGCCTGTCCTGGTCCAATTCTTGTTCCCAAGAGTTCACTATAGCTTAATATAGGCTCTGAAAAATCAACCACAGAGTCTGTTTGATTTTTAGATAAATCACAGTACTTTAGATTCCATTAATCTTGAATTCTTTTTAATTTTTTTTTGTATCAGGGATTGGACACAGGAGCACTTAACCATTGAGCCCAGCCCCAGCCCCACCCCACTTTTAATATTTTTTTAAGATGTTGATGGACCTTTATTTTATTCATTTATTTATATGCAGTGCTGAGGATCAAACTCAGTGCCTCAGACACTAGGCAGCAAGCACTCCACCACTGAGCCACAACCCCAGCATCCCCAGTCCTTTTAAAAAATATTTTATTAGAGACAGGGTCTTGCTGAGTTGCTTAGGGCTTCACTAAGTTGCTGAGGCTGGATTTGAACTCATGATACTCCTGCCTCACTTCCCAAGTCGCTGGGATTACAGGCGTTCACCACCTCACCTGGCTTTCATTAATCTTAAACATGATAAAACTATGACTTAGAGATGTCATGCAGCTGCTCAGAACCATGAAAGTGGCAAACGATGGGGCTAGGACTATATTAGTTTTCTATCATTGTGACAAAAATACACGAGATAATTTTCTTAAAAAGGGATAAGGTTTATTTTGGCTCATAATTTGAAAGTTTCAGTTCATTCTTCACTAGACAGTTGTTTCAGAGCTTGTAATGAGGGAGTTCATTGTGGCAGGAGCATGTAGTGGAGGAAGCTGCTGACCTCATAGCACTCAGGAAGCAAAGAGAGTCAGAAGGGCTGGAGTCCCAATATCCCCCTTAATGGTATGCTCCAGTGCCCTAACTTTCTCTTACTATGCCCTACCTCTTTACTAGGCTGCCACCTCCCAATAGCACCACAGGCTGGAAACCAAGCCTTGAACACGTGGGGCTTTGGGGAGGCACTTATCCAAACCACAACAGACCAGAATCTAAATTTAGAGATTTATAAAATGAAAGAATGGTATTTATTTCTATATTACAATGCTATACTAAACTTGGATAAAAAGGAAAGCCACTCTGTCAAAAAACTTATGAAAATATAACAAATAGTAAAGGCCCCTTGAAACCTTTACAGACTGTTGGCCATATGGATCTATAAATTGTGGAAAGAAGATGTATCTCAGGCGTGTTCCTCACGTGTGTGTGTGTGTGTGTGTGTGTGTGTGAAAAATCTCTGTGATTCATTTGACAATCGTTGATTATATTGCCTTTAAAATTTTTCTTCTTCGGGGCTGGGGATGTAGCCCAAGTGGTAGTGCGCTCGCCTGGCATGCGTGCAGCCCGGGTTCGATCCTCAGCACCACATACAAACAAAGATGTTGTGTCCGCCGAAAACAAACTAAAAAATAAATGTTAAAAATTATCTCTCTCTCTCTCTCTTTAAAAAAAATATTTTTCTTCTTCCCTTTATCATAAGAAAGGGCTATTACATAAGAATTTCTAGATTTTTTGACACAATATTTTGTCATTAAGATTTGCAATAGCTTTTCAAATGTACAGTCTAAAATAGCAGTTTCTATTAAGGTTTTCTTTTTATCAGGCTCTTCACCCTGTTTGCTATTGGAAGGGGTACTAGAAGAATTTTGTCAAGTTATTGTCACATGGGGTGTAGGGACAGAACTGATCATGGGGGAATAGGAAGAGTTCATTTTTTTGATCATATCTTGGAAGAGAATCTATGCTACTATTACTAACCCTTGATTAATGTATTGAAAAAGGTAAAATTGAGGACATTTGAAATGACTAAAAAAGACATTGGCACCAAAATATGAACTATTTTACTAGAGCTATTTATTTGAAACCAGACATGAAAAACAGAAGCAATGAATGTTTTAGGTTTAATTATAGAAATTCAAATAAAGAGATGAGATGGCAAATATGAGGTTCAAGGGAGTTTTATAAAAATAGGGATTACATACAAGTCTATACTATAAGAATTAATGATTCCTTAGTGTGTCACATAGGTCCTCCTGATTTTCTCCACAGTGTGGGAGTCAGGTACTGTCTGCTACATGACCCTGGTAGAACAGTAGGAATGTACTTCATCAGGCCTGAACTGAATACTCCCATTCTAGTTTTCAAAATCTGTACGATAAGGCAGAAACCCTTTTTCTCTAAAAAAAAGGAACCATTTTATTAGAAAAATCTTAAGTTTCTACTTTGGAAATTTATTGCCAACTACTATTGATTCTGCCATTTTGGTGTCTTTTACATACATCTGTCTCTCTCAATGCTAATCGATCGCTACAGCCTTTGTTCAGACTTTCAGTTTTTTATTAGAATTCCGTGCTACCCATACTCCAAATTGCTGCCAGACTGATTTTACTAATTGGATGGTGTTACTCTCCTGTTTAAAATCCTGCAATGGCAAAGTTCAAATTTCGTAACCTCTCCTTACAGATTATTATGATTTTCTTGCTAATTTCTTCAAATTTAAATGTCATTACTCCATTTTTTTGTCAGAACTGAATTTCCTGCCCTTTTCTAGTTTCTTATGATTCTGAGTCTTCTTTTATGCTATCTCTTGTGCCTAGAATGGTCCCTTCTTCACTTTCCATTCCTTGTGTGTCCTCTCCTGCCTAGCTCTCATCTCTAGGGAAGTGCCTCTGTTAATCTCCTTCTCCTGTCAATGCCCCATTACCTGTTTTATCATCTTGCATTATTGATCTGTCTTTCCTATTAGACCATCATCTACCTGATGTCACACATCATAGCTTTTAAACTTTTATCTGTAATGTTTAGCACAATTTAGAACATGTAAACCATAAATATTTGTTGGGCAAATAAATCTCTTTTAAAAGATTAAAAAATTGTATTGTGTAATAGAAAAACCTGCTGTTTTAGATTTTTTGCTGCTGAGACTAAAAGATCTGACCAGAACAATTGTAGAAGAGGAAAGGTTAATTTGAGGGCTCATGCTTTCGATGGTCTTAGTCCATAGAGGGGCGGCTCCACTCCTCAGGACGCCGGATGAGGCTGAACATCATGGCGGAAGAGTGCAGCGAAGGGAAACAGTTCACATCATGGTGATCTAGAAGCAGTGAGAGAGACTCTACTCACCAGATACCAATATATACATAAAAGCCACGCCCCAATTCCCACCTCCTCCAGCCACACCCTACCACTTCAGTTAATCCTATTAGGGATTAACTCACTGATTAGGCTAAGGCTATAACCCAATCATTTCTCCTTCAAACCTTCTTGCATTGTCTCACATGTGAGCTTTCAGGGGACACCTCACATCCAAACCATAACACCTCGATATCTTGTGACCTTGTAGGATAATACCACTAAAAACCTTTGAAGTCATCTTGTCTCTTTGTGAATTAAGGCACAAATAATACCACTTTTATTTATTTGCTTAGCTATTTTGATGGGTTAAAAGTGACCAAAAGATTCATCTCAGGAAATCGGAGTTTCCTTCTTCTGTCCTAGTAGAAACTGTAGCCAAATTAGGAAGATTCATGTCTAGCATAGGTTGTTCATTGAAGTTCTCTATGCTTATAATTGGTGCACATTTGTGATGTGTCAGGCTCTGGACATAATGCTGGATGTTAAAAGTAAAGTAAAGAAGATACAGGCTCTCAGTGTCAAAGAAATAATAGTCTTTTGAGCAAGTTCATCCTTAGAGTTTTTGAGTTATTATGTGAATTAAATAAGATGTCATATTAGTCTTTGAGTTCTGAAGTTAGTCCTAGGTAAACACTAGATAGTCTCTGTACTATTATTAACAGGAATAGTATCCCAACTATGACTATGGCTTGATGTATTTAAATGAAATCAGTCAGCAGAATGGATTATTTATTTCTCCTCTGGTGATAAAGGTATTTTATTATGAGCTGGAGTTTGTGGGAAACACTACTTAATGGATTGTTAGCTAATAGATAATTTGAAATATTTTAAATGGTTTTGTAATTTTAATTAAATAGATATTTTTTTCTAAATTTCTCAATGTTTTCCTTTCTGTGGCTTCAGATAGTATCTCCTTTCTCTTTTGAGGTAGTTGACAATAATAATTTAAGATACTCAAGAAATTCTCTAGGAGTAAAATATGTTTGATTTGTGCACACTTACAAAAAATTCAGAGAATCTGTATTATGGATCCATCTTACAATGTGAGACTAAATTTATGGTATATATCTTCAACCTCTATTCATTTTTAGTTTATAAGTAGTAATTTTTATTAGGAAATAGCATTCTTGTATTTCTTTCCATATAGCTGCATGTAGCATCCAGCAGAAATTTACTGTGCTTCATCAATGAGAGTGGAGTAGAAATAATCACATTCAGAAGCAGGCAACACTGGCAATTACTCTTTTTTGTTTTACAGAGATGAGCGAAATCAGTCCATCATTGTAAGTGGAGAGTCTGGGGCAGGAAAAACAGTCTCAGCTAAGTATGCCATGCGATACTTTGCAACTGTAAGTGGTTCTGCCAGTGAGGCCAACGTTGAAGAGAAGGTCTTAGCCTCCAACCCCATCATGGAGGTAAGACAGCAGTATCCTGGGCTTTCGAAATATATTCTGTTATTAGGAAACATACTGAAAAAACTAATTGATATGTCAGATAATCAGGGGCCTCCCAGCCATTAAAATTAGAAAAATACCTTTCTACATGTTAGTAATACATCCAAGAAAAGTGAAAATTATGTAAGGTGATTGAGTAAAGCCCAGCCATCAAAAAATCTGCTTTAATTCAAAATCTTATATTTTTAACCTACCAATAGAATTGTTGCTTGTGATAACAGGTAGCAGTACTTTGTTTTCTAAAGTTTCTTTCTCTTAGTTAATTGATCGAACCTATTGTTCTGTGTACCAGAAGTACAAGTTACTTATCCCCTGCCTCCTGAGTTATTTATGCTCTTTCCAAAACATAGGGTTTACTATGTTCAAGCATGAATGAACTTCATTATTTCTTTATTCAGAGTTTATTTTCTGTGCTTAGTCTGACCTATTTGGCTTTAAATTTAAAGTTTTCCCCTAATTTGAATTATAAACTTAAACCATGACCTCATAAACATTTCTTCTTCTTCTTTCTTCTTTCCTCCTCCTCCTCCTCCTCCTCCTCCTCTTCTTCTTCTTCTTCTTCTTTTGTTAATCACATAACACAGATATAGGTTAGTAAAAGAAATTCAGTGATTATAAGTTCTTGGTAGTGAAAACCAATGAAAGGACAATGTGCTTTCAAAAGTCAAATAGGTATACAAGATAGAAATGACTATGCCAAAGAAAATATTTTATTTGAATGTAATTTTAAGAAAGTTATAGTTTTGTAAGAAAATGAGGAAAAATAAGTTTTGTTAAATGGACAGAAATTAGTTTGGACATACAGAAACAAACCTTGCTATTTAAAAATTCAAATGGGTATTTTTTTTATACCTATTTTTTTCCTTTGTCAATCCTTATTTATCACCTAAACACAGATGGAGTTAAAACTGGCGTGGTGCACCTGTGGTACAAGTGGTTTTTGCAATAATCTGTCCAGAGGTAAATTGTGCCTGGTTTGCAGTGCTGTGTGTGTCACTTGAAAACACAATGCTGTGAACTTCGTCTATACAGGATTGCTCTCCAAGATATGTTGGGGAAGTTGAGAGGCCTCCAAGGCTGGTATGCTATGGAAAGAAAACTGGAAAAGTTTTCTGAAATAAATTGGATAGGAAGAAGCAGATGTTTGTGCTAAAAGAAAGTACTGAGCTCTTCACAATGGCACACACCTATAATACTAGCTATTTGGGAGGCTGAGGCAAGAGGATTGCAAGTTTGAAACTAGCCTCAGCAATTCAGCAAGACTCTATCTGAAAATCTGAAATATAAAATATATTTTATCTGAAAATAAAATATAAAAAGGGATGGGGATGTAGCTCAGTGGTGAAGCACCCCTAGTTCCAATTCTTGGTACCAACAAACAATTACACAAAAAGAAAATAGTGAAGATTTTAAGCAAATTAAGATTTTCAAAGTATTTAGCTCTGTATGTAGTGGTGGGTATTACTGACGTTATTATTAGGTAAATAGTTTATGGAGCCAGCTTTTTTTTTTTTATCAGAAAGCAACAATGCTTTGTTTTATCATGACAACATACTCCTAGTATTTGGCAATAGTTCAGGCCATTCTAGTCCCTAATGTTAGAATATCCTGAAGTCTTTATTGTGATAGCATTAGGAAATTCCATGTCTTCTAGGTTAGACCACATAAAAGTATGATTTGGATTTGTCTTGGAGACAACTTAATCCAGAATGAGCCTTTTAGAATGTGTCAAAAGATGACCTCTGGGCTGGGGATGTGGCTCAAGCGGTAGCGTGCTGGTCTGGCATGCGTGCGGCCCGGGTTCGATCCTCCGTACCACATACAAACAGATGTTGTGTCCGCCGAGAACAAAAAAATAAAAATATTAAAATTCTCTCTCTCTCTTAAAAAAAAAAAAAAAGATGACCTCTTTCAAAAAAACAGTCATATTAATGTTTCTATAGTTCAAGTTTGAGTTGTATGAATAGAAATGATATTAAAATTTTAGGATGGACACAGGGACTACTTTTTAATAAGCAGTTATAAAGAATTTGTCCTGTTTACTGGGATGAAAAAAAATAAATAAAGTGATCCAATAATTGATCCCTTCTTTCTGTACTGTCATTTAATCTGTAGGTATTTGGGCTAAGAAAAATTTGGTAAAGAGAGAACTAATTTTCAACAACTATAAAGAGAGCATCTCAGTTTGTGAGGCTCTAAGCAAAACAAACATACAAAAAAAGACTTGGAGCTTAAGATTGACAACAAAGGGTCTATAGTCACTAGAAAGAAAAGCATATAAAATATTGAATATGAAGCCTATAAAGTTTATAAGTTTAAGACTGACAACAAAGGGTCTATAGTCACTAGAAAAAAAAGCATGTAAAATATTGAATATGTAGCCTAGAAAGTTTATAGGTTTAAATGTGCTATAAGACTATGTCTCTATATTAGAGCCCATTACTGTGATATCAAGAAAGGAATGTTCAGGTATCCAGTGATCTGCAGAAACTCCTTGGTGGGATAATGGGCATGCTGCACATAGTTAACAACATGACCCAGTGGCTAAAGGGATTTGTTCATTATCCTTTAGAAAGCAAACACCTTGTCCTAAAAATAGTCTCCTTTGGCAAAATGTAAATGATGTAGCAAAATTATTCTTTTTGCTGTTTTATAACATGTTTTTTCTCTTGGAAGTCTTTTTTTGTATGTTCATTTTGCAGGTTACTTGGGATTGAACCCATGGGTGTTTTATTTACCACTAAGCCACGTCTCCAGCCCTTTTTATTTTTTATTTTGAGATGAGGCCTCACTAAATTGCTTAGAGCCTCACTAAGTTGCCTAGGATGGTATTCAACTTACAACCCTCTTACCTCCCAAGTCACTGTGATTATACGCCTGTGCCACTGTATTGGGCTCAGGTTTTGTGTGCGTGTGTGTATATGTGTGTGTGATATTAAGAAGGGTAATAACATATGAGTACATGTCTATAATGAATTATATCAGACTATGTCAGCTCACATTGTAATTTTGCTGAAATGGTAGCTTCCAGTCATTCTTTTTTTTTTCTCTAGAAAAGCATTTAAAATATTTATCTAAGTTGTAGCAGTATCCTCATTGCCAAAACAAAATATGATGATATCTGCCCTCTTCCAGAAATTGAAAATACATTTTCTTTGACTGATCAGAGAATCTAGCATGATTTTAGCATGACTTTTTTTTAGATGTATTGCTACTGTTTGTTTTACTCTTTTAACACTCCACACTGTTTTCACATCTTTCTCTTTGCTATGGTTTTGATATACTAATATTAATAGAGGCTTTGCACAAGTGAAATCTATTGCTCTTATATGAAAAAAGTTGATTAAACATTTTACATATATGCATTATATGAATATTTGCTTTTTAAACTATACTATTTTTTTTTGCTTTACCTTAGAAAAATTTGAAGAAGCATAACACTTAAATCAGTAAGAAGACATGCATTTTAATTTTTAAGATTACATAAAAATGTAGCAGAAAGTTATATTGTCCACATTACACGGCAGATGCTTTGCAAGTTAGATACTACCATCAAAAATCAAAGCCAGAGAGCTGCCAACCACGCCTGCAAGGTAGGCGGGCCTGCGACCCACTGGCAGAACAGGCGCAGCGGCCTGCTGAGAGGCAGAGCTGCCCCTCCCCACCGCGCCTGCAAGGTAGGCGGAACTGTGACCACCGAAGGAAAAGGCCCAGTGGCCCGCGGAGGGGCAGAGCTGCCAACCACGCCTGCAAGGTAGGCGGGCCTGCGACCCACCTGCAGAACAGGTGCAGTGGCCTGCTGAGGGGCAGAGCCGCCCCCTCCCCCCGCGCCTGCAAGGTAGGCGGAACTGGGACCACTGGCAGAACAGGCCCAGCGGCCTGCTGAGGGGCAGAGCCGCCCCCTCCCCCCGCTCCTGCAAGGTAGACGGAACTGTGACCACCCACAGAACAGGCCCAGAGGCCTGCTGAGGGGCAGAGCCGCCCCCTCCCCCCCTGCAAGGTAGGCGGACGTGTGACCCACCGGCAGAACAGGCCCAGAATTCCGCGGAGGGGCAGAGCTGCCCCACGCGCCTGCAAGGTAGGCGGACCTGTGACCACCAACAGAACAGGCCAGACCTCCAACCGACAGACAGAACAGGCCCAGCGGCCTGCGGAAGGGTAGAGCCGCCCCCCGCCCCCCCGCACCTGCAAGGTAGGCGGACCTGCGACCCACCGGCAGAACAGGCCCAGCGGCCTGCAGAGGGGCAGTGCCGCTGCCCGCACCTGCAGAGTAGGCAGAACTGCGACCACCGACAGAACAAGCCTAGCGGCCCGCAGAGGGGCAGAGCCGCCGCCCGCGCCTGCAAGGTAGGCGGACCTGCTACCGACCGGCAGAACAGGCCCAGAGGCCTGCCGGCGTGGTAGGCACATTGCCCCAATTGGAGGAGGGGCAGAGCCGCCGCCCGCGCTGGTAAGGGAGACTTTGCAACTATACAAGAGCAATATAAATATATAGGGGGAAAATTCAATAGCACAACAGTTTCACCAAGCGGAAAGAAACGCGAACAGTATGAAGAGACAAGGAAAGAAAGGACCACAAGCAATGCAGGTCAACTCAACATTAGAAGAGGTAATATCTGCAGCAGATGCAATGTCAGATAAAGAATTCAGGATATACATGCTTCAGATGATCTGGAGTCTCAAGGAAGACATCAGACAGCAAAATCAGACAATGAAAGATCACTTCAACAATGAATTACATAAACAAATCCAAGAAGCAAAAGATCAACTATACAGGGAGATAGAGGTTATAAAAAACAAACAAACAAAAATCCTAGAAATGCAGGAAGCAATAAACCAACTTAAAAACTCAATTGAGAATACTACCAGCAGAGTAGAACACTTAGAAGATAGAACATCAGACAATGAAGACAAAGTATTTCAACTTGAAAAGAACATAGACAGCTCAGCAAGACTGTTAAGAAACCATGAGCAGAACATCCAAGAAATATGGGATAACATAAAGAGACCAAACTTAAGAGTCATTGGGATACAGGAAGGGACAGAGTTTCAAACCAAAGGAATGAGCAATCTATTCAATGAAATAATACGAGAAAACTTCCCAGACTTGAAGAATGAGACAGAATCCCAAATCCTAGAAGCCTACAGGACGCCGAATGTGCAAAATCATAAGAGATCCACACCTAGACACATTATAATGAAGATGCCCAACATACAGAATAAGGAGAGAATTTTAAAAGCTACATCACCCTGATTCCTAAACCAGACAAAGACACTTCAAAGAGAGAAAACTACAGACCAATATCTATAATGAACCTAGATGCAAAAATCCTCAATAAAATTCTGGCGAATCGGATACAAAAACATATCAAAAAAATTGTGCACCATGATCAAGTAGGATTCATCCCTGGGATGCAAGGCTGGTTCAATATACGGAAATCAATAAATGTTATTCACCACATCAATAGACTTAAAAATAAGAACCATATGATCATCTTGATAGATGCGGAAAAAGCATTTGACAAAGTACAGCATCCCTTTATGTTCAAAACTCTAGAAAAACTAGGGATAACAGGAACATACCTCAATATTGTAAAAGCAATCTATGCTAAGCCTCAGGCTAGCATCATTCCGAATGGAGAAAAACTGAAGGCATTCCCTCTAAAATCTGGAACAAGACAGGGATGCCCTCTCTCACCACTTCTGTTCAACATAGTTCTCGAAACACTGGCCAGAGCAATTAGACAGACAAAAGAAATTAAAGGAACAAAAATAGGAAAAGAAGAACTTAAATTATCACTATTTGCAGGTGACATGATTCTATACCTAGCAGACCCAAAAGGGTCTACAAAGAAACTATTAGAGCTAATAAATGAATTCAGCAAAGTGGCAGGATATAAAATCAACACGCATAAATCAAAGGCATTCCTGTATATCAGCGACAAATCCTCTGAAATGGAAATGAGAACAACCACTCCATTCACAATATCCTCAAAAAAAATAAAATACTTGGGAATCAACCTAAGAAAAGAGGTGAAAGACTTATACAATGAAAACTACAGAACCCTAAAGAGAGAAATAGAAGAAGATCTTAGAAGATGGAAAAATATACCCTGTTCATGGATGGGCAGAACTAACATCATCAAAATGGCGATATTACCAAAAGTTCTCTATAGGTTTAATGCAATCCCAATCAAAATCCCAACGGCATTTCTTGTAGAAATAGAGAATGCAATCATGAAATTCATATGGAAAAATAAAAGACCCAGAATAGCAAAAACAATGCTAAGCAGGAAGTGTGAATCAGGTGGTATAGCGATACCAGACTTCAAACTATACTACAGAGCAATAGTAACAAAAACAGCATGGTACTGGTACCAAAACAGGCGGGTGGACCAATGGTACAGAATAGAGGACACAGAAACCAATCCACAAAACTACAACTATCTTATATTTGATAAAGGGGCTAAAAGCATGCAATGGAGGAAGGATAGCATCTTCAACAAATGGTGCTGGGAAAACTGGAAATCCATATGCAACAAAATGAAACTGAATCCCTTTCTCTCGCCATGCACAAAAGTTAATTCAAAATGGATCAAGGAGCTTGATATCAAATCAGAGACACGGCGTCTGATAGAAGAAAAAGTTGGCTACGATCTACAGTCGGTGGGGTCGGGCTCCAAATTCCTCAATAGGACACCCATAGCACAAAAGTTAATAACTAGAATCAACAAATGCGACTTACTCAAACTAAAAAGTTTTTTCTCAGCAAAAGAAACAATAAGAGAGGTAAATAGGGAGCCTACATCCTGGGAACAAATATTTACTCCTCACACTTCAGATAGAGCCCTAATATCTAGAGTATACAAAGAACTCAAAAAATTAGACAATAAGATAACAAATAACCCAATCAACAAATGGGCCAAGGACCTGAACAGACACTTCTCAGAGGGGGACATACAATCAATCAACAAGTACATGAAAAAATGCTCACCATCTCTAGCAGTCAGAGAAATGCAAATCAAAACCACCCTAAGATACCATCTCACTCCAGTAAGATTGGCAGCCATTATGAAGTCAAACAACAAGTGCTGGCGAGGATGTGGGGAAAAGGGTACACTTGTACATTGCTGGTGGGACTGCAAATTGGTGCAGCCAATTTGGAAAGCAGTATGGAGATTTCTTGGAAAGCTGGGAATGGAACCACCATTTGACCCAGCTATTCCCCTTCTCGGTCTATTCCCTAAAGACCTAAAAAGAGCATGCTACAGGGACACTGCTACATCGATGTTCATAGCAGCACAATTCTCAATAGCAAGACTGTGGAACCAACCTAGATGCCCTTCAATAGATGAATGGATTAAAAAAAGTGGCATTTATACACAATGGAGTATTACTCTGCATTAAAAAATGACAAAATCATAGAATTTGCAGGGAAATGGATGGCATTAGAGCAGATTATGCTAAGTGAAGCTAGCCAATCCCTAAAAAACAAATGCCAAATGTCTTCTTTGATATAAGGAGTGTAACTAAGAACAGAGTAGGGACGAAGAGCATGAGAAGAAGATTAACATTAAACTGGGATGAGAGGTGGGAGGGCAAGGGAGAGAGAAGGGAAATTGCATGGAAATGGAAGGAGACTCTCAGGGTTATACAAAATTTCATACAAGAGGAAGTGAGGGGAAAGGGGAAAATAATACAAGGGGGAGAATTGAATGACAGTAGAGGGGGTAGAGAGAGAAGAGGGGAGGGGAGGGGAGGGGGGATAGTAGAGGATAGGAAAGGCAGCAGAATACAACAGACACTAGTATGTCAATATGTAAATCAATGGATGTGTAACTGATGTGATTCTGCAATTTGTATACGGGGTAAAAATGGGAGTTCATAACCCACTTGAATCAAAGTGTGAAATATGATATATCAAGAACTATGTAATGTTTTGAACAACCAACAATAAAAAATTAAAAAAAAAAGAATAAAAATAAATAAATAAAAGTTAAACTTAAAAAAAAAAAATCAAAGCCAAATTTTACTTTCTCAGGTTTCTGAAAGAGGCATTTAAATTGAATAGGTAATACTTATCCTCTGATAATAAGAAGTCCAACTGGACCTTTGTTGCTGTAGGATGGATGAGATGAGAGAAACTTCCAGTTTCTAAAGAAACCCTGAACATAAGAGCAACATTTCCAGGAAAATATTAATTTGGCTTAACCATCTCATTTATACTAAACTAAATTTTTCAAGAAATCAAAATCTTGATGCTTAACTCATAAGGCTTGTATTTTGGTAACTCCCAACCCTACCCCATTCTTTCTTCACTGGAATGAATGTATGAATGTATAGAATATGAAAATCTCCAATTGCTGGGATCAGGTTTACTGTTCTGAAATTCATTTTTGTGAGAATAACAAGACAAATAAGAATGATTAGTATGTATTTGTATTGTTGTGCAGTGGGCAAAGCATTCATCTGTACCTGCAGGAGCAAAGTTGGTTCTGTACTTAAAAGAATCATTTTTAAATATTTATGTTCAATTTTCTTTTTTCTATCCCTGAATAGACATTGTAATTGTCATGTCATGAATTGCACTTCTAAACATCTTAATTTTTTCCCTTGCTTCTTAGTCTATTGGAAATGCTAAAACAACCAGGAATGATAATAGCAGTCGCTTTGGGAAGTATATAGAGATTGGTTTTGATAAGAGATATAGAATCATTGGTGCCAATATGAGAACATACCTTTTAGAGAAATCCAGAGTGGTGTTCCAGGTAAGCTGGGCATGTACATATGTATGTATACTTATGTTAGATTGCCACATAATTGCAGAGCTCATGCTTGCTGGAGTGGAATAAATTTTGTTTCTAGACACTCAAGAACACATTGTGATAGTATTCCTGCAAACTATGCTTGGACTAAAGCATGTAAAATGGTGCCTGCAGGGGCAGAATACCCCATAGACTTACAGTCTTTGAGCGCTGATGTAGATTTAATAGTTTTGACTTTTTTCTACAGATGTTTGTTGAAAAGTCTGCTTACGAAGAGGCACTATTAGTTTAGTCTTGTCTCTCTTCTTTCCCAATTGATGAGGAACAGATTGACTTATGTCTACAAGGAGTTACAGCTTGAATTCAGCTAAGAAAAAAGTTATCTTTGTCCTTTTTACTATATTTTTTCTTAGAATATTATATTGTTTAGATAGAAAAGTGAGGGATTAAAAATCTTTATAACTCAGTTGTGAACTATTATCAAAAATAAAGTTGATGAATTTGTGCAGAGTTTGTATTCACATGTATGCCTTTAGTCCTTTTGATCTGAAAGGGCAAAATACTATGCATTTGCAATACTAGCAGATGTATATTTACAGGCATACTAAAGGAATGTATATTTATCATTAGCAAGCTCCTGGTGACCTACTATATCCCTATGTTATCAGATCTGTAGTTTCAGTATCCCCTTTAATTGGACGCCCACTGCATAGAGAGTCAAATACTGCTGGCACTGCCAGGTATCAGGGTCCACAATTTCCATTTTCCAAGCCTGTTATGGCTTAGAAAGTTATCTGGGACATACCAAAAGTCACACATTGGGGAAGCCTGCATCTACAATGGCTTTGACTTTAGGGTTGTGCCTCATTGATGACTAACTAAAATATAATACTCAATTTATATAATAAGGCACCCTTTACCATTGTTCTAATATCTAAATGCACACAGTGATTTTCTTGCATATGTAAATACTTCTACAGATTTTTGGGAAAACTGTCTAGTTTAGTAGCCTGAAGAACGAATGAATTTGAATGAGACATAGGTAGATCTAAGAAAAGATTGAATCCAAATAGTAAATATTTGATTGATATATCATTAAAGGTGATGTGGATAGGAAAAAAACATCCTTGGTCAGTATGTTGGCCAAAGGCTAGCAAGGCTTAGTACAAAATTATAAGGCCTAATCTGTATTGTCTTGTCTGGAGACAGTGTAGTCATTCTAGCTGTTCTCCTAGTCTCTGGGGATAGAATATTGAGAAGAATCTATGAAAATGAATCTCATAGTCAGAAAAACCAAATTTGATATTGTCTCTCATTTACAAAGATGATCAGAGCATTTCTGCAGACCCACCTGGTTTCCTAGTTTTTGTACACTGAACAACCTGATCTCTTGCCTAATTATACTTATAATCATTGGTATGTTGGTATTTTGTTCAGTGTCTTCTGTCCCTGTAATAATAGACTTTCTATTAAACCAGGTATCAGTTTACTTTGGGCATCAAACCTAGCCTTGACCTTATTAGTACTAATCTTTTTCTAACAGAATGCATTGCAGAATTCAAGGATATGATAATGTAATATTAGGATTATATTAGTATTCAATTTTGTATGTATAGTATTATTGCAACTATATTTCTAGGTATGTATGTAAAAAAACTCTCAGAAAATATTAAAAATTGACCTTAGAATTATAAATGATTTATTTTCTATTTTGTAAAATAGTTATCAGTTTTAAAATATATAAATAAAAATGTTATGGAGGATAATATAGCATGTTTATGGATTTCTTAGAAGCAACTGCAGAAGATGGTCCTCTCTAAAATATGGCAAAGATGGGATTATTATTTTTCAAAGAGTTGGGAAGATCACAAATATTTAGAAAAAGTATTGAGTACTGAAAAAACAGAAGATTTAGCTTCCCTCAAAAGCACTGATCTCTTATGACTATAGCCATTTATCAAGCTGTTTGCTAGTTCAAAAGGCATTACTCTTGGATATTTTCGATTGAGTGTGAATAATACATCTACATATACATATACACATATAGATTCCATCTATTTTATTTATTTACTTTTATTTTTTTAAGAGACTATCTTACTATGTTTCTGAGGCTGACCCCAAACTCCTGATATCAAGCAATCCTGTGCCTCAGCTCCCCAGTAGCTGGGACTACAGGTGTGTACCACTGTGACCAGCTTACATATAACTAAAAACCATAAGGTTTAACAATCATAAATAAGTATCAGGAAATTTGGTAAGGACAATTTATTTCATTGAGACAATTAAATATTAAAATTGTATTTTAAAAAAAAAAATAAATAAAATTGTATTTTATGAGAATTTTCTGAGTTTTAGATCAAATGTTATAATTGAAAACTCTTCTTATTTTAAAGGCAGAAGAGGAGAGAAACTATCATATCTTCTATCAGCTTTGTGCCTCAGCACAATTACCTGAATTTAAAATGCTGCGATTAGGTATGAATATGGCTCTAGACTTATTATATTGGTATTATTTTCGTTTAATACCTGAGTTTCCAAACTAACTTGTTAAAAGAAGTTTATCTCATACTGAAATTTTTATGGATAAAAATGATTTTTAGAAGTCTGCAGTTGGCTTCAGAATGACCCATGGGGTGCGGAAGAAGTGAGTAGTTGTATAAATAGAACAGGATTGGCCTTGGTGTGATGCTTATTAAGATGAGTGATGAGTATGTAGGGGTTCATTATAATAGTCTCTCTACTTTTATGTACGTTTGAAATTTATCTTGAATGAAAGAAAAAAATTTTACTAGTTGGAGGCCTATAGGGTTTCTGATAAGGGAAGTAAAGTGTTTGAGGAAATTGTCATAGCATGTAAATTGGAATTAAACCTTTGGGAAACTACTATACATTTCAACAATTAAGATAAATAAGTCATAAACATAGTTTTGAGTTTTAAATTAAAATATGATTGAAAACAAAAAGGAATATATATACACACATATATATATAATCTCCAGACCTGGACACTTAAATGTTATACGCTGCCTTCAATTCAGAGTGATCATAAGGGTAGAAGTCAAAGCTCTTTCTCAGACTGCAAAACTATTTTCCTTCATTGCAGGAAATGCAAATAGCTTTCATTACACGAAACAGGGAGGTAGCCCAGTGATTGAAGGAGTGGATGATGCAAAGGAGATGGCACACACCAGGCAGGCCTGCACTCTACTAGGTAATGTAATTTTATTCTTCAGCTCTTATAAGCAATAGTGTTTTGTTTTTTCTTTTGGTTGTTGTTATTGTGTGTTTGTGTGTGCACGCACACCATGAGGATTAAACCTAGGGGTGCTTTACTATTGAGCTACATCCCCAGACCTTTTTACTTCTTATTTTGAGACAGGGTCTCACTCACTAAGTTGCTGAGGCTGGCCTTGAATTTATAATCCTCCTGCCTCAGCTTCCTGAGTTGCTGGCATTACAGGTATGAACCACTATATCTGAGAAGCAATAGCTTTTTTTTTTTTTCCTTTTTTATCTTTTTTGGCATCAGGGATTGAACCCAGGAGTGATCAGTCACTGAGCCTCATTTCAGTCTATTTTTAATTTTTAATTTTGAGGCAGGGTTTTTCTAAGTTGCTTAGGGCCCCACTAAATTGCTGAGGCTGGCTTTGAACTTGTGATCCTCCTTTCTCAGCCTCTGAGCGCTGGGATTTCAGGCATGTGCCACCTGCCCAGTGAGCAATTGCTTTTTGCTTAAAGCAAGCTTTGTTTGAAATACTGTTTTGGTTTTGTATTAAGTAGTGAGCATTGCTGGTAGACTTAATATAGTTTATAGAACACATTCAGACAACAATTAAGCAAGGGTTTTAGGGTGATGGAACTATTCTAAAATTAAATTTTGGTAATGGTTGCACAAATTTGTAAATTTACTGAAAATCACTGCTTTGCACACTTATAGCAGCACACGTTTTGTGGTTTGAAAATTATCCCTCCATAAAGTTGTTTTTAAAAACATATTTGAGACATCAGGCAAGGTAACACTAACTAATTTTCTGTGAAAATTTTTACAAAAATCTAGAACCTATAGCTAATAAGATGGGTTTCTCTACAAGCTTGAATTTTCTACGGATTTTCATTATGTTTTTGTTTTTTGTTTGGGGGGTATTTTGTATCTTGGAAAAATGACTATATTGGCATGATAACAGAACATTATATTAAATGTGATTTGGTCCAGTGTTTTTGAAACTGCTAAGATGTTAATGAATGTTAGCTATATATGTGAATAAATTAATTTTTAGAACCATAGTCTATACCTTTTAAAGGTGAATTATTTTTCTTTTAAAAAGAAACATTGCAGGGCCTGGAGTTGTGGCTCAGTGCTTACCTGGCATGTGTGAGGCATTGGGTTTGATTCTCAGCACCACATCTAAATAAATAAATTAAATAAAGGTCCATCAACAACTGAAAAAAAAAAAAGTTTTTTTAAAGCAGAAACTGGGCATGGTGGCGCATGCCTGTAATCCCAGTAGCTCTGGAGGCTAAGGCAGGAAGATCATGAGTTCAAAGCCAGCCTCAACCCTAAGCAACTTAATGAGACCCTTTCTTTAAATAAAATTTTAAAAAGGTCTGGGGGCCCGAGCATGGTGGTATATGCCTGTAATCCCAGTGGCTCAGGAGGATAAAACAGGAGGATCACAAGTTCAAAGTCAGCCTCAGCAATGGTGAGGCGCTAAGCAACTCAGTGAGACATTGTCTCTAAATAGGGCTGGGGATGTAACTCAGTGGTTGAGTGCCCCTGAGTTCAACCCCTGGTACAAAAAAAAAAAAAGCGGGGGGGGGTTGGGGGTATTGCTCAGTGGTTAAGCACCCCTGGGTTCAATCTCTAGTACCAAAACAAACAAACAAACCAAAAAACTGCAGAATATAAATAACTTAAACATTGAGAAGTACCTTTGAATGAGTTAATTTAAAAGCATTTCTAATCACAATATGGTCTAGAACTACTATAGAGCTTGCTGGAAGTATGAAATCTCATTCCTTTTCTTAAACTTGCTGAATCAGAATCTGCTTTTTAACAGATCTATTAGTGATTCATATGCATATTAAAGTTTGAAAAATACTGCTTTACTTCTAGGGCCAAATTATGAATTTGAAAAAGCCATAATGTTGGACATAACATAAACATTCATTATAAGGTCAATTCTCAATTACTGTGTATGATTGCATATTTGGAAATAATCTTACTATAACTTAATTATGTTTAATATTCTGAAAATTTTTTACTTACAGAAAAACAGCCAAATCTGATAAAAGCCAAAAGTTGTCTAGTTTTTTCATCCTGCTTTATACTTCAGCTCCTTCTCCAATGCTGTATTTGGACATTAACTCTTCAGACCAGGGAATAACACCTGTCTGAACATCTCTGATCTTGGGGTCTCTCTGATTTATACTTGGCCTTTAGTTAAAAGAAGTAATTAAATCATTGATTTAAAACAGCCTTATTATTGTGCTATAACTTGCACTTGAAATAAAGATTAATAGAAATGGCAGTAATATTAATAAAATACTTAAATCCAATATGTGACAATGATATGATCATTTGTGTAGTACTTACCACGTGTCACATTGGGTATGCTGTGTGCATTACCTCATTCAATGTTAAAAACACCCTTTGAAGAATTCACTTTTATTCCCATATCTCAAATGAGAAAATGAAAGCATAGAAGGGTGAAGTTACCTGCCCATGTGTATATCCACATTATTGCCCATAATGCTAACTGCTTAATGTTTTAATGTCAACGAAGATGAATGATTGTTAGCTGTGACTCACTATAATGTATATAACATCTGTCAATATTCAAGAATTAACAATAGATTTAAAATTATCTGCTATAATGTTTTGTTGCTATTCTGAAATTAATCACTTACTCATTTACTCTATTTAAGGAATTAGTGAATCTTATCAAATGGGAATTTTTCGAATACTTGCTGGCATCCTTCACTTAGGCAATGTTGCATTTACTTCTCGAGATTCAGACAGCTGCACAATACCTGTAAGTACAGAATGAAATTGGTGTGGTAGAAGTTGAATTGTGTTTTAGTTTTGTTGATTTTTTTTTTGTAGAAGCAATATAATTTAAGTCTCTCTGACATTATCAGAGAGATAATTATCAAAAAGATGTATTATCAAAAATATAAAGCTTGAACTGAGAATAAAGAACATGGGTTTCAATTCTTGGTGCAGTGATTATGTGATTATTATTATTATTTTTTTATTTTTATTTATTTATTTATTGTGTGTGTGTGTGTGTGTGTGTGTGTGTTTAAGAGAGAGAGAGAATGAATGGTCTTGGATACGTGTCTGATTTCTATAACCGAGGGAGAAATACTACATGTAGTTTCATTTGGCCTATTTAACTTTGTGTCTTTAGCTTTGGAGATGTAATATGGTTTAAAAATTATTGAACAGTGCTAAGGGTGTGGGGTGGGAAAGAAACTGACTTATCCCTTTTAGTCTTTTTTTTTTTTTTGTGGCAGGGATGAACTTAGGGGCCATCAACCACTGAGCCACATCCCCAGCCCTATTTTGTATTATATTTAGAGACAGGGTCTCACTGAGTTGCTTAAAGCCTCGCTGTTGCTGAGGCTGCCTTTGCATTTGTGTGTGATCTTCCTGCCTCAGCCTCCCAAGCTGTTGGGATTACAGGCATGTGCCACCGCACCTGGCTTCCTTTTTAATCATATAGAATGTGGTATATGTACATCTTCTGAAATGTATAAATTCTCAGGCTTTGGGCATGGCTCAGTGGGAGAGCTCATGCTTAGTATGTGCAAGGCCCAGGGTTCAATTCCCAGGAGTTAAAAAAAAAAAAGTATGAATTCTAACTTCTCCCCATATCTATCTGTGTGTCTCTCTCTCCATCTCTCAATGTAGGTATCTAGGATAGATAACAGTGATACACAGATGAAATTAGTTACTGTAATATAAATGACCCCATAAGATCATAAACTTGGGTGAATTTAGAGCTATAAGGGAATATATCATGCCCTTGCTTAAATCCTTCAGGATTTCCCATTGTCTTCAGGAATAAGGTAGATACTTTACAGTAGTTCTCCATTACCTATAGTTTTGTTTTTGGTGGTTTCAGTTACTTGTGGTCAACTTTGGCCTGAATATTAAATGTAAAATTCCAGACATAAACAATCATATAGTTTAAATTGTGCACCATTCTGAGTAGTATGATGAAATTTCATGCTGTTCTGCTTCATTCCACCTGGGACATGAATCCTCTCCTTGTCCAGTATATCCATGCTGTATATGCTGCCACCCATTAGTCACTTAGTAGTCATCTCAGTTATCACAGTGCTGTTGAAGTATCACCGTGCTTATGGCCAAGTAACCCTTACATAGTAGGAGCCTAATGATAAGTCACAATGCCTATGTCATTCTTCTCACTTCATCTCACATAGGCATTTTATCATCTCTCATCATCATTGTAAGAAGGGTAAGTACAATATGATCTGATATTTTGAGAGGGAGAGAGATAGTATACTCACATAACTTTTATTATACAATAGTGTTATAATGGTTCTATTTACAATTGTTCTATTATTAGTTGTTGTTAATTTCTTATTGTGCCTAATTTATAAATTAAACTTTATCATATATTTGTATATTTTAAGGAAGAAGTATATATGGTATTTATTTTCCATTAGGAGTCTGCAGATAAGGAGATGTGCTGTACTTGGCATAACATTGAAAGCCCTTTTATGATCAACCTTTGACTTCCTATTCAGTTTACCTCTCATCACTTATCACACTCCAGCCCAGAAATTTACTAACTCAGCTACCTTTCTCTCCTGCCTTTGCTCAGATTCTCTCTGGGGTGTAGGATAACTGTTCTTTCTGGGCAGCTCCTACTGCTAACATATAGCTCTGGCAGCATCTCTTAGCATCACCCTTCTTTCCACTGCTTTCCTTTATCTCAGCTCAAGTATCAATGTTTTATAAAGGTCTCTCTTGCTTGTGTTTAGCCCCTAGGAGTTGAAGTCCTTGTAAATGGGACCGCATTCTTTCTTGGTTGCCTTTTTTCTTTGGATAAGTAGCTCCTCATGTAAAAACAGATTCCCTATTCCTATAAGAAAGAATCTATTCCCTGCCTTTTGTAAATGTAGTAGTTTTGTACTACAATTAGATATATGAAACATAAAATCAACACTTCATGATTTGAAGAGAAACACTATACTATAAATGATTTATTAGTCATAGGGCCATGAGTTAAATGGTAGTGAGCTTTGTTTATGAGAAATTTGATCTACACAATTTCCTTTATGTATAATTTATAATTTCCCTAAGCCATGGATCCTAATTGAGGTGCATGGTACCACTTCCCCCTGCCCCATACATACACACAGGCTCTTCTCCTACTGACAGGTCTTTTTTATTTTTATTTTTATTATTTTGGGGTACTGCAGATTGAACCCAGGAAGTTTCTATCATTGAGCTCTATCCTCTGCCCCTTTTATTTTTTATTTTGAGACAGGTCTTGCTAAGTTGCTAAGACTGACCATGAACTTGCCACCCTCCTACCTGAGCCTTCTGAGTCACTGGTATTATGGGTGTGTGCTACCATGCCCAGCCTTTATGGCAGCTTTTTTAAATTTATTTTTTAAGTTGTAGTTGGACGCAATACCTTTATTTTATTTATTTTTATGTGGTGTTGAGGATTTAACCCAGGCCCTCGCATATGCTAGGCAAGTGCTCTACTGCTGATCCACAACCCCAGCCCCTTTATGGCAGTTTTTTAAAAGACAAAATGAAGATTCTAATTTAATCTCTGATTTTTAAGGAAATATCATTAAACTTTCTTCAAAGGCAGTTTTGTTGTAGTATAATGTGAATTATACCCATTTAAATGGCTTTAAATGTATAATTAAAGTTTTTATTGTATTTATGGATGTTTTTAGCCATCACCATAGTCAATTTAAATATTTTCATTATTTCAAAAAGAGAATCTATACCCTTTACCTGATGCTTCTCTGTTCCTCTATTTTTCTAGCCCTACGTAACCATTGAGTCTACTTTCTGCCTGTATAGACTTGCTTATTCTAGTCATATTAGAAACTGAATCATATAATGTGTATTCTTTCAAAGTCCATCCATGTTATGGCATGTATCAGTATGTCATTTCTTATGGCTCAAAAATTCTGTGTGTGTGTGTGTGTGTGTGTTAATTCTAAGCTGCTTTTTATTTAAGGGAGTTGAGTGAGGTGCTGATTTGTATCTAAAGTGTTACTTGGGAGGAAGGTATTGAAAAGAGGAAGACCACTTAAATGAGAACGACCCAGGGAAGAGGGTGTCAGAAGACCCAGGTTTTAGTGCCAGCTCTGACATAAATTAGCCACGTGATTATTGACAAACTGTTTGTCTCTTGGACCTCATTTCCTCATTTTCCTTTCCACATTTTTTTTGGTGCATTATAGTTGTACATATGATGGGATTTGTTGTTGTTACATATTTGTACATGCTTTCAATATAACAATATAATTTGGCCAATATCAATCCCCAGCACTTCCCCTTTCCTTTCCCCTTTTCCATGTCCTTTACTGACCTCCCTTTGATTTTCATGAGATCCCCCACCCCCACCCATTCTTTTCCTTTTTTCCTCTGTAGCTTCCACAAATGAGAGAAAATATACAACCATTGACCTTCTAAGTTTGGATTATTTCACTTAACGTAATGATCTCAAGTTCCATCCATTTTCCTGCAAATGACATAATTTCATTTTTCTTTATGGCTGAATAAAACTCCATTGTGTATATATACCACGTTTTCTTTATTCATTCATCTTTTGAACATCTAGGCTAGTTCCATAGTTTGGCCATTGTGAATTGTGCTGCTATAAACATGGTTATGCATGTACTACATCATGAAGTATAATTTGAGTTAGGTATTTTGAAGCCTCCAGTGTTGCTTTTCTGGCTTAGAATTGATTTAGCTATTCTGGATCATTTATTCTTCCAAAGGAATTTTAGGAGTCTTTTTTTCTAGTTCTGTGAAAAATGTCACTGGTAATTTTTATGGAGATTGCATTGAATCTGTATTTTGTTTTTAGTAGTATGGCCATTTTAACAGTGTTAATTCTGTCTATTTGTGAGCATGGGAGGTCTTTCCTCCTTCTTTAATTTCTTTCTACAGTTTTCATTATTGAGGTCTTTTACCTCCTTGTTAGATTTATTCCTAAGTTGTTGTTGTTGTGTTGAGGCTATTGTGAATGGGATTGTTTTCCTTTTTTCTTCCTTGGCTTATTCATTGTTGATATATAAGAAAGCTATTGATTTTTATATGTTGATTTTTGTAACCTGCTATTTTGCCAGATTTGTTTATTAGGTTTAGTAGTCTTCTGCTGGAGTTTTTTTGGATCCTCTAAGTGTAAGATCATATCATTTGCCAACAATGATAATTTGACTTCTTTCTTTCCTATTTTTATTCCTTTTACTTTCTTCTCTTGCCTAATTGCTCTGGCTAAAATTTCTAGCATTATATTAAATAGGAGTGGTAAGAATGGACTTCCTTGTCTTGTTCCAGATTTTAAAATAAATGCTTTCAGTGGTTCCCCAATTACTATGAGATTGGCTTTGGGTTTTTTTTGTATATAGCCCTTACGATACTTAGGCAGTTCCTTCCATCCCTAGTTTCTTCAGTGTTTTTATCATGAATGGGTGTTGAATTTTGTCAAAGGCCTTCTCTGCATCTATTGAGATGACTAGGTAGTTTTTGTCCTTAGTTCTGTTTATGTGATAAATTATATTTGTTGATTTCTGTATGTTAAACCATCCTTACATCTCTGGGATAAAGCCAACTTGATCATGATTCTTGTTTTTCATTTAGAGACAACAGTGTTCACCCTGCCTATCCCCCAGGAATGTTATCAGATTCAATTGATATGTGGGTAAAATGTTGAAAAATATAAGGCACTAATATGATTAAATTAAGCAAATATTTATCAAAAAACCTACTCATTCAAAACTACAGAAGAAATTCTAGGTGATACAAGAATACGTAAGTTGTTAAAGTGATTCTCATCTAAAATGTTACTCCAGTAGCATCAAATTTTCTGCCTAAAACCCTTCAGCATCTTCCCATTTCTCTGGGAATACAGACTATCCATGGCATAGCCTCTGCCTTTCTCTTCCCATCTTACACACTCTCACCCACCTTCAATTTTCATATTAGTTGTTTCCCTCCTACCCAGAACCTTTTTCTTTTTTTTTAGCCGTTTCTTCTGCTTAAAAAATTCTTCCTTCACTCTTTAACCCAGAAGCACCTTCCAAATTCCTTCAAATCTCAATTCCATTTTTCAAGGCAACTGTCTCTTGTCTCCCTAAATACAGCACACTCCTCTTGTGTGGACTCAGTGTAGTGTCCTTTTTCTTTGTAGTATTTAGGGAGCAATCATTTATTTCCCCCAGTGACTATAAGTTCTAGGAGGAAATGAACCATGTCTATTTTTGTTTAATGGAGTACAGTGGCCATTTAGTAAATATTTATTGACTAGATGACTGATTTTCTGATTGACTAAATAAATGTAGTGTGCCCTAAGACAAATACAGAGAGCTCTATAAAAAATCAAAGAAGAGGTAATTTTTTTCAATGAGCCCTAACAGATATTATGTCACCCAGATGCCAGTTTGAATAATGATTGTGATTATTATCACAGATCAGGTGTGAATGATCTTGATGTTTATTACATCAAAGATATTGCTGAGTTTTACTTGATTTTTTTTGTTAATATTTTTCAGGAAATTCTTATTTGATTGGTCTGGTCATAGGAAGTAACCCATTCTCTTTTGGCAGCCCAAGCATGAACCTCTCAGCATCTTCTGTGATCTCATGGGTGTGGATTATGAGGAGATGTGTCATTGGCTTTGCCATCGGAAGCTGGCTACTGCCACAGAGACATACATCAAGCCCATCTCCAAGCTGCAGGCCACAAATGCCCGTGATGCTTTAGCCAAGCACATATATGCCAAGCTCTTTAACTGGATTGTAGATCATGTCAATCAGGCTCTGCATTCTGCTGTTAAGCAGCACTCTTTTATTGGCGTGCTGGACATTTATGGGTGAGTATTTTGGCTTATTGGTCTGCCAGAGAGCATTTCTTTGTGGAGAGTATTTAGTCACTCTGAATGGGAATTTAATTTTATCTCATACTGGTGAGGAGAGGAAAACCCTACCTATGGCAAGTCAGGAGTACCTTTATGATGGTGATATGCTGTGATTAAAATTTAACTAAAACAACAACAAAAACTTAGCTTGGCTCTAGAGCTAATTTAATAAAGTAATGGGTGGAATAAATTGTTTTTCAGACTCTCATGTGAGAAATTATCACTGAATATTTAAAAATCTAATTTCACTTGCTAATTTGTTTTCTGTGGATACCTTCCTTAACCGTGTAAACCCATTTTATACAGTGTGCTTATTTTATACTTGATTTTTCATTCTCTGGTTCAGTTTTTCAGAAGAACTTATAAGGTTCCCTTCTATGTATGTGTAACACTCTGAGTCTATAAATTGATAGGAGCAATGACTTATTATAATTCTGTTGTTCCTCTCAGGAGATGAATGAGCCTCAAAAACTCATAGTTTTGAACACCTTTTCATGCTGGGAACTCTAAATAAAATTCTCTGCCTCATAGCAGGTACTCATCTGTTGGGCACATTTTCCATATTTCTGACTTATAAACATTTATCTTAATTGCTGTGTGAAGAAAGTTGCACAGTGTTAGAGTACTTCCTATTTCTTTCTTCCTAATGAGTACATTTTGAATATTTTAAAACTATTCCTTTTCTCCCTTTCCTATTTTATTTTTGGTATTACAGATTCGAAACATTTGAGATAAATAGTTTTGAGCAGTTTTGTATAAATTATGCAAATGAAAAACTACAGCAGCAATTCAACATGGTAAGAATGTTCTTCTTTGAATAATAATTCTGCTATAAATTATCTCTTTAATTCCTGGTCTTTGTTTAAAGTCTGGCCCCTGAGATGAAGTCCTGAATTTTAAGTATGATATGAGTTTTAGAACAACTAAACAGTTAGAACTAATGATTAAAAAATGATGCTACATTTAGAAAAATATTTGGAAGTCATCCATTGTCTGAGAATGATGAGAGTTTGGGGCAAATAAATTGAGTGAGAGAAGCAGGAGTGGTATTACCAACATAGGAAATATAAAGCTTTGAACCTAGGGATATCTTTCATTTTGTCTTTCTGAAATTAATTGTATGTGGTGTTATGACAGCCTTAACTCTTACTTTCTATATTAGCAAGGTGTCAAAACTAAACATGAGAATTTCATGTATTCTTTTTTCAACAGTCTAAGCCATTCTCACTGAGACAATGGCAATGGGAATATTTTGAGAGTGACTCTTGTGAAGAAGTAATATCAAATATCCCACAGTGGTGGGAGATCTGAAGGTACTTAAAAATGAGGGGCAGCAGATTATATAATTGTGAAGGGCAGAGGCCTCAGAGGTGAACTGCTTGGGTTGGAATCCCATTCTGTCTTTATTATCCAGGAGACATTGGGACCTCCCTGGACCTTAGCTTCCTCATCTGTAAGATGGAGATGAAAATAGTTCCCCCCACATATGGTTTTATGGGTTAAATGAGTTGGGATACATAAACTGCTCCTCACATGTCAAGCACAGTTCAAAGTACAAAATTAGGGGTAGTTATTAGTATTGATGAAAGAGAATGTTAAGAATGAGCCACTGAGTACTGGGAAATATGGCTCAGTGGGAGAGTATGTATTTAGCATGTGTGAGTTCAATCCCCAGCACGCGTACACACACACACACACACACACACACACCAGTACACACACACATACACAATCAAGCAAAAAAAAAGGAGGGGGGAGAAGGAAAAGAAAGGGGTGGACCACCCATAGGAATTGGTTGATAGAAGAAAAGAGAGCTAAAGGATAGGAAAGGTTGCTTCATCTTATGAAAAGAGATGTAAAGTGGTATGAGTGGTCTGTGGTCCATAGTTGATAAAAAAAAAATAAAAGTTTAAGCAAATTATTTTAAGTTACAAAATTGACTAAAAAAAGAGAATCCAAAAATAGTAATATTGGGAAGATAACAAAGGAGCAGCAGAGAGGGTGATGTATATGAACTTAGCTTCATCAGAAAGTTAACAGTTTCAAATTGATAAATCAGAAAGCAACTGATACGTATATTCTTTAGAAATATGTAAGTAAACATCAGAATAAATAGCTAAAAGAATTAAAAATTTTTGCCTGCTTTCTGTCTCTATTCACCACTTATTCCTCTCGCTTTTCCCTCACACCTCCCCATTATGTTATATTTTAATTTTTCTATGCATAATTGCTCCACTCCCTCTTACTATGAGATGGCTTATTCTCTCTTCTAGTTTGTATATATTATCTCCACCTCAACATTTCTTCTTTTCCATTTACTTCAGACTTCCTATAGAGATAGCAGTGGTTGGAATGCTCTTCACATCTTCTTAACTTGCTCACCTCCCACTCATCTTGGATTCTTTCAGCTTCTGCTCCCACTGCTAATTGCCTAATTGTTTCTTTGTTTTCTAATTCAGATACCTGAGAAAGTGAACCAATTAGCCCCAATCATTTTTTTTCATCTGAGATGTCTAGCAATAAAGTGCCCTCATGTACCCATACTTGGTTTAGTGAGCTGTGACCAGAAACATGGGGTTTCACAGTAAAGGACTTAGCTGCATAGGCTGCTCCCTGAGCTGAGGCCATGGATGTGGGCAGTTGGCATAAGAAATACTGTGGGAGCCAGGTGCAGTGGCACAGGCCTATAATCCCAGGGGCTTAGGAGGCTGAGGCAGAAGGATCTCAAGTTCAAAGCCAGCCTCAGCAATTTAGTGAGGCCTAAGCAACTCAGTAAGACCCTCTCTCTAAATAAAATACTAAAAAGGACTGGGGATGTGGCTTAGTGGTTTAGTCCCTAATTAAAAAAAAAAAAAAGAAAAGAAAAGAAAGAAAGAAATGTTGTGGGCATATTTAGTGCTTAGAAGCATTCCTATATTGACAAGGATCTCTTGACGTATTGAACCTCATGCCCACATTCCTTGATAATTGAGCACCCCAAATATTTGAGCCCCTCGGCTTTATGGAGTTTTCTAGAATAGATATAAAGATTTGTATGAGAAATAATCTCTATTTAAAGCTTAGAGCAGTGCTTCTGATGTCAGCATGAAGACTACATATAAACTAATGAAAAACGTAAAAAGTTCATTGTTTTGGAAGATATTAGTGCTATCAGGACACTGCTAATATATGATGCCTTATTTATTTTCTGATTAATCAAAAGAACAGAATAAAATTGCTAATTAGCATGACAAATACTCTATGGATGACCTTTTTATGTTTTGTTTTAACTAAGGCTTCTTATAGCTGCTTAAAGTGCAAAGGACATTCCAATAAAAGTAAAATAAAATGGGAAAGTTCCAGATGCATGGAACTATATATTAGAAATCTCTGTGTCACCTGTTTCGTAGGACTTGGTATCTTAGAAAATATGTGTTATGTGGTCATAGCCACAAAAAGATAATCTTCCTAGAAAAATAGCAAGATGTGTGAGAGAACCAAAGAAGATAAAAGAGACAAGTAAATAACAGCAGAAACTTGGAAGAACAGATAATGGTCATTAGCATCCATAGAAACAGAAAGTTGTGTATCAGCTGCACGGTTAGAGCACATCCTGGCACAAACTGTGGCAGATTGCCCTTCCCATCTAGGGCAGCTCTGCTCCTCTGCACCTTCAAAGCTCAGAGCACAAGCCTTTCTTTAGGGAAACCTACCCTGATCATCCTGTAACCAAACTAGATGAGGATTCTTGCCCTCATAGTTTATATTATTTTCCTTTTTAATATTATTCCTTGTGATTATTTGATTTCTGTGTTCATCTACCACCAGTCTCCTGTTGTTGTCTGTGTTGTTGACTATATGCTGTGACTGACACATAGTATGTAGTCAATATATATTTTTGATTAAACGAATGAACAGAGATCAGAAGCAATGGTGTGGGTTGTCGCTGAAGATTTTTAGCAGAAATAGCAATGGATTGGTAGTACTTGTGTAGCTGCTTGCAGTATTGGATAAAGAATTTAGAAAAGTGAGCCACTTATTCCCTGAAAGAGGAGAATAATCAAGGCAGACACACACACACACAAAAAAAACCATACGTTAATCTAATTTTGAGGCATGTTGTACTTCAGCACCACAATCCCTTAAGAAATTATTTTGTTGTGCTCAAAGCATTGCCCCGTACTGTTCAGTAGTCTAGAGGGCATTCACTCTGCATAGTTGTTCAATGCCAGCTTAGAGATTCCTGTGTCCTGTGTCGTTAGCAGCCCTATATAATTGCTTAAGGAGCCAAAAGTAGAAAGTGCAGTTTTAGAAATATACATAATAAAAAATCACAAAGACTGCTTACATTTATCAGCTACTTAAAACATTTACATGCCTAGATCTGCTTCTTCACTAAGGATCTGATATAGCTGAGGTTTTGCTTTCTGTGGTTTTAATTTACTTTCTCTGTGTATAAATGGTGCTTCTCCCATGAGATTACTGTTGCTAGTAGCCACAAACTATCTCCAGTTTTCTTGGTATCCTCTTAGTATTTTATAGAAACATTGTTGTTTTTTTTTTACTACATTCTTTATGATAACAATCCAAAAATGACTGCATTTTTCTTTTTCATTTCAGCACGTTTTCAAATTGGAACAAGAGGAATACATGAAAGAACAAATTCCATGGACACTCATAGATTTTTATGATAATCAGCCTTGTATTAATCTTATAGAATCTAAACTGGGCGTTCTAGATTTGCTGGATGAGGAATGCAAGGCGAGTATGATTTTTGGGGGGAATTTAGACTGTCAAATAGATGCATCAAGATCAGGAGGCAAGTAGGTTCAAGCAGACATTTATTAGTAACATGAAATGCCATTGTGGCAACAAGTGAGAGTCTTCATTCTAAAGGGACACTAGACCCCAAGGATTCTAGTTATAAATGAAACTTTTATTTTCAGCTGATTATAGGTTATGTAGAAAATTGGTAGATAGTATTGCTACCAATTTTTGTTGCTTTTTTAAATCAATTTTCTTATATTTAGAACTCTGTTGGAGACAGAATGTATTTAAATAAATACAAGAAATTGCACAAAATATATTTTGAATAATAGTTCTAAGTAGCCATAATTTTTTTGTCATCATCACTATTATTTATCTTTTATTAAGGAATTGCTATATATAAGGCTTAATCCAAGTATGTTAAAGGAATTTTCTCAAATGTAGGAGGTAAGCTCTCCTTATCATTAGGAAACCAGCTGGGAAATGTCAAGTCATTTATATAATATCCAGAAGGATGAGAATATGAGCAGTGATCTAGGTGGAGTTATTATTTAGGGAAACAATTGTCACTGGTAATACCTACAGCTTGAGACCACACTCTTGATGATGACATTTGTTGTTTAAGGCAACTATGATAAGTTGTCTTTTAGTTGGAATTCAATAAAATACATTAAAAATGAAATATGTTAAAGTAAAGGATAATCTATTTGTGATTTTAGTCTTTTTTGTTCTTTGTAGATATTCATGATAGTAGAGTGTATATTTTGACAAACTATACATACATGGAGTAAAAATTATTCTAATTAGGATCCCATTCTTGTGGTTATAGGAAAGTTATGTCTGATTCATTCTACTGTCTTTCCTATTCCCTTCTTCCCTCCCTTTCCTCATTCCCCTTTCTCTAATACACTGAAGTTTTATTCTTCTCTCCCCAGCCCTGGTTGTGTGTTAGCATCTGAATATCAAAGAGAACATTTGATCTTGGGTTTTGGGAACTGGCTTACTTCACTTAGCATGATCGTCTCCAGATTCATCCATATACTGGCAAAAGTCATAAAGTCATTCCTTTTTATACCTGAGTAATATTTCATTGTGTATGTATACCACATTTTCTTTATCCGTCCATTTGTTGAAGGGCACCTAGGTTGGTTTCATAGCTTAGCTCTAAATAGCCATAAGTTAAAAATTGACTAGTCATTCTTTATTATGGACATAGGTGATAAGATGGAGTTTAGTCTTTTTTTTTTTTTTTAATTTTTATTGTTGGTTGTTCAAAACATTACATAGTTCTTGATATATCATATTTCACATTTTGATTCAAGTGGGTTATGAACTCCCATTTTTACCCCGTATACAAATTGCAGAATCACATCAGTTATACATCCATTGATTTACATATTGCCATACTAGTGTCTGTTGTATTCTGCTGCCTTTCCTATCCTCTACTATCCCCCCTCCCCTCCCCTCCCCTCCCCTCTTCTCTCTCTACCCCCTCTACTGTCATTCATTTCTCCCCCTTGTATTATTTTCCCCTTTCCCCTCACTTCCTCTTGTATGTAATTTTGTATAACCCTGAGGGTCTCCTTCCATTTCCATGCAATTTCCCTTCTCTCTCCCTTTCCCTCTCACCTCTCATCCCTGTTTAATGTTAATCTTCTTCTCATGCTCTTCGTCCCTACTCTGTTCTTAGTTACTCTCCTTATATCAAAGAAGTCATTCAAGGAGCTTGATATCAAATCAGAGACACGGCGTCTGATAGAAGAAAAAGTTGGCTACGATCTACATACTGTGGGGTCGGGCTCCAAATTCCTCAATAGGACACCCATAGCACAAGAGTTAATAACTAGAATCAACAAATGGGACTTACTCAAACTAAAAAGTTTTTTCTCAGCAAAAGAAACAATAAGAGAGGTAAATAGGGAACCTACACCCTGGGAACAAATCTTTACTCCTCACACTTCAGATAGAGCCCTAATATCCAGAGTATACAAAGAACTCAAAAAAATTAGACAATAAGATAACAAATAACCCAATCAACAAATGGGCCAAGGACCTGAACAGACACTTCTCAGAGGAGGACATGCAATCAATCAACAAGTACATGAAAAAATGCTCACCATCTCTAGCAGTCAGAGAAATGCAAATCAAAACCACCCTAAGATACCATCTCACTCCAGTAAGATTGGCAGCCATTATGAAGTCAAACAACAACAAGTGTTGGCGAGGATATGGGGAAAAGGATACACTTGTACATTGCTGGTGGGACTGCAAATTGGTACAGCCAATTTGGAAAGCAGTATGGAGATTTCTTGGAAAGCTGGGAATGGAACCACCATTTGACCCAGCTATTCCCCTTCTTGGTCTATTCCCTAAAGACCTAAAAAGAGCATGCTACAGGGACACTGCTACATCGATGTTCATAGCAGCACAATTCACAATAGCAAGACTGTGGAACCAACCTAGATGCCCTTCAATAGACGAATGGATAAAATAATGTGGCATTTATACACAATGGAGTATTACTCTGCATTAAAAAATGACAAAATCATAGAATTTGCAGGGAAATGGATGGCATTAGAGCAGATTATACTAAGTGAAGCTAGCAAATCCCTAAAAAACAAATGCCAAATGTCTTCTTTGATATAAGGAGTTTAGTCTTAATATCTGATGATGCACCATGTTAGAAAAAATAGTGGATCCCCAGCTTTACTACTATCTGAGTCATCTTAGGCAAATAACCTATACTTTCACTTAATCTTTCTTTAGTTTATATGCAATAAGTTACACCTTATCATAGGTTGATCCATGTAAGCCTCCAGATTTCCTACAACATTAAGAAGGTATGTAATAAAAAAGTGCTCAGCCTCACTTGAAATTAAAATAAAATGCAAAGAAAAGCAAAGATGGTAACCTGCTTTTTACCCATTACATGGGTAAGTTAGACCTGATACCTTTCATTTGATATTGCTAAATGAATACTGTATCTGTACAATAAGGATAAGAATTAATACAACATACTTAAGATGAAATTTGACAACAATTCTCAGAATCATAAATACATGTATCTTTTTACTGCTTAGATTTCAATCTATGAATATACTTGTGAAAGTATCCAAGGTATATACATATAAGAAGAAAACTGTGGCAGTTATTATAATAACAAAAAACAATAACAACCTAGTGGCCATAAATAAAAGAATTATTAAGAAGAAAAAAAGGCAAGGAGTACGTAGAATGAGCCCATTCATGTACATGTCTTAAAAGAGATAATAAAGTTGAGAAAACAACAAGGGGAGACCCTCCATTTCATATCTTTCTGTATGTAAATGTTACCTTTATTTAACACAAATTTAAAATTTAAAAATACATATTACTATATCCGTGATATTAATCTTATAAGACCTTTGTTTTAAAAACAGATCAAATATTTATTTGATGATTTCTAGTATGGGCAGATTGTCACCCAAAGATGGCTGGGTTACCTGTGGAAAGCGCTTGGTCTAGCTCTTCATTAGTAATTGGTTTTGGGGCCTATTGGAGAGAAATGTAGAAGAAATGAATTCCTAAACTGAATATAGAATATAGGTAAAGCCAAAAAGTGACCTTTTCGCAGTTGATGCAACAGAAGAGTCTCAATATTCAGTTTCTTTTCTTTCTTTCTTTTTCTCCCTCAATGTAGATGCCTAAAGGTACAGATGACACTTGGGCCCAAAAATTGTACAACACACATTTGAACAAATGTGCGCTCTTTGAAAAGCCTCGCCTGTCAAACAAAGCTTTCATCATCCAACATTTTGCTGACAAAGTAAGGAAGCTTTGTATATTTTTTTTATTTTTGAATACGTAAGTGAAGGAAAAAAATAATAATCAAGAAATATTGTTTTTTTTTCTTTGCTGATGCTTGCATTTTTTGAGGGCTTACAGAAAAAGCAGTCTTCAGTATTGGCTTGTTGGTTTTCTCTTCCTTTAACTTAAATTGAATTATATATGAAATAAATAGGGGTCTAGTCTTCTTTCAAGAAGTTGGAATTCCAGGAAACTCTGAAAACCAGCTTCCTGGGAATCTCCCTCAGGGGTTGAGGACTTTCTGAGTTTACCTTAGTCCTGACTGGAAACCTTAAAATGAACATAAGTTCACCTAAGGGTTTTGTAGTACAGGATGTAAAGCTCCTCTAGTGACAGACTGTTCAGGTTGCTGGGGTTTTGAAAGAGAAATCTTCTATTCTCAAGGAATCCCACTTTACCAAATCAACAGTATTTCCCCCAGCTTCTTCCTCTATCCATCATTAATTTTTTTCACCTCTTTCCAATCCAACAGCCATGTGTTCCTTTTGATCCTATCTCCCACTTTAATCTCTTCTTTCCCAAAAGAAAACATTCCACTGAATAGTGGACTAGCTTGGAAGGCGATATAATGGGTCAGCCTGGGATGAACTTTCTTTGGCCAGCGTGGGGGAAGAGGATCAACTTCTTATGAGTCTGCTTACCCATAAATTGAGAGGATTATTTAGACCACAATTAATCAGCAAGCACTACCACTATTCCCTAGAAAAACAGTTATGGAATGGTACCAATATTTTAGCAAAAAACTGATGAGAGCTTGTCATGTAACCTGAGCTAATACATATTTTTGTTGTTGATGATATAATATCTATTCAAAAGTGCTATCAGTTAAGGAGATTTTTCCATGTGTTTTCAGGTGGAATACCAGTGTGAAGGCTTTCTTGAAAAGAATAAAGACACTGTTTTTGAGGAACAAATTAAAGTTCTTAAGTCAAGCAAGGTAACCATAGACAGGTTTTTCTAATCAGTATATATTCAATAAAATGTTAATTATGCACTAGTTTTTGTTGTTTTTTTGTTTGTTTTGCAGTACTGGGGTTGAGATTGAATCCAAGGGCACTCTACCACTGAGCTATATCTGTATCTCCAGCCCTTTTTATTTTTGTTTTCAGAGAGGATTTTGCTAAGTTGCCCAGGCTGGCCTTAAACTTGTGATCTTCCTGCCTCAGGCTCCTCAGTCGCTGGGATTACAGGTGTGCATCACCATGCCCAGCTTTAAGCATTAGCATTTTAACAATAAAAATGATTTTTCCAACAAAATCTGTTTTACTTACAGTTTTTAATTCACCAGTATATAACACTTACTGTGTATCAGGTTCTGTTCTAAAAGCCTTGCAAATATTAACACATCTAATCTTTATAATGAGGGGTATTATCATTACTCTTATCTTACAGATGAGGTATCTGAGGCACAGGGACTTCATGGCTAGTGAGTTTTTAAGCCACATTAAAACGCAAGCTGTCTTGCTCAGGGTCTGCTCTTAACCACTATGCATTGTGGTCTTTCAGTTTTAAGTGAAATTATTGCCTCCACCATGGTCTTCTCTCTTGTGTGCCTTTGTGAGAGACTATGAGAGAAAACAGGTTTTTTTGCTATGTCATTTTGAAGGGATGTGCCAGAATTGTGGCCTCATGTACTTCATGCTGATGGAGATTGAGCTCAGAATCATTGTTGAATCTAATTCCAGGTATAACTTTGAAGTTATTTTTCTTAAGGACAGACACTAGAAACACTGCCTTCCAGTGGGAAAAGAATATTCCAGATGGCGAAAACAATGAGGTCTACAATACCTCATTAGGTTGATCCCAACTGCACCCTTCAACTTAATCTGGAAAGGATGAGAGGACCTCTCACTTTCATCCTACAGGGTACAAACCAGGCAGCCAACTACTTATTTGGGCCAATATTCATTTTAAAAAGTAAAAATCTTCATGTGAATTTGTCTAAATGACTGTTACACTTTGTTTTTCTAATTTATTCTAAAAAGCATTTTAACTTCAATGGAATTGCGTATGAACATTCTAAATCTTGTTTTTGAAACTAAAATGTTTGCTTTCCGTTATTTTGATAATATAAAGATCACATGAAGACCAAATTCCAGTTTTAACCCCCAGAAAATAATGAGTCAAAGTGTCTATAGAAAAAGATAATTTTTTTCTTTAATTAATGCTTTATAGCTTACAGGATCAATGTGTAAGGAAATTTTCATAGTGCCAATCTTTAAGTATTAAACAGGTGAAGATCTTTGTCATTTTGATTTATGAACATTGCTATAAACCATGAAATTCTATTGTTAATATTTGGCCAAAGTAATTTAGCTTAAACAAAATACAGGTTCTCATTCTTGAGGCACCCATAATCAGTTGTCTTTATTTTGACTTAATTTAATTTTCTTAACCATCAGAAATTATCTCTGTGTTCTAGTGAGTCATTTGAAGTGACTGCCAGTCTGTGCAGCATTGCTGCAGTTGAAGTGAGGACAGTGTATGATTTACCTAACATAGTTTGATGACCTTCTTGCTCCCATTCTTTTCAGAAACCCAAGCTGCAGGTATAAACTTCATAATTTCTCTGCACTGGATAGGAAGCAAATATAACATAATGTTCTCTTGGAAATACCAAATGATTAATATTTGTGTTGTGTTTTGAATATAATTTTTTTGTGGTAACACAGTGTGAAGTCCGTGTCTGTTTTAGCTATGCTTTACTTGAGATAGCAATTAGATAGCCAGGTAGACATGTCATGTAGAAATTTGGAAATGAAAGCACACAAGAGGTTAAGTCAGAGCAGGTGATAGGAATTTAGTAGGGTTTAGAAATAGATGACATGTTTTAGTACTGGGGGTCAAACCCTGAGGCACTCTATTCCTTAGCTACACCCCCAACCCATTTTTTTTTTTTTTAATTTTGAGACAGGTCTCACTGAGTTTCTCAGGCTGGCCTCAGATTTGTAATCCTCTTACTTTTGTTTCCCAAGTAGCTAGGATTATAGGTGCACCACTGTGCCCAGCCTCTACCTGTATTTTTATAGCATTTATTTTACCTTTCTCTCATATTTTCAGTTCCTAACTCAAATGTTGATTATTTCTGGAATGTGATTCTGACAGGAGTTATCTAAAGCAAGAGATTCTCTACTTGTTGAAAATATTAATAATGTTTTGTCTATGAAGGCTTACTTTTGAGTGTAGGTTCAGAGTGTAATTGCTTTTTACTGTTTCTGACCCAGTTTAAGATGCTACCAGAACTATTTCAAGATGATGAAAAGGCCATTAGTCCAACCTCAGCTACCTCTTCAGGGCGTACACCCCTCACCCGCATTCCTGCAAAGGCCACCAAGGGCAGACCAGGCCAGACAGCCAAAGAGCACAAGAAAACAGTGGGGCATCAGGTGAGTTCAGGGAGCTGCTGCTGCCACACTCCTCCTTTGCTCACCTGAAGCCTCAGGTCTTCTTTCTTTAGCTTCCAGGTGGGATTCTCAGGTGAGAAGAGTCTGGAGCTTCCACTGTGAGAAAAAATAACACTGCTCACTCATACTTCTCTCTGCCAACTCTAGATCCACGCCTCTGTGTCTGCCTTCCCCAAAACAATTTTCTCTATGTCTTGATTCTTTTAGTGCATATCATCTCTCTCAGACCACTGCTTTCTTTACTTCATTCTCTGGTTGCTTTGTCTCTGTATTTATACAGAGCAACAGTTATCTCCTTCAGTACAAGAAAGTGCCTTCTCCTTCCTTTGATGTCTTATGCCCTGTAGGGAGTGGGAAATATTATATGCTTGCTTAGTGCCTAAATGTAGGGTAAAGGCTTTGGAAGGGAGGTTAAGCACTAAAAAACATACTGTGTTTTCCTGTGTGAGACCCTGTTCCAGTGTAGATCAGAGCAGGACTTGACATGAGTCCACAGCCTCTAGTCCTGATTTCATGTCCCTAATGGTAACTCCTTTCTGGCCATCCTTCCCATTCTCCACTCATTCCTTATACTCTTTTAAGATGTCTGTTGCTTTTTTCAGTATCTTAAGCAAAATTTCTATTTGACATAATTAAATGACCTTCATATTCTTAAAGCAAAGTTATATTGTGGGTCACGTACGAATGAACTCATATCACAAAGCTGTAGAAGCCTATTTATAAGGGGAATGGGAGAAAGATATGAGGGTAGGGAAGATATATATTTAGCAGAGTAAGCATATATTAGTAGAATTTGGGCAGAATTTAACTAAAAGTCTTAACATTCCTGTTTTAGTATCAGCTCCCTTTTTCAGGATGCATCAAATTCATAGGTGACAAAGTCATATTCATTAGTGTCATAGGAAGAGAATTTTAATTGTTTTACATCATCTTTGACTTTTAAGAAAACTTTGATCCCCCTTTCTGCCCTTTTTCATGCAGTTCCGAAATTCCCTTCACTTGCTTATGGAGACTCTCAATGCCACTACTCCTCACTATGTGCGCTGTATTAAGCCTAATGACTTCAAGTTTCCATTCACGTAAGTATTTCTCAACTACTGAATAATAAAGTATCCCTGCTGCATGAGGATTGCCAAGCTTTCATAAGGAAAAAAACCGGGGTAAATCTTCACGTCTTGTAGAGGTAAAATACTACTTAATAGAATTTTTTCAGTTTTTGTTCCCTTTTCACAATGTGAGAATAAATTAGCAGTTGGTCATCTGTTAAGGCTTAAAAGTTGAGGTGAACCAAACATTTCTGGTTTGATGTTATTTTTTAAATTTACCTCAGTTCAAAATCTTTCTAGGTGTTTTGTTAATTTGGGTACTAGTTAAAACCAGAGCTAGCTGGGGGATAAGATGCTTTGGCAAAGATGTACCTGCTACTTTTTACCTGATGAAACCACCAGAGATTGTCTGCTTTTACCAACATCTTGTCCTGCTTCAAATGGCATATATGACAAAGAACTCAAAAAGCTTAACACCAAAATAATAATAATAATAATAATAATAACAACAACAACCCAATCAATAAATGGGCAGAGGAACTAAAATATTTCTCAAAAGAAGAAAAACAAATGGTTAACAAATATATGAAAAAAATGTTCAACATCTCTAGCAATTAGAGAAATGTAAATTAAAACTACACCAAGATTATACATCACTCCAGTCAGAATGGCAATTATCAAGAATATAAGTAACAATAAATGTTGGTGAGGATATGGGGAAAAGGATACATTGATACATTGCTGGTGAGACTTCAAATTGGTGCAACCATTCTGGAAAGCAGTATGGAGATTCCTCATAAAACCTGGAATGGACCTACCATTTGACCCACTCCTCAGCATATACCCAAAGGACTTAAAATTGGCATACTATAGTGATGCAGCCACATCAATGTTGATAGAAGCTCAGTTCACAATAGCTTAGATATGGAACCAACCTAGGTGCCCATCAACAGATGAATAGATAAAGAAATTGTGGTATATATACAGGGTGGAATGTTACTTAGACATAAAAAAGAATGACTTTATGACATTTGCGAGTAAATGGGTGGATCTGGAGAGTATCATGCTAAGTGAAATAAGCCAGTCTCCAAAAACCAAAGGTCAGGTGTTCTTTCTGATATGTGGATGCTAACACACAATAGGTCAGGGGTGGGCGGGGAGGTGAAGAATAGAAATTCAGTGGATTAGACAAAGGGGAATGAAAGGAAGGGAGGGGGAATAGAAAAGATAGTGGAATGAATCTGTCATAACTTTCCTATGTACATATGTGAATACACCCCAGTCTATCTTAACATCATGTACATCCACAAGACTGGGATCCTAATTAGAATAAGGTATATTCCATATTTGTATCAATATGTCAAAACAGAGTCTACTGTCATTTATAACTAAAAAGAACAAATAAATTTTTTTAAATATGAGAGAAGAATCTTTCATGCACCACCCCACAAAAAGATATCCCTTTAATTTTGAAACTAATACATGTACATTGTGAAAACAATTTTCAGAAAACATAGGATAGTATAAAAAGAAATGAAAAAGATAATTGGTATAAACTGGCATAAACCATTCTTGACTAACCAGCATCCCTTCCTTCCTATTCTGTGTGTGTGTGTGAGAGAGAGAGAGAGAGAGAGAGACAGACAGACAGACAGACTGATTTACGGGGAGAGAGAGGGAAAAAATACTAGAATAAGGGAGGATCTCAATGCTGTAATTGCAGTTTTATCTCCGTTTTTTATGCAATAGATAGTGGACACGTCCCATGTTAGTAAAAGTCCACATCTCATTTTAATGGCTGCGGAGTATCCTATGACACAGATGTACCATTATTTATTCAAATTATTGCCTACTGATGATTATTTAGGTTGTTTCAACAATGCAATAAAAACATCTTTTGCCTATAATTTTTGTTTGTCTAATATATCCTTTGGATAATATATTTCTAGAAGTGGAATTTGTGAATTTGTAGGTCAAAATCATGCTTCTAGTCTGAGGATTACTCATTATGTACATATATTAAAATATCACACTGTTCCATAAGTATTTTTTTAAAAGATGAGAAAAAAAGAAAAGGAAAAAAAATGAGGCACATACACCCATTCTACAAATTATGATTGCCTGTTTCCTTACTTCCCTGCCAATCCTGCTATCTAGAGAGTATATCTGAAAGACTGCTGTCCTGTGCCCCTCATCATTAAGAAGCCCTCTCTAGAGGAAGTGGCAAGCAGGAAGCAATTGCCATGCCATGAGCCATGACCTTGCATCAGCAAACTCCATCTCCTGCCACCAACAGAACACTTGAGAAGAGAGTGCAGGAGAAGGTGTAGATGGATCACTCAGAGCCTAGCTATGGGAGTGTAATAAGAGTGATCATATAGTTAGAGGAGACCTTTCTGCTTCCTCTTTTAGTATTATTTTAATTTGAAGATTTCAATTGCCCATAGTGAAATAATATAAAATATAATACAAAATAAAATATTTTCATTTATATAAACACTATACATGCTTAGTATGTATACAGTAAATAGCTTTTAAAACATCAATAATTTTTTTAAGAAAAAAACTTACTGGGGCATATTTAATGTGTCCTTCCTGTTGGAATGGTGTCCATTTTTAGTCCGAGGGATGGAACTGCTCAAGAATGAAGAATATCTTCCAGACTGGCCAGTATTCATTCCAAGAGAACCTATATAGGGAGCTAAAAATCTCTGAGAATTAATCAGGTCAACCCATGTAAGTGAGTATGGACAATGCAGAGAAATTTTGTGTTCCTTTCTTTTTTTAGTATCCTCAGTGCACTTTCTTATGAGTTTGTGGTTTGAACCCTAGGGGGTGTTTACAGCTCTATTTTTATTGCTCATTGTCTCTCCCCAGTCTCATGAAGTTTTCCATTTTGATCACAGCTTCAACTTTTGAATGCTTTCTTTTTTAATTTATCCACTTGGTTGTTTACAGAAGAATTTTAACCCTGCCTGAGGAGAGTGACTACAGCTTGGTTCTTTGTGCACTAATGACCTTTTTTTTTTTTTTTTTTTTTTTTTTTAAACATGTAGGTTTGATGAGAAGAGGGCAGTGCAGCAACTGAGAGCATGTGGTGTCCTGGAAACCATTCGAATCAGTGCAGCAGGTTTCCCCTCACGGTGGGCGTGACATTTTTCAGGTGTAAGGAATCCTAATGGGGAGATTCCTAGATCTTTAAATAAACTGATGTAATTTTATTTTTATAGGTGGACTTACCAAGAATTTTTCAGTCGCTACCGAGTCCTAATGAAGCAAAAAGATGTGCTAGGTGACAGAAAGCAAACATGCAAGAATGTGTTAGAGAAACTGATACTGGTGAGAAAGATTTTTCACTTACCTTTATCTGAACAAAGGCCTTGTGGTTCTTATTTGTAAAGACCCTGGGAGCTTTCATGTAAAATATCATTCATCCAAATTATCTAGGGGTGGTTGGGTAGAGGGGCACACTGTCTTAGAGGTTGAGGCTCACTCATGCTAAAACTTGTGAGCAGGAGAATGGTCCATTATCAGAAAATAAAATTGTTAAGGCCTGAACCCAACTTGAGACACATTTATTTTAGAGACTGTGATCATTTCAGCAAAAATATTTGCAGTACTTACTTATGGAAGACACCAGACCAGATGATGTGTAATTGAGAAAAAATGATTCTTAATAGTATGGTGGTGCATGCCTGTAGTTCCAGCCACTCAGGTTGTAATGAGGGGAATCTCTTGACCCAGGAGTTTGAGGCCAATGTAGATAACATAGTGAGACCCTGTCTCAAAAACAAAAACAAAAAATGAGCCTTATTCTCAAGTAACAGTCTATCTTGGCAAGTAATGCATTTTAAAGTTAAATATACTATACTTTAGAGTCTATATCAAATGCTTAATGAATAGGACAAGAAATCAGGAAGGTAAAGTCACATCCAGCTAGGGGAAGGAGGAACAATTTCATGAATGGGTAAGACTGGATAAAACTGGAGAAAGAATATTCTAAGAGAAAGCATGGTATGAAAAAAGCAAGCAAGCATAGGGTTTGCTCAGAAAAAGTAGCTTTTTGCAGTATAAGATTTGTGAATGGGATTGTAAAGTAATGGTTAGGAAATATATGTTGATATTATAGAGAATCAATCATCCCAGGCTAAGAAGTTCTAAAACTTTATTGTGAATTAGTGTCACCTGGAGTGTTTGCCAAACACAGATCTCTAAGCCATACCCCCAGAATTTCTGGGGCAATTATCAGGGAATTGCCCCGTAATTTGCATTACTAACAAATTCCCAGGTAATACTGATGCTATCTGAAGAGAACTGCACTTTGAGAATTACTGATCTTCTGATCTAGGACTTAGAGAATTAAGATTCATAAAAAATTTTTTAAAATATATTTTTACTGGTTGAAACGAGTCTAAAGGGAATTGCCTCACTTCAAGATAGTTAGTCCTAATAGACTGTTAACAGGTAATTTCCTTTGGTAATGATATATATATATATATATATATATATATATATAGAGAGAGAGAGAGAGAGAGAGAGAGAGAGAGAGAGAGAGTTTGTTTTTAAAAAACAAACAAGTCATGTTTTAAAAAAAAACCTAGTGTTTGTCGAGTTTGGCCTATCTCCTTTCAACCCTGAGTTCACATGGGATTGAGCAACAGTCCTACTCCTGTCTTCCTTACCACTCTGGACCTGGTTTCAGGGCCTCGAAAGGAATAGGCAGAGGAGCCTGCAAGATGGAGGCAAAGTTGGATCTTGAGATGGGACAGGGGTGGTAGGAGAGGATCACTTTTAACTATGACTCTAAAATTATTGAATAATTTTAGATTTTTTAGATGCACTTGGAGGTTTCTTATTTTTAGGTTTCGTATATAAGATAGGATATATCTGCTTACAGTGAAAAGGGATTTCCTGTTTTTGCTTAGAATTTCAGATCACGGTGGTGATTATTATACATGCATTTTACTCTTCTTTTGATATGAGAATGGTTAATAATTTACATGTTTCTAGATGTGGTGACTAAGAACAGTATGAAATTCAAAAGTTTGTTTTTGTAAAGCAAATGTCATTGAGCAATGTAACTGATTATATTTGGGGGAAGAAATTTGAAATTTATAGGATTTTAATACTTTTATAAAGTTTTTTCTTATTGTTTTTGTTTTAAATACTGTTGATGAAGTCAAGAGATAATTGTTGAGAAACTCAACTCTTAATATAAATACCCATGGATTTTTGGGTTGGTTTTTTTTTTTCCCCCAATTTTATTTCATATGCTTTTCTTCCTGCCTTATTCTTCACACTGATGTTTTTGTCCCTTCAGCTTGCTCATGGAATATACAGCCTGATGTAATGCTTACAGCTCGGTCACTCTGAGGGAGTGTCAACATCTCCATTTCCTTGAGATGTTTAAAATACAAACCAGAAAATAATAGCTGCCTATAACCCACAACCAAGTTTTGGGCCTCAGATAAAAAAATTCCAGGTAGAATAATTCTGGAAAATAACTCTTAAACTATAGTTTTCCTTAAAAATCCGTTCTATTTGCTGAACTTGCATAGGATCAAAAATCTGGCTCCATTAGTTAATTGTGATGTAGCCTAAGTTTTAGCTAATAGATTCATCCTTTTACTGATTCTGCTTCTAGACATATTTTTCTCTTTTAAATTTCTTTTATATGGTTATTATTTCTGAATATATAATTTCTTCCTAAAATAGGACAAGGACAAATACCAGTTTGGTAAAACAAAGATCTTTTTCCGTGCTGGTCAAGTGGCCTATCTAGAAAAATTGAGGGCAGACAAACTGAGGGCTGCCTGCATTCGGATCCAGAAGACCATCCGAGGTTGGCTGCTGAGGAAGAAGTACCTACGCATGCGTAAAGCAGCCATCACTGTGCAGAGATATGTGCGGGGCTACCAGGCTCGATGGTAGGTCTCCCGAGTACCTATACGTTATTTTTAACAGGGCCCTAAGATTAAGGTGTTCACCTAATTCATTATCCAACCTAAGGCAGGTTTGAGTAGTTACCCTACCTAAGAAGTCAGCATCTCACCCCTTCTTAGTTTCAAGGAATAACAACTCATAAGACAGTTAAATATAATAAAATTTCACTTAGCCTTATAGATGATTCTGATTCGTCCTCAGAAAATTTTAAGTTTCTACCTACTCATATCCTCAAAATTTTTGTGTTTTCTATTTTTATAGGTAGTTTGAAGAAATCATGTGTAAATTAAAATAGGCATGAATATGACCTGCTTAATAATGACTCCATTGAGGAGCTTTCAGGAACAAGTAGCTGAGAAAGTCTATACTGTACTGAAGAACTACACTTCAATGTGATTACATATTAGGACAATTTTAATTTTGAAGTATAAGTGGAAAGGCATTAATGATGAAGAATATACACTCTAACAGATTTTAGGAAAAAATATGGTACATTAACAATGGGTAGATCTAAGAAAGTTTTTGATAAGTAAATATGGGATTACCATGTAGACTGGTCTCCTTTGTAAAGGGCACTTAGCTGATGGTTATAAGCCCTGTCCTCGAAAGAATTATGAACTTTCTATTTTTTTTTATTGTAAAATCTGGCAGTATGGGATGGCCCCTTTTCAGAAATTGGAAAGACTCAGGTAAGAAAATTAATGATAATAAATGTTTAGATGAGGTAATGAATGAATTCTACTTTGGGAAACTACTAATTGCTATACAAATATAAGCAAATATAAATGTTGATTTATCATGCACATTATTAGAATAATGTAATTCAGGTACTACTCATTATGACCAAGACATTGATATGAATTTTTGCATTTTTCTTATTATTGACAATGTACTACTGTGTTCTTTTAGCTATGCTAAATTTCTGCGTAGAACCAACGCAGCAGTCATCATTCAGAAATACTGGCGCATGTATGTGGTCCACAAGAAGTACAAGATTAAACGAGCTGCCACTATTGTTCTTCAGTCTTACTTGCGAGGCTACTTGGCCAGAAATAGGTATCGCAAGGTGAGACATTATTTTCAAATTTGTTTATTCATTCCATTAACATTAATCAATTTCCATATATGTACATAATGCCACAGGGGATGCTGGGACATAGGAGCCATATGGAAAAAACTAACAATTGTAGTGTGTTTTTAAATATTAAATAATTACATATTAATAAGACAAAAGAAAAAATTTATCTCCTCTCATCCCTTATCTGTGTAGTTTGGAAATAAAAAGTAGGTATATAATAAGTTATAACAAACTTAGTGACTGAAAATAACAGAAATTTATTATCTCACCTTTCAGGAGACCAAAGTCCAAAATCATTACTTAGCCAAAATCAAGGTATCAACAGGATTGCACTTTGTCTAGAAGCTCTAGAGGAGAACCCATTCCTTGCTTCTTCCAACTGCTAGTAGCTGCCAGCACTTTTTGGACTTAGGGCATATCCCTCCAATCTGCTCTTCCCTTACAGTATCTTCTCAATGTGTCTAACTTTTCATATCTGTCTCTTATAAGAACAATTATAATGCTATTTATATCCTGCTTTATAATCCAGGATAATCTTCCCATGTTAAGATCTTTAACCTAGTCACATGTACAAATATCATTTTTCCAAATAATTTTATAAATTCTGGAAATGATATCTTTGGAGTCTATCATCAGATAACTATAGAGAAATAAAATACATATGATTAGGTCAAATATATGACAGATGAGTAGAAGATTAACCCAAGTATCAGACAACCTTGGAAGAATTTACTAGGTGAAGAGAAAATAAATTATAACATTATTATGGCTAAAATTGTATTAATTGGAATATGATGCTTTAGAAGGTTTTAAAAAATCATTTTTATATCTAGCAATAATAAAGATGACTCTATACATACTGGATCACCAGATTAATTTTAATTGTGACAGTTGATAAAAAGGTTTTTATCTCTTTCATTTTGGCAAGGCTTTAAGCCTGTTGTATAGACTGTGTTTCTAATACACCAGAAATCTACTAACTGGATATTAGAGCTCTGTGGGCATCCCAGTCAGAAAGCACACAAATAGGGTGATTTAGGGGTAGGTTTCTTATCACTGGCAGTGTATGGGTATATCTTGGCCATTTTCATCCATTCATTTTACATTTTTATTTTGAAGTGATTTTAGATATAAAAAATTATAAAACTGATTAGATCTGAATGAACATATTTAATAACTGTGGTTTGAAGGAAATTTAAAGGCAGCTACTCCAGATCCTTTTTTCTGCTTATGTCTATTTTATAGTCTGTTCTTTCTACCTAAGTATGAGATTTCAGAGCTTTATACTTGGCTTTTCAGATATACTAAACTAATTTCCTCAGTAGTCTCCTCAGAAACATTTGAAATGTGTTTTGAGGCCAGTAGTTTGGCAGTGGTAGTCACTAGCTGGCTCAATCCCCCTGTGACTGGACACAGCGCTGGGTGAGTAGTTTCAGATTAGATGCTTGCTCACATACAGGCCATCCTATTAATCCTAGTTTCTTTTAGCTGTGCTCTTGAGATCCAAGGATTCCCATAGTGGGATTGGGGTGGGGCTGTCTTAAAGGAAATATAGACATTCTTTCATTTCTCTGAGTCACGGATCTGAGTCATGTTCCACTGAACATGGAAGCTCCAATTATATTATGTTTTCATTTGACTGAAATTAGAGAAATGGACCGATGTCTAAAGTCACATGGGAAGAAGCAAAATTTGTGTTATTACTTTGTTACTGTGAGCTGTTTGAACTTTCAAGTCTGAAACCCTTCAGTTTGCTATCACTGAGTGTTGTTGTTCCTGCTCCTTAATCATTGGATAAAACAAGGGCCTCCCTCAGGACTGGTATGTTCAGAAGTTCAGAGGGCTGGCCTCATGGCAGCACAATGCAAGGCTGCACTTGATGAAAGCCATAGTGTTGGAAGAACAGCCAAAAGTGCAGGATTGAGTTGGTAGAAGATACTCCTCAGGTCTCCTAAACTCCTATGCTTATTTTGGTGTTTTATAATTCAAAACTTAACCACTGATAAGAAGAAGTATATCTTCTAGAATGCTATTTTTTTCTTTGTTTTTCTCAGGTATATAACCTAAAAGTAGGAACTATTCTTTTTATGATCTTATTAAACTGCTATCTATTTAAATAGATGGTTTCAGAGATTTTTACACTTTAGAAGTTTTACAAGAGATACATTATGTTCATTTGTATGAATCACTAACAAGTACTTAACCAAGTACATAACTTATTTTCCCACAGTGTGGGACTGAACCCAGGCGCACTCTACCACTGAGCTGTAGCCCCAGCCCTTTGTATATTTTATTTCGAGACAGGGTCTTGCTAAGTCGCTGAGGCTAGTCTTGAACTTGTGATCCCCCTGCCTCAGCCTTCTGAGTCACTGGGATTATGAGTATGCACCACTGCATCCAGCTCAAATATATAACATTTTTTTTTTAGAGAGAGAGAGAGAGAGAGAGAGAGAGAGAGAGAGAGAGAGAGAGAGAGAGAGAGAAGTTTATTATTTATTTTTTAGTTATCGGCGGACACAACATCTTTGTTTTGTATGTGGTGCTGAGGATTGAACCCGGGCCGCACGCATGCCAGGCGAGCGCGCTACCACTTGAGCCACATCCCCAGCCCAAATATATAACATTTAAATATCATGTACTTCATACAAGAGTTATTTCATAAAATTATATACTTAGAAGGAACTCAAGGTTTTTCTAGTTCAACCTTTTCTTAAAATTCAAAATTTATTTTCTCCATCTTTCCTAGAAAATATTTATATAGTTTATGCTAAATGGTCTTTAGTGGCAAGAAATTAATCTCATAAAAGGCATGAATATAAGTTGAGTATAAATTTAAGGGGCTATATATTTTTTAAAAATATTTTTTAAAAACATTAAATCAAAAGGAAGATTACTTCACATCTTTGTAATTTTCACTTTCTTTTTAAACTCATTCTTCCAAATTTAAATCCCACAAGCAGATTTCTTATTCATTTAAAATAGGAATTAGAAACTACATAGAATGGTATTCCTCAAATGTAACAAACAAGAGTGTCATAATTTCTTTTTTCTGGAGAAAAAACGTCAAATCACCTATGAACTTTTAGCACCCTAAATGTTGGCCTCTACCAACAGCTTGCTGACCATACCCCATGTCCTCATGCACAGGCCTAATGCACAGTGAGGTGAGATGATGTCAACAGTAAGAGTAGTGGGGAGATTTTCTAGTTTAATAGCATGTAGTTCACAGAGTGTCTGGTTCTGGGAGTTTTATGGGGGTTGTCTATTAACAGAAAACATACACAATAAGAAACATAATGTATTTTTTTCTCTTTTTTTAATCTTTTAGTTAAATATAGAAATATTGACATCGATTTTATGTTTTTTTAAATACACGACAGCATTACAATTCTTATTACACATATAGAGCACAATTTTGCATATCTCTATATATAAAGTAATGCGTATCTCTGTATATAAAGAAAAGCAAATCAAAACTACTCTAAGATATCATCTCACTCCAGTCAGAATGGCAGCTATTATGAAGACAGACAACAGTAAGTGTTGGTGAGGATGTGGGGAAATAAGTACATTCATACATTGCTGGTGGGACTGCAAATTGGTGCAGCCAATTTGGAAAGCAGTATGGAGATTCCTTGGAAATCTGGGAATGGAACCATCATTTGACCTAGCTATTCCTTTCCTCAGATTATACCCAAAGGACTTAAAAACAGCATACTACAGGGACACAGCCACATCAATGTATTTTTCTCTTTAGACCCTTTTTCTTTTGATAATCTGATGCCTTTTATTTGACAGTTTCCAAGGTATAGTCTGCTTATAATCATACATATAATTTGTGCCTATAAAATCACTTGTTAAGATAATGTTATGCCTCCATATTTCTGTGATATGAATAATTCACATAATGCATTATTAATTCAACTTTTTCATCTTTCTCTTTAGATAATGTATTGATTCTCAGCTTGACATGTCAGCCTCTCATTGATAGAGTTGAACCTTGGTATAATCCAGGATCTTACCTACTTCACCTTTACCCTTTTCTGCAGATACTCCGCGAACACAAAGCAGTCATCATTCAGAAGTGGATCCGTGGCTGGCTGGCTCGAACACATTACAAGAAGAGCATGCATGCCATAATCTATCTTCAGTGTTGCTTCAGGCGGATGATGGCTAAGCGTGAGCTTAAGAAGCTCAAAATTGAGGCTCGCTCTGTGGAACGATATAAGAAGCTCCACATTGGCATGGAGAACAAGATTATGCAGCTGCAGCGCAAAGTTGATGAGCAGGTGTGTTTTAAAAAGGAGCCCTGATGTTGGAGCATGCCTGAAGAAATCCATTGAGATTATTTTCAATATTGTTTCCCCTTAATTTACCCTTTAGTCTTACCAAAAAATAAAATAATGACAATAATGAGCATAGAAATAATGATGAGCTCATATGTTAGATTACAATTTAAGGATCAAGGAAGGGATTTATTTTTGAGAACACCCTAACCCACTTCAGACCTTTAATGATCAAAAGTCCTATTGTACTTTATACTTTATAGAATTCTTTCACCATATCATTTATTTGTATGCAGTATAATATTATTATACTGAAATGACAAAAGAAATAGAAAGGTGTCCATGCTTATAAAGAGTTTACAGGCTATTTGCAGAGATAAAGAATTGATTGCTTAGTGATAGTTACTAAATAATAGTTTAGTATATGTAAGTGACATAAAAGTATTAATAATATATAAATGATAAGAATAGCAGAAGAAAACAAGGATCAGAATGAAATGACATATTTTTGAAAGATTTTCTGAATAAGACAAAAGAATTTTGAGGTACTAAATGGATATTTGTAAGAAATTTGTGATTTTTAATCCATTTTATCATCTTTATGCATCATTTAGCTGGTTCATTGTTTTTAGTGGCATTCTGATCTGTTTTCAAAATCAAGTTACACATTCCCCTATTTCTGGATTAAGAATCATGAAATTGCCAGGTGTAGTGGCACTCACCTATAATTCCAGTGACTTGGGAGGCTGAGGCAAGAGAATGGGGAGTTCAAAGCCAGCCTCAGCAAAAGCGAGGTGCTAAGCAACTCAGTACGAACCTGTCTCTAAATAAAATACAAAATAGGGCTGGGGATGGGCTCAGTGGCCAAATGCCCCTTAGTTTAATCCCGGTAACCCCCGCCCCTGCAAGAAAAAATCATGAAATTAAGAATTTACTATGTAATTCATGATCATGAGAAACCATATCTGTGTTGCATATCACATACAACAGAATTAATTGTGATATGCAGTTAATTTGTATCACTGAGAAGATATTGGTTGTGTTATTGTAATGTTGAGCGTATTACCATCCATATCCCTGTCTATGCTTAATACAGAGGAAATGTGCTGTCATTTTGACTTGGCCCATATATCTCAATGTGAGTTTAATACAAGTTGTATTAAAAATGATTCGGTTTAACAGATTTGGTTATATACTATAACAATGCTGTGATGATGTAACACAGATGTGATTAGTAAGCATGATTTTTTCATGAAATACATTTGGTTATTCATATGAATAGTATATATTTACTTATTGTTGCTTATTTGTATGTTTAAAGAATAAAGATTACAAATGCCTCATGGAGAAACTGACCAATCTGGAAGGAATATACAACTCTGAGACTGAGAAATTACGGAGTGACTTAGAACGTCTTCAGCTAAGTGAGGAGGAAGCTAAGGTTGCCACTGGACGAGTTCTTAGTCTGCAGGAAGAAATTGCCAAGCTCCGGAAAGACCTGGAACAAACTCAGTCAGAGAAAAAAACCATTGAAGAACGAGCAGATAGATATAAACAAGAAACTGAGCAGGTAGGAATTAATGTCCATATTTCATTCTATACCTTACCCAAAGTAAATGGGCAGTGTTTAGGACTTCTTTTCTTCCTTTAAGTCTCCTCAGTCCCTAGAAGCTTTCCAGATTCCTTTGAATCTTCAGTGTATTTAAGCTTGGTGGGAAGAATAAGGTTTCCTCTTTTAAGCTAAGTTCTTGCCTTTCCGGTCTGATAGAATAGTATACATGAGCAGATTCAGATTTCTCCTTTCTTTTTATTTCATTGTCTTCTTTTCAAAGGAGTAGATGTAGGCACCACTTTTGATCCTTTTGAAAAAATATAATGACAGGGAAAGAATGAAAATATTTCACTGTGATAGCCAGCTTCATCATTGGAAAAATATTCTCTGAATAAGAAGTCCATAAGTTACACTACAGCTGGTTCTTAACCAGGAGTGTATCAGAATCTCCTGGAGAGTTTTTTTGTTTGTTTGTTTGTATTGGGGTTGTTTTGTTTAGTTTAGTACTGGGAATTGAATCCCAAGGATGCTGCATCACTGAACTATATTTCCATTCCTTTTTAAATTTTATATTTTGAGTCAGGGTTTTGCTAAAATGCCTAGGCTGACCTTAAGCTTAGCCTGCCACAGCTGCCTGAGTTGTTGGGATTATAGATGTGCACCACCAGGCCCAGCTTCCTGGAGAGTTTTTTAAAATGGTCCTCCCCAGGATTGGGGTTGTGGCTCAGTGGTAGAGCATTTGCCTGGTATGTGTTAGGCACTAGGTTTAATCCTCAGCACTACATAAAAATAAATAAATAATGTAAAGGTATTGTGTCCATATACAACTAAAAAATATTTTTTAAAAAAATTGTCCTCCCCAAGCTTTGGAAATGTGGGATAGGCACCTAGATTTTGAGAAAGCACTACAGGATTGTCTGTACACCCCTGATTAAGAGCAGCTTATCTTAAGAGCCCACAGAGAATTTAGACCTTTCTACTGGAATGGATGTTAAACCCATGTTTGTACAGAGGGCAGACTGGTCTACCAGAAGGGATACTTTTTAAACTGACTTTGGCTATGGCACAGTGCTATTGTCTACTTTCCTGGTCTCAGGATCTATGGTCACAGAGCCTTCTTTTCCTGTCACTAAGCCTAGTGTGTTGAAAGGTTTGTGCATCACCTTTCTCTTTATTAATATAGCTCTCACTTTGAGGGAGACAGGATTAAAATATCATTCATCACAAGCACACATTTTATTCCAAGGATGTAAATTATGTACTTTGCTAAGTTACCTTTGATTTTGATTTTTGCTTCCTGGGGATCTTTATCCAATCAGAAACAAGAAAGTTAAGGGTCAGTGCTTTTTTTTTTAATGTGGTAAAATATGTTCATTTTAATTATGAATATACATGAGCTTTGTGTCACAATGTTGAGATGAGATGGTAATATTGCTTTGAGAACAAATGTTTGCTAGGTACCAAGTAATTGCTAAATGTTCAAGGTACAACATAAAACAACTATCACCATTCTTGTCAACTAGGAATCTAGTCTATTAGAGAAGACAGAAAAGTAAATCATTTATAAGGGCTATAAAGAGGTGTATATAGAGTTCTGTAGTAACCCAGAGAAGAGACCTAATGGAGGAGGTTTCCAGAAAGTGTCTGTAGAGGGTAAGTTTGACGGGTGACCAGACGTAACAGGTCAAAGACATGAGGCACAAGGATGGTGAAAGCATGGAGTGACTTCTATGTGGTCTTTAGACTTAGTAATGGAGATTCCTCTATTGCAATCATCTCAGTTTATTGTTTCATTTTATAGCTGGTATCAAATCTGAAAGAAGAAAATACTTTGCTGAAGCAGGAAAAAGAGACCCTTAATCACCTTATTGTGGAGCAGGCTAAGGAGATGACAGGTAAGGCTTATGTAAGCTCAACATACTATATATACACCAACCACCCTCACACCAAAGTCTTATAAGTTATAGCATTATTTTTTTCCAGTTACAAGATTACTTAGCACTTAAATATTTTAAAAAGTTGAGGCTATCATCAGTAAATTTACAGTTAGAAGTGGTAGGAGTGCCAGATATTTTGGTTGACTTAGTGCTGAACTTGTAAGCCTGATTTCTCTGTGTACCAGTATGAACTCATTCAGTCAATGCTATATATGGTTTTTTCAAAAGTTAATTTGCTTTATGTATATAATTTATCAGTTATGACTTATAGAATTATTATTGATTTAGTAAGAATTCTTGAGCTAGCATAGATAGATAGATAAAGGGATGTATGTTTCTATGTATATTGGTTTATTTATTTTTATTTTTATTTTAACAGTACTGGGAATTGAACAGGCTTTCATGCCTGTTAGGCATGCACTCTACTACTAAGGTTCACCTCCACCCTCCACCCCCCCTTTTTGGCTTATATACACTAGAATTTATTTTTTGCAGTTCTGGAAGCTGTGAAGTCTAAGATTAAAGTAACAGCATATTCAGTGTCTGGTGATGTCCCATTTCCTGGTTTATATAATGGTGCCTTCTCTCTGTGTCCTTACATAGTGTTAGGGGAACACAGCTCTCTGATCCTCTTTATGGGTATATATGTAGAGATATATTTATATATACATGTACATATAGATAGATGTATTTATATATAAATTATAGTTATTCATAGTTGTTGGGTATATTTTGATACAATCATACAGGCAAGGAATTTGTTTTCAATCCCCATTCCTCCCACTTTGTTTCCCACCTAATTAACTGAGATTATAGGTGGGCACCACCATGCCTGACTTATTTTTATTGTTTTAAATTGATATAATTGTATATTTGTATGGGGTAAAATACAATAATTTGATATAAGTATATAATGTATAATGATCAAGTCAGAGTAACCAGCATTTCTATCTACTCAAGTAGTTTATCATTTCTATGTGTGGAAAACCTTCAGATTCTTCTTTTCGGCTTATTTTATATATCATAAATTGCCATAGACCATAGTTACCCTACTATACTATAAATAAATACCAGAACTAATTCCTTTCTTTCCTTTGTTTGATACCCATGATCTAACTTCTTTCTGTCCCTCCTCCCTACTATCCATCCTTCCCAGTATCTAGTGACCGCTGTTCTACTCTCTTCTATCAGATCAGTTTATTTAGTTTTCACAAATGAAGAAAGACAGATATCTTTCTGGATCTTGCTTATTTATTATTTATTTTTTGCTAAACCAAGGAATATTATTCTCCTAAGATCAACTTTTTTTTTTTTTTTTTTGCTACCAAACTAAAAATACAATATTCAATTTTTTTAGATATGGACATTTATTCTATTTGCTGTTCGTGGTATAATTAAAATAGTGGTGATATAAAAAGTATCTCCATTTATATTAAACAATAATAATTAGTGGAAGAGAAAAGATGGGTTGGAATGAGACTATATCATATGAAAAATAGTCACTAGAACATTATAATTTTTGATGAGGTGTCGCGACCCCTCGCCGGCAAGGGAAAACACGACACAGGATTTTTCTTTCAGCAGTTTATTCAGGCCTTGTTTCATGTATCATCTTTTAGTGACCCCCCGCCGAGCGCCCAAGCATAGCCTAATAAAGCTTACTCAAGTCCAATCCAAAGCTGCCACGCGGGGTTTTCTCATAGGGTGTTGAGGGACAGCGTGCCAACCTTCCCTAATAAGGAGTTGTTTACCAAGATCCACAACGGAGACCGGCGCCATCTTCTAATGGCGGCAACGGTCTGCAGACACGGCTCACCACAATGAGGTATTCAAAAAAGACAAAATGTCCTAAAGTTTTAACATGAGATACCCAGAAAATAATGGTATCTTATTAGTAATGATGAAATTAAAGAAAAAGTACCTGTGTATGAGGCAAATTAATGAGATTAGTTGTTAGACTGTTATAAATATTCTACAAAGAAGTAGATCCAATGATAGCTGTAAATATCCTAGAGGGGATTCACTAAGGGAATTGGCTCACATGATAAGAAGAAGAAGTCCCACAGTTTGCATGTTGGAGTACCAGAGAAGCTGGCAGCATGACTCAGGCCAAGTCTGAAGGCCTTAAGACCACGGAAGCTGATGGTGTAACTAACTCTCAGTCTGAGTCAGAAGGCCTGAAAGCCCAGGTGACTGCTTGTGCAAGTCCCAGAATTCAAAAGCCAGAGACCCAGAGTTCTGATGGGCAAGAGAAAAACAGTATCTTGTCTGTGGAAGAAGGAGTAAGAGTTGCTCTTCTATCTTTTTCATACTAAGCCCCAGTATGTTGGATGGTGCCTGCCCACGTTGGGGGCAGATCTTTCCCACTCAGTCCAGCAGTTCACATACTGATATCCTCTGAAAACACCTCATAGACAATCCTGAAGTAATGCTTTATCAGCTATCAAAATATCTCTTAATCCATCAGAGGAATTAAGTTTTGGGTGTCGACTAGGACCTCAAGCAAATCCAGATTAAAACATTAGAGAGAAAATAAGGAATGAGTATGAAAGTTTCCATTAAGACTGGTGGTAAGAGGTCTCTCTGTTTTCTCCATACCACCCCTTCCCTCCCAATCAATGGATATGATGTTGAGGAAAGAGAAGAAAACCTGGAATTAATGAACATAACTAAGTCATAAGTTCAAGAAAAGAAAACAAAAAAGAAATCAAAAGGGAAAAGAGAAAACAGAGTCCCTAACATCATGGGAAGGAGGTTTCTGGGATATAGAATGCAATGGAAAGACCAAAAATGATGAGAATACTTTTGGAAAAATATAAAACTCTATTTTGAAATTACGCTGTTAGAATAAAGAAATAACACTGGATTTGTCTAGGGAGAATTTAGCCTGAAACAGTTTTTGCAAACTGGTGAAAATAAAAGGCAATTTATTGGGGCTGGGGATATAGCTCAGTCAGTAGAATGTTTGTCTTTCATGCACAAGGCTCTGGGTTCAATCCCCAACACTACACACATACACACACAAAAAAGCTATTTATAGAATGTTTCAGAGAGCAGAAATTCCTTCATCCATTCATTTATGAATCATGAAAGCCCTATCCTAGGAAGCACTATGTTAGGCACAAGGAAAACAGTATAACAAGACACTTTCAGCTCTTGCCTGATGGAGCTGATGGAGAAAGAAATGTCAAAGCAATAAAAGCAGATAGGGCATCTTAAAATTTGCCCACAAAATACGAGGATAAAATGAGCATAGTAGTGCGACACTTAATTTTATAAAAATACCTGGTTGGTTATTTAGTTAAAATATATGGCCAAGATATGAGGCTTTTTAAAATTTTGTTTTGTCTACAGCAGGATCTATAACCTCAAGTCTCCTAGCCAAATGCAAACCACCAACAACACAGAAGTCAGGGTGGGGTGGATAAATGGGAAAGTCAGGGTTCCTGAAGCCACATATGGGAGATGGCCAAGAAGTAAATAACACAGATGACCACACCTGAGCATTTTATCTGATTAGAAACAGTAACAATACAACAGCAGGGGAGTTTGGTGGAAAATTTTAGGCTAGAACCCTGGGACTGAGTTAAGCAGACAGACACTCCAGAATAGGAGAGCCAGATCCACTCAAAGTTGCCATTCCCTAGAGAAATAGCTTTAATTTTTTGAAAGAATACATTAATTTGGACAAAATAATTTTACAAATTTCCTAAAATGGAATACCATTGGAATACAAAAATACATGTACTTACTAGAGCTTACCTAGTTGAAGTTTATCAAGAATGTGTGGTGACTAGTGAATAAACTAGTAGATCTAAGACTATAGTAAATGGAAGAGTTCAATAGATGATTGATGTCATTATTAAGAAAAAATCATTTCATTTTTGGGTCATGCTTTTTCTTGTCTTACATTCACTATATACTCTTTTGAAGATCACAGTGGTGCTAAAAGTAAGATCCTATGCTGATAAACTGGAATCAGTGTACCTGTTACATTCAGTTTCTATGGAGCTGTCTCTGGCATGCATATCCCTTTTTTCTTTTAGAAACTATGGAGAAGAAGCTAGTAGAAGAAACAAAACAACTGGAACTTGAGCTTAACGATGAAAGGCTGAGATACCAGAACCTTCTGAATGAGTTCAGTCGCCTAGAAGAAAGATATGATGACCTCAAGGAAGAGATGACCCTCATGGTGGTGAGTCCAACACTTTTGCTTTTCTTTGAGATGAAAAATTTTAAACACATACAAAAGTAAATAGAATAGTAGAATGAACCTCCATATACTCCACAAACCCATTCCCCAGTTCCAAAATGGTCAACACATTTCTGCTTCCTCTTCTACCCTTTCCCAGCCCCATTCAGTGGTTATATTATTATAAAGTAAATCCCAGAAATCATTCAACTTTATTCATTAAGTACCTCAGTTTAGTCAAACACTTTAAAGATTAGACTAAAGAATACCAGAAAGTTAAAATAGCAGGATTTTTTTTTATAGATTGAATAGTTTAATGTAAAACTTGCATATAAAGCAAATATTTATGTAATTATTCCCTCCACTGGTTTTATTGTAATTTCCAAGGTAAATTCCTACAAAAGCAAAATGCCCCTCTATTTGTAACAAATTATCTTCTCTATTTCAAGGACTCTTCTGCATTTGCCAGTATATACTTTTTGTATTTACAATAGTTCTCCACTCTCCCTATAATATTTACCCTGCTATCAGGAAACAGACATCTATTTTTTTTTTAATTGTACTGGGGATCGAACCCAGGGGGGCTTTGCCACTGAGTTACATCCCCAACCCTTTTTTATTTTATTTTTGAGACAGGGTCTCACTAAGTTGCTTAGAGCCTTCTAAGTTGCTGAGACTGGCCTCAGACTTGAGATCCTCCTGCCTCAGCCTCCTTACTGGGATTACAGGTGTACACCAGCCAGCATCTGCCTTAAAGGCAATCTGATCATACCAATGACCAGAAATGCTTTAATATCTGTTATAGAAAGAAAAATAATTTTCTATGTGTACAGTAGGAGATTTGCTTCAAATTTTATTTCCGCCTGTATCTGCTTGACAGAGTTCTTTAAAATGTGATGTCTAAAAAGTCAAAATAAGGGCTGGGGCTATAGCTCAGTGGTAGAGACATGTGAGGCACTGGGTTCAATCCTCAGCACCACATAAAAATAAGTAAATAAAGATATTGTGTCCATCTACAACTAAAAAAAATTTAAAAAATAAGTCAAAATAAAAGAGATGATATTGATATAACACAAAAGAAATGTTCTCGTAACCTTTAGTCTAAAAGAGGCATAAAAGCTAATATAAATCTTACATTGGACTGTTATTTCAAACCTCACTGATCTACCATGATTTATATTTGCAAAGAGACATTAGAAGTAGGAGCAGGTCGCCATAATATGTCCAAAGAGTCTTGTCTTCATTTCCACACTTCATTTGGCCCCACTGAAAGATTCTTCTGTCATATTCTGATTCTTAGATTTTCTAGAGCCCTTTTTTCTCTCCTTCAGTGTTGATGTTCCCCAGAGTTCAATTCTTTTTATTTGTATTTATTTACTGGGTAACCATGCCAACACTTATGGTTAACCTTTGTTTCAGTTATTGTTAGAGCTAAGCTTTGTATTCTACCGGGCATTTCTGAGACCCACTAGCTATTTGAAATGTTAATAAGCAGCATTGGAAAAGAAATGATTCTGAGGTCAAATAATCAACCAAGTTAAACAGATTTTTTTCTATAGACTTTCTCAGATTCATTAACAGTATATACCTTGTGAGTCAAAGAAAATAAAATGAGAGAAATGTGTGCCATATACATAATCACTGAACATATTCTAGAGATATCTTGAGGTTATGGGTCTGTTTAGTCAACAGGGTAGTAATCTCTCTAGAAAAGTCCCTCCAGTAATAGCCATCCTCCAGCAACTTAACATAGCTACTTCTTCCTGCCAGGCAAATCTCTGCCTGCTGTCCATTCTGCTCCCAGCAGTGCTCCAAGAATAGCTTAGAGTCTTCATTTCTTATTTTTGGCCCTTAATTCTCTTCACTGAATGCCTGTGACTCACTCTCATTCCTTTTGGGTCACAAAATGGTCAGAGAAAGAAAAAAGCATATGGAAGAAGATCAAAGGTCCTTTGCTTCCTACTCAGCTGTTCATTAGGTACCATTTCCTAGCTCCAGATAAAATAATCAAGATTGTAGAAGTGCAGAGAGTATCTGCCAAGAGTTGCAAAGAATAAAAATTTGACTTTAAAATTCAGGACAACTAAAATATTAATGGCAATATCAAATATTTTAATGTTTACATAGCTAACAAATGGGTCTTGGCTAATAGTTCATTGACACTGTTTGCAAATGGTGTTCTCAGTGCTGTAATCCAGAGATAATGAATCATTTTGTAGTAAACAGACTCCTCAAGTGGATGGAGGGAAGGGAATTTATAAGACTGCCCGAAAGGCTTTCTGTAATCTATGTGATGTGCACACCAAAGAACACTGGTGAGTTAACTGTCACTGATTGCCAGGACATAGAATTGTTGACCTAGCTAGTATAAGAAGTGTTGTAGATTTTTTTTCTCCAAAAACATTCAGTTTTCCAGGTATTATAGGAGCAGAGGCAATGTAGAAAAGACTGATCCAGGGCTGAAGAGTTTCAAGCTAACAATAAAAGTAAAATGAGGCAAGGGAATCCAGAATTATGAAGTAAAGATAAGTAAATTCCAAGTAAGGAGGAAATCATGTCAACAATCATAATAAAACAGTTTCTGGGGGGAAAAAGTTACTACAGGAGAAATGATAGATAAGTAGCAAAAGAGAAGCAAGATGTGAATCTTGAAAGAACATGATAATTAAGTCAAGTGCATTGTCCTTGTAATTGAATACACAATGAACAGGGGAACAGAATCCTAAAAACTTGGAAACCCAAAGGTCACTACAAGGAAGTTGTTGAATTATTGAAGATTTTTTCAACAATTACAGCAGTAGCAGTTAACATTAATCGAATGCTTGTTATGAGCCAGACACTTGTTGAACTCTACTTGCACACTCGTATTTCATCCTCACATAAATCCTACCAGACAGATGATAATATAAGCTCTTTCATACTAGTGATGAAACTGAGGCCTCAAGAAGTTTGATAGGGGCAAGTAAGTGGCATAGCTAGGATTCTTACCTAGTTCTTTCTTGTGGTTCGAACCCAGAACACGTAAGCATTGCCCTGGGCTAAAAGTTACATTAAATAACACAGCAGGACTGGAGATGTGGCTCAGTGGTAGAATACTTATCTAGCAAATGGCAAGTCCCTGGTTCAGTTCCTGGCACTGCAAAAACTATTAAGGTATTCATTGTTTAGTGATAAGTGGGTGTGGAATAAATAAGGATCTTTTATTTATTTGTTTATTTAGCAGCAGCACTAGGGCTCAAACCCAAGGCCTCACACATGCTAGGCAAGTCCTCTACCACTGAGCTATATTCCCCAGTCCTTTCCCATTTTTAATAAGCTTGTTAAAAATCTTTGGGTGTTTACATGAACCCACTTTTTATTATTAATGACATAGCCCTTTATTAAATAAGTGTTATCCCATTCAGCTGTGGAATTTGGCTAGAAATCTTAAGTGATAGGCACTCTTATGTAAAGCAAATGGAATCAGGTTGGCCTTTGGCTTCATGTTTGGTGATTCTCCCCTCTAGCATACACCCCTGCTTCTATATCGTTTCAGAGACTCTGGGGTTTTCTTTGGATCTTCTCTCTACATTGGATGCACATTGGGCTGGCCTAAGGCTGTATTTGCTTAACTTTTTTATTCCCCATAAGCTTTTGAACACTGATTTTTCATAGTGACGTATATCATAAAGGTATCACTTGGACTCCCTGAATTATTAACCCCCAGGGGTTTTCAGAGGATTCTTAGAGCAGTTTTCTTACTTTCCCCAGTGTGGCTTAGCACTCAAAACTTTAAAGACCCAAAGGGTCTCTGCTGATAATAATTTTCATTTGGGTGCTGGGTTTTACAACTGTTCTTGTCACAATATGCTTGTATACCTTTCTTTGAGAAGAGGTGACCCTTTGTAAGGATCTGACCAAGATGGCATGAAACAAATCTGGGCATCAGTACAAGTCAGTGAGGGAAGATGAGAACTAAGGAAAGATGACTGTTGCCTTAACTATGTCTAGTTTAATAATGTATTAATTATATTTGGGTTATTTGCCTTGCAGAATGTGCCTAAGCCTGGACACAAGAGAACAGACTCCACCCATAGTAGCAATGAGTCCGAATATACCTTTAGCTCTGAAATTGCAGATACTGAAGATATTCCATCAAGAACAGAGGTACATTGTAGATGCCTATGACTAAAACGTGGGATATGACCATGCTATTGTTAATAGGGATCATTTCTGATACATAACTTGTAGGCACTTAATTAGCTGTGTACATATATACTACTGCATATGTTTTTGTCAATGCACATATGAACTTTTAAATTTTATCTTATTTACTTTTTTTGTGCTAACATGTACTGAATCCACTGAGCTATGTATCCTCAGTCCCACATTTTAATTTTTAATATAATTTTAATGGAAATAGTTTCTTTTAAGAATTCCCTTTTACATCTTAACATATTTCATGTATTAAAAAAAATCGAGGCTATCGTGAATTTATTTCTGGCTGTGATAAGTTATAAATAAACTAAGCACTTTGTCCTGCAGTATTCTAAATATGAGCACCAAAGAATTTAACAAAACTTTTGCCTATGTTTCATGCTAGTTTTTAACCAATGTAATTTTCTTCCACAAAAATTAAGGGAAAATAATTTAGAAATATACTGTAATTGTGCTATGTTATATAGTATGAAACTAAAATGATGTATTGTTTTAACTGCAAAAATACAGTGGCTTTAAGTTAGATTGTTCCCAACCAGTTCTCAGCTCTCCTTTTCAAATATGATATTAATTTCAGGCACAGTTCTATTTTTATCATAATTTTTTAAAAAATGGCCAAATCAGAAATAGACTTGTTCTGGCAGAATAGCTAAAGAAATTAAATTCTTCTCTCCTTTCTTGTCTTAGTTTTACTTAAGAAGGAAGAGTTTCTGCCACTTCTTTCTGATAATTTTGAAGAAAATGTCATGTAGTTGGATTGTCATATAACACACGAGACTTATAGTTTGTTCAAATTCACAGCTTTTAAGTGCCAGAGCCAGAAGTCAGTCTGAGGCTCATCTCTCTGGAGTTCATGTTCTTTGCTATATCATACTCTACTGCCTTCATCCAGGCATTCTGCATTACAATTCTCCTATGTCTTTCATGTCTATTGCTAACATATGTCTGGGCTCATGTATCCAAAAGTGTGAGCAGTACATAGTGGGGTTGGGGTTGTACCTTATTTTCTAGTGGCCTGAGGGTAACTGCTAGCATCCCAAATTTTAGTGCTTTGAAACAGCAATTTATTATTGCTTATTATTCTGTGGGATTTAACTAGGTAGTTCTATTCCATGTAGTGGTAAAGGAGTGCCTTTGGTTGGTTATAGTCAGCTAAGTTGCTTAGATTGTCTACTTTGGAACTTTGTCTGCAGCAAGTAGGTGGGTTCTAAGAGTTCAAGAGTAAAAGAGGTCCCATAAGAATGACTCAGTGTCAATTTTGCCACACGGTAGTCAAAGCAAATTATAAAGCCACTCTATGTTCAAGGAGCAGAAAATAGATTATCCATCTGTCTGTCTGCCTCTCTGTCTCTCTGTTGGGTGGAAGTACTGGGTACCATCTCTTGATGAGAAGAAAGGCATGTATGTTTGGAAGAACCATTGGTGGACTGATGGCCTTGACCATTTCTCTCTCTCTCTCTCTCTTTTTTTTTTTTTTTTTTTTTTTTGTACTGGGATTGATCCCATGGGCACTTCACTGAGCTACATTCCTAGCGCCTTCCCCCTCCCCCGCTTTCTTGAGACAGAGTCTCACTAACTTGCTTAATGTTTTCCTGCTGAGGCTGGCTTTGAACTTGTGATCCTACTGCCTCAGCCTCCCACTGGGATTACAGGTGTAAAGTTAGACTTTGAAATTAGGACTTCTGTCTGGGGTTATAGCTCAGTTGGTAGAGTGCTTGCCTTTGCATGCACAAGGTTATGGGTTCAATCCCCAGCACCACACACACACACACACACACACACACACACACACAAATCAAAATTAGGATTTCTGAGCTTCTAATGGATATAAAAGCTTTAGGACTGCATGTTTTTGGTCTCAATGAGAGTTTATAAACCGTCCACTTTAATGTAATATCACCTGAGTAGCTCCTGCATGGTAAGAAGTCATGACAAAAGGAATATGTTTGCTAGAAAGATTCTGTAGATAATTCTGAGCAAGGAGAGCTTTTGTTAATGTTTTAGACTGAGGATGTTATTTTTTTTTTAATATTTTTTACTTGTAGGGGCTGGGGTTGTGGCTCAGTGGTAGAGTGCTTGCCTAGCCTGTGTGAGGCACTGGGTTTGATATAACAAATAAATGAATAAAAACAAATAAATGAATAAAAGTCCATAAAAACAAATAAATAAAATAAACAAATAAACATATAAACAAATAAATGAATAAAAGTCCATCAATAACTAATAAAAATAAAAAATATATATTTTTATTTGTAGATGGAATAATCCCTTTATTTATTTATTGTTATGTGGTGCTGAGGATTGAACCTGGAAGCTGTGGCCATTTAGAAGTAGAAATTAATAGCTACACATAGTCTTCTAAGGTACCTCTTTCTTGCCCATCTTCTCTTCTGATAAACAATCTTTTTCTATTATCAGTTATATAGATATAAACCTTTCTGACCCTGACCACATACAGAATTGGGAGGATGACCACTGAAGCCTGTTATTAGAGCAAAAGCTTCCCACATGAGACGAGTGCTCTACCACTGAGCCACAATCCCAGCCCAGGATGTTATATTTTTAATTCCGAAACTTTTACATACTTCATCTAACTTTTACTCATAAGTTTTTTTGTCAGGGTCTCTGCTCTTGTCAGGCTTTCTCAAGATTCTTAAAGATTTTAGGGAAGGGTAAACTTTGTTTCTAATTACTGCCTGTTTTCTGCTGAAATTTTCTCAAATTGAGAGATTAAAGTGGGATTTAGTACAGTGTTTGTCTTTATTGAATGATGAAATATGATTATACTCCACAAATTGCAGACAGATTTTGGAGTGTTGTGCACTTTCCTCATACACTAACCCCCCCAGCAGTATCCTATACCCAGAAGTCTTTCTGTAATAGGCAGGCTTTTCACTGAGCAAGTCATGTTTGTAAATAGTCTCTTGTGACTAAATGCATACATCTGCAATGTAGCTGACTTTGGTTCGAACTCTCTGTTTCCCATGGAGAGACTAGTAATATTTCTCCCTCAGACTGAGTCAATAACCTTAGCCTCAGTCTCTCTGTGCTTCAGTTTCCCCATCTGTGAGGAGGGGATGCTATTATTATCTTAACTTACAGTGATGTTTTAATATTAAATGGATTAATTTTTATAAAATGCTTGGAATAGTATCTGATACATAGTAAGTATTCAATAAATAAATTCTTTTGCTCTAATAACAGGCTTCAGTGGTCATCCTCCCAATTCTGTATGTGGTCAGGGTCGGAAAGGTTTATATCTATATAACTGATAATAGAAAAAGATTGTTTATCAGAAGAGAAGATGGGCAAGAAAGAGGTACCTTAGAAGACTATGTGTAGCTATTAATTTCTACTTCTAAATGGCCACAGCTTCCAGAATCAGAGTTTCTTCTTGCAACTACTTTTGTAGTGGTCAGATTTACAAATTGCCCCTTAAAAATACAATATTGACTCCTGTAATATTCCTAAGTTAAGACTTTTTAAATTTTTTTAATTAAAAAATAGGAATCCTTCAGACTTTTGGAACAGAAGTCCACCTCAGTCATGTAATAACAGCAAACTTTGATGTAAAAAAGGAATTTATATTTTTCTAGCTTTGCCAAACCTTGATTTATTGTCATGATGGCACCTCCTCTGCTATTTCTTCTGAAGAACCTGATCTAACATGCCAGCTCCACTTGCCTTTCAGCCCTTCCCACATTTCCAGCATCTTCATGGGCTGGGTTTACATTGTTTCAGAACCATTGCTTCTCCTACCTCTCCTAGTAGCTGTTGATTAATTATCCCAGTTCTACTTTTATTCTAGCTTCTTGATACCTTCACACCAAGACAAGGGTCCACCATAACTTTCTCAATTTTTTCGTTAGGAATAATTACAGAATAACTGCCAGGTATATCGTAATTTTGTAAAAAAACTTCTCTTATCTTCTGATAGTCCCCAGATGAGAGATTGGTATTACTTTTTAGGTTAATTTCAAAGCTTCACTCTCTTCATAAGGCCTCAAGTGACAAAGTCCTTGCTAAAGAAGGAAAGCAAAACAAAATACCAGACACTTCTCTATGCAAGATGACCTAACTTTATTCTTGCTCATGTTTTTAGAGAGGATAAATGACATCTCTTTAATTAGATGTGTCATTAGGGATAAGAATGGACATCATCCAGAGCGCTCTTAAGTAATTATCAATATTTATGCCTCAAGTAGTTTTTCCTTTGGCAAATGTTATCTTTTATGTTCTGCCACCTCCTGTTTTATTATTCCTATGTGTAGAATTTTGCTCTTATCTAGCAATCAAATAATTCTATAAGGAGCCTTAATTGATATCTAAAGATGCAAGTCTACCCCATCTCATTTTAATAAGATTTCTTTTTAAATGCCCATTCAAGATTAGAAGAACAATTTTCAATTGATGACATTTTAGATACTATGAATGGATTATTATCTTCATTAATAAGATTCTATTATAGTTTTTAAAAGATTAAATAAAAATTTTAGGGACACATACATCATTAATAAATAAACACTAAAAATATATAATATGGAATGTTTGAATTATAAACAAACTAAAACATAGGTGTTTGTAGGATATATAAAAATGAATATTGGAGGGGGGCAAGGTGCTGGGGATTGAACCCAGGGCCCCACACATGGTAGGGAAGTGCTCTAGCATTGAGCTACACCCCCAGCCCTAGAAATAGATTTTTATATGAATAAATTTTTTTAAAGAGAGAGTGAGAGAGAGAGAGAATTTTTTTAAATATTTATTTTTCAGTTTTTTCCGGCGGACACAACATCTTTGTTTGTATGTGGTGCTGAGGATCGAACCCGGGCCGCATGCATGCCAGGCGAGCGCGCTACCGCTTGAGCCACATCCCCAGCCCAAGAATGAATGAAATTTTATAGTAGTTTTGAGACAAGATGTTATATCTGTTCTGCTAAGTTAGAGCAGACTTTCTGGTAAAGATCCTAAACCTAAACTTGATAGATAACAATCATTGTCTATCATATTATTATAAAGTGAACAGTAAGAAACAGTCCCAGTATAATTATTTGTGAGCAAATGACCTTGATAGCCTATCAATTCACACTTCTTAGTTCATTTTTTTTGCAGGGGAGTGGTGCTATTGGGGATTGAACTAAGGGGCACTTGGCCATTGAGCCACATCCCCAGCCCTATTTTGTATTTTATTTAGAGACAGGGTCTCACCAAGTTGCTTAGCACCTTGCTTTTGCTGAGGCCAGCTTTGAACTCACAATCCTCCTGCCTCAGCCTCCCAAGCCACTGGGATTACAGGCATGTTAGATTTAATGTAGAGAATAAAGAGTATTGTATGTGGGCATGTATGCATGTCAGTGAACAAATGATAGATAGGCAGAGGGAGAGAGAGAGGGAGAGAGGGAGAACAACTTACTTACCCAGCACCTTGCCTCTCCCCCCCAGATTACAGTTGATTCTTCTTAGACCTTTTTAAAATTGGTGTGATATTGCTCAAAATTCATTAAAGATTAAAGGTAGCTAATGGATATAAAATTTCTGGAAATATAAAAATTATTCAACCTTCTGAAAAGTCAAAGAAATGCAAATGAAAACAACATTGAGATGCTACTTTTGCTTTAACAACTAGCTTAATTTTTTTTTTTTATTTCAGCAGCCACTTTTATTCCAGGCAAGGTAGTGATTGTTGATTGAAGTATAAATTGGGTCAAATTACTTGACGTAAAAGTATTAATGTTTTGATATTAATGTACTGGGATATTTATTTTAATAACATTTTAATAACAGATGCCCATTAGTAAGGTAATAGCCAAACAAACAATGATATACTTGTCTACACAGTTAAATATCATACACTTAGAAAACAGTTGTAATACAGTGGTAAGTTTAAAAATCAATACAAACTTATAATGGAAATATTATTCCGATTCTTTAAATCTACAGATGCATTTTAAAAAAACAAGCAAATAAGGTGGGTTTTCCTCTGAACATGGAATTATGTTGGCATTTTCTTTGTTGTACTTATTTTCTAAATATTCTATAAAAGTCTGTTTTGCTTTTATATTAGAAGTACAAAAAAATAAACATTCCTTTGTAAGTGTACAATTGGAAAGACAAGATTTGCTTTCAATTCAGAATTATATTTTTACCATTTATTTAAATAAGTAAGTTGTTTTCCCTCTCTCACTCTCTCTCTACCTCTGCCTATCTCTCATCACTGACATGCATACATGCCCACATAAAATATTCTTTATTCTCTACATTAAATCTAACATATGTTCTCTCTTTTTACTTCATTAAAACTTAAAATCTAAAACAAACAAGTTAAAACAATTATGACACTTAGAACTTCTATGACAATAGTTATTTCTTTGCATTTTCTTAGCTTTAATTAGTATAACTATTTTTTCTAGTAGTACTTACTATAATTCTGTTTTGGAACCAATTGATATACTTTGTAAATGCTATTAAATTATCCTTCAGTTTATCAAGGGTTATATGTGTTTTGGCCTGTGTGACTTCTTGCTTCTCTTGACTCTCTTGTGATTTCTGGGGTTTAGGAGCCAAGCGAAAAGAAGGTACCTCTGGACATGTCCTTGTTCCTCAAGCTCCAGAAGCGGGTCACTGAGCTGGAGCAGGAAAAGCAGGTGATGCAGGATGAGCTGGACCGCAAGGAAGAGCAGATGCTACGCAGCAAGGCAAAGGTGAGCAATGCCATTCTACCCAAGAGCCAAGGATGCGCCGGGGGCAGGGAGACTGAGACTTTATATCTTATTCTTTAGTTTTTTAAACCAGAATTCAGCCCAGAAGCACCTTAATCTAGTGTGTTTGGTTAACTCTCCATTATTTTGTGTAGAACAAGTAAAAAAGAGTTAAAATGTGGCAATTAAAATATATTTAAGTTTTTACTTAATTTTTTCCCCCAGGAAGAAGAAAGACCACAAATTAGAGGTGCGGAACTGGAATATGAGTCCCTCAAGGTAATGGAAAATTTCTGTTCAGGACTTTAAATACCTTACTTTGGCAAAAGACCTGCTCAGAGCCTCTCTTTTTTTTCAGAAAACATCCTGAAGAGCTGGAAAATGTACCAGTTCTTGCAACCTAAGTCTTATTCAAGCACTATGTCTGGCCTATTTCCTTTTACAAATTCTATTTCATTTATACTGGACTTCATTCTAAACAGGAACAGGGGAAGCCTCTATTTGAGGCTACAGTAGTAAAGAACATGGACTCTAGTGTTACACTACCCAGGTTCAGATGTTCCATTTGCCACCATAAAAATCTGATTGGATATGAAGGGACAGACCAAAGGCATAGGAGTAGCAATCTGCTCTCCAGATAGTCTTTGCCTTATATAAACATGGACGAATAAAGACTTCTCTATTATGAATGAAACCACAATTCATAAAATATTAGATTAGTGGTTCTCAAAATCTGGTCCCTGGACCAACAGGATCAATATCACCTGGTAACTTGCTAGAAATGCAAAATTTTAGACCCCACACTATTACACTGTTGAATCAGAATTTCTAGGGGTGGAGCCCAGCAATCTGTGTTTTAACAAGAACTCTAGGTGATTCTGATCTCATTAAAGTTTAAGAAACACTGTACCTGAGCTCAGCCATCAAAGTAAAGATTTTAATGTGTTTTCTTTTATAGAAATGAGCAATGCAAATCTGATTGCCAATGGGTGGGAAATTGGGGATAGGAGAGGGCATTCATTTTCATAGAACAGTTATTCTATTACTTGGTAAAAGACCTGATATGATGCTACACACCCAAAATTGTTTCTCTGGGAATAAATAAAAGGATATTTGATCTTTGTATATATACAAGTGTTTCACTTACACTGAAATTGACCTTGGATCATGTGCTAAATAAGGCACCATGGCATTCCCACAAAAAAAGTAGACTTATAAATCCCTGTCTACTTCAGTGTTTCCAAACTGGTATCTTGTGACACTTGCTTTTTGTTGTCATTGTCAGTCTGTTCTGGGTTCCCGTTACCATGATTTGAACAGCATGGAGAGACCCAGCTGGTGGGCTGAGGATAATTGGAGCATGGGAAAGTACTGAGAAGGTGAAGGATATATGTCCATCTGGATGGCTAAGGGGAGAGGCATTCAGCCTCAAAAGGCCTCTTTACAAGCACCTCACACAGGAAAGAAGTCAGAATAATGTATTATTTAATGTCATTGAAACACTGAAAGGAACTTTAGAAGTTTAAATGATATCATATTTTTAAATGAAAAGCCCCTGTGGTGCAATGGCACATGCCTATAATCCCATTCACCAACTCAGGAGTCTGAGTCAGGAGGATCACAAATTTAAGGCCAGCCTCCGCAATTTATCGAGGCCCTCAGCAACTTAGTAAGACCCTGTCTAAAATAAAAAGGACCGGGGACGTGGCTCAGTGGTTAAGTGTTCCTGGGTTCAATCCTCCGTACCAATAAATATATTTATTTATTTATTTAAGAAGTTAAAGCCTGGGGGCTGAGGTTATGGCTCACATAGAGCGCTTGCCTACCATGCGTGAGGCACTGGGTTCAAACCTCAGCACCACATAAAAATAAAATAAAGATATTGTATCCACCTATAACTAAAAAATAAATATTAAAAAAAAGAAGTTAAAGCCTGAAATTTCAGTGTTCTTTCTATTCAGCTTTACAAAGGAAATAAGGACACTACTAAAAATTTCAGGGGTCCACCTATCTGAACTGTTCATTGGACATATCCTAACCAACTGGGTATTCAGATTTGCCCGTATACTTATCTACAAATAAAACCAGGGCTTCTTGGGACCAGCTAAACCTGCCCGTTGGGACTTAACAATCTCTCAAGAACTGTGAATTCTCACTGAACCAGTCTAGAATAAATTTGATTGGAATTTGGGTTGGTGATGCAAACTACCATTAACCTTGCTCAATTCCACTTGATGTCAGACTCCCTTAATTTGCAGAGTTCCCAGTAGAGCATGGGAAGCCATTCACTAAGGGAGCTCTCATGCCCTTTTACCATCAGAGTTGTTCTACCATCTTAAGGGAAGATGAGTATTTCAATGTAAGGCTGAGGATGACAAGCAGTGAACTTTCATTTATCTCTTCATTCAGCGTCAAGAACTAGAGTCAGAAAACAAAAAACTGAAAAATGAGCTAAATGAGTTACGAAAGGCTCTCAGTGAGAAAAGTGCCCCAGAGGTGACTGCTCCAGGGGCACCTGCCTACCGTGTCCTTATGGAGCAGCTGACCTCTGTGAGTGAGGAGCTTGATGTCCGCAAGGAAGAAGTCCTTATCTTAAGGTCTCAGCTGGTGAGCCAGAAAGAGGCCATCCAACCCAAGGTAAGCACAAGACATGGCTAAGGTAGTATTTGGGGACTGTTCTTCATTTCTTCTTACCCTTCCCTTCCAATTTATAATGAAGCAAACACTTAAAGCATATTTTTAATAAGATGGAAGATTCATTTTTGTAAATATTTCAGTGTCACTTTAAAACTGTTGCAAATGCCAATTATAGTTTGAAAAAAAATTCCAATTACAAAAAGCAAGTAACATCCCAAGTGATTAGATTATTGGAATTTTATCTCTCATCTGTAAGCCAAGCTCTTTTAAAATGAATCTTTTGCCATGCATGGTGGTGCTCACCTCCCCAGCAGCTCAGAAAGCTGAGGCAGCAGAAACCCAAGTTTGAGGCAAGCCTCAGCAATTTAGCAAGGCCCTAAGTAACTTAGTGAGACCCTATCTCAAAATAAAAAATAGAAAGGGCTGGGGATGTAGCTCAGTGGTAAAGCATCCCTGGGTTAAATTCCCAGTGCCTAAATGAATAGATAAATCTTTTTTGTGGTAATCTGGCCCCAATAAATTTTGGTCTAAAATAAAGTCCTATTGAATACAAAAATCTATAAATTATCCAACTCTGGGGAGACAAATGTGACTTTAAAGTCACTTGTTGAAAATAACCTGTTTAACTGGAAAGATAACATGTAAAAAGGTTATAAATAAGATCAGTCAGTGGAAGTTACGTGGAGATGATTCTGCTCACTCCAAGGGTTCTATTTAATAGTAGGAGCTGTCCCAGCTGGGAGGGCATTGTTCAAGGATTCAACAGAAAGCATTCCCACACTGAGGATATAAATGGTCCTGGGAAGTCCTTCTCTGTCCCCAAATAATTTGAGGCCCAGCACAGCCATACCCTGATAAGAAGTAAGCCTTTTTATCATCTGCCATCAGAGGAAATATGAATGGTTAGATCAAAATCTGGCTTGTCTCCCTGCCCATGTGTGTGCAAAAGAATGTTACCAGGAATTGAGGCAATAAAGTATCCCAGCTACATAACATTGCCATATAAAAAAAAATGCCCATGATATAAGATGATCTGTACACCTAAAAAAATATGTCACCACATCTGTTAGAAATGTTAGAAATGGGTGGGAAATTGGGTATAGGAGAGAGCATTCATTCTGTGGTTTAGATCCTTTACCTAGTACATTATATTTGGATTTGATAAAGGCAACTCACACTTTGGGATCAACAGTAATCCAGGAAAATATAAAATTTTAAAAATGAAGTATTTGAATAAGTATCTGGTTTTAAAATCCAGTAAAAAATGGAGTTATATAAATAAATGGGCTTCCTTCGGGCTGGAGATGTAGCTGAGTGGTAGAGTACACACCTAGCATGTGCGAGGCCCTGAGTTCAATCCCAGGCACAGCAAAAAAGAAAAGAAAGGGAAATGAACTTCCTTATTTTAAAACAAATCATAAACCCCTAAGTCTAAAGTAAGGCAAGTTCCAAAAGAGGACTCTGCATTTTGGCTGGGCCATATAGGTTGTTCCTTCCACAGGACCTCTCAGGTGGTTCCCTGGGCTACCACCATGGAGGGTCCTAGAGCAACAAGGCACTGCAACCTAGTTGGGGCAGAGTCAAAAATCAAGATTCTTTCCTATGGTTCCCCTGTGACAAACTGATAGTTGTTCTTCAGTTTCCTTTATTTACAAATAATAATTGTTTATATTTATGATATACAATGTGATAGTCTCATGAGAAACTTTAGTAAAAAATTAAGAGAAAGAAAAAGAAATGAAGCAAGGGGCATAAAAACAATCTAGTTAACAGAGCATATAGTTCTGGAATCACACATACCTACTTATCCAGCTCACACATCCCATGTGACAACTGTTCTCCTGCCCCCAGTGGGCTGTTCCTATTTAAGCAAGGTTCCTGCTCACCCAGCTCCCAGCCCGCGCCTGGCAACAGTCTTGTCCTCTCCTAGGAAAAGGGACCTGACACTAATTGAGACCTTCCAAACATTGTGTGGCTATTTGTTCCACTCAGTTTTCTGCTCAGAGAGACACATCATTTCACAACTCCTTTGCAGGGCAGTGGTGAGCAACACCCAGTGAGCTAGGGGATGATCCAGACCAGCCAGATCTGTTTCATCTGCTCCAACTCCAGAATATTCTGGGAGAGTTCACTTGGACAAATGTCGTCCTAGTTAGGAATCACTGTAACTCTCATACACCTAGAGAAAAGATTTTACCCATATGCATTAACACAAGGATTATTCTCTCACATACTCAAAAATATTTTACAACTAGAAAAACCAAAACAACTCAAGAAGGAATTTCAAGTATTTGGCCCTGAAAAATAAAAGGTGCCATCATATAAATACATATTCATGTCCACCTTATGCCAGTTCCATGAATAGTAATTTTTTTACATTTTTTTAGGGGAAACAACTCATGATTGTTTTTAGGTTAGCTTTTATTTCTTGTAGTGGGGATTCATTGATGGAATAATTGTATTTATTATATATATAATATGTATAATACTGTATATATTGTATTTATTCATGGAACTAAAGATTTACTGTTTTCTTCATTTGTTTTTTGTGCTTGCTAACTTGTGATTTTTCAGGATGACAAGGTAATTATAAGTTTTTTCCCAATATTAAGCAAATAATGGTACTTAATTATAACTTTAACTTACAGATATTCCCCAATATATGCAGTTGATGCTTTCTGGCCACCAAACCTATTTCAATATTTATGAATTAACTTCCTATTTGACTCCTTCCTATTTAAAGTTAATAGGGAAAACATAATCATATTAGATTCCAGTCTGGATCAGAGACTCATAACTCAGCTCTGTGACTCACTGTGGTAATTATGGTAAGCCATACAAATGGTGAGAAGAGCTTGGAGTACACTCAGATGTGCAAGTTCTTCTGAGTTCTCATTTCTACCAGTCATGATTTTGATAGCCAAGCAAGGGTGAGGAGGAATCTGAGGAACTGAACATATGTCCTTTACTTTCCTTTTCATCCCCCTGAGTACAGGGTTCATAGGGAGAATAAAAAGTGGCCTCTGATGAGGTTGCAAAGTCAAATTTCTCTAATACATCTTGTTTTCAGTTACTGAGTGAAAGATATTACGAGATTTTCATGTATAGTCCTACCCTTTCAAAACTTCTGGTCATTGGCTTGGGAAAACAAACTCTGAGAAGTCAGTCAGGAACTTCCTAATGCTGGTGGTCCAAATCTGATCCCAGCCCCCAGCTGCCATTTTTTAGTTAAGGTAGGTAGGACGGCAGAAGATTGATTACTTACTCCCTAGCACAGCTGCATACTAAGATGTCTCTCTTTCCCTTGAACCAACTAATTATATCAAGTTATCTAGTTTTCTAAAAGTTCAAAACCATTTCATATAGGTCCTCAGGCATTAGAGCACACATGTATCATTATTTGATGTATTAACTTGGTTCTTTGGACATTATCACTTACGGGTCTTAAAATCTGAGAATGACCCTTTCTGGAATAGAATGACTTTTTTTTCCTTTTATACAAAAAGAAAAAAGAAATTCTCTGAAATATATACTAAAATATTTATAAAACATAAATAAAGAAATGTTCTATATAGTATTTATGGTAAATATTTTTTAATTCAATAAAATATAAGCTTAATATTAATGGTTTTTCTCTGATTATATTTGATCATCTTAAAGAATACATTTATAAACTCAAAAGAACAGCATTAGGGGAAGAGTGGAATATTGTTTTGGTTATTTTTTTCCAGGGATGTTTCTTATACACATTGAAATTCAAAAACAAGCATTTGTAAATCTCTAATTGGCATTAAAGTTATCTTGGAACTGGTCTCCAAGGTCATGATATTTGAAGTGTATTCTATTAAATCCAGCTCATTGTGAGACCTGACAGCAGATGTTGACTGAAGATCAGATATATACTATTTAGACAGAGAGGGCCTTTGGGTTCTAAAGTATAGCAATCTTTAGAGATAATAGAGAAATGATGCTTCTTTTCTGTTTCTTCCCTGCTCAAAAGACATAGAAAGAGGCTGAATAGAAGCAAGATTTTGAAACTGTATTGGTTGTCAGAGAGAGATTGGACCAAAAGGGAAAAGAATGAAATAAGAAATATTGGCAAAAAAGTCTTTTTTACATAAAATCATTAGGAATTCTAATCCATCAGATGTTTATTGCAAAGGCTTATTTATCACACTATACTGTACCAGAGGAAAAAAAGAATTAAATAGCTGCAGATGGTAGATATTTAAAAGAATCTAAATCCCACTTCTATACATCTAAAGATGTAGGGTAAAACTTTTAAATTTTTCTTAAACATATTATATGAATGCCACCTTCTTTGACCTGAGTTTTAAATGAAAAAAAAAAAAAAAGCTTTATGTCAAACTTTCAGTTTTTTATTGGGTGTTTGTTTCATTCTAACTGGCCAGAAAGTAGTAAAAAGAATGGCTCTTTTATGCCATTAAAATACTGTCTGGTGTTTTTTTCTAATACTGTATAATATACTATATATGCATATGTATGTATAATTTTTACATAATATAAAACACATAGCCCATCAGTGGTGGTAATCACAGAGCAGTGGTACTCTAGAATCTCATTCCCTGTGTAGTAGAGTGTTAAGCATTCTCAGAAGAGGGACTGATGGGACCAAACTCTCCTCTGTAGTTACAGGGGCTGGGGCTGGGGCTGATGTTCAAATGGGGCTCAGGTGTGGTGACGCTTATAGCTCCACACCCTCAACTGGAGGAAAGGAGTATGTTATATGTGGTCCAAAACTTTTGAGTTGAGTCTTAATGTGGAAATGTGTCATTTCCTTCTGCAGAATACAATGACAGATTCCACAATACTTTTGGAAGATGTACAAAAAATGAAAGATAAAGGTGAAATAGCACAAGCATACATTGGTTTGAAAGAAACAAATAGGTAAGTCAGTGGTTCTTTTGTTGGTTTTGGTTTACCTGTGTTGGGTTTAAGTCTTTAAGCTAGACTTTTGTACAGTAAGTCAGCATATTTATTCATTGCTTTATTAGACATCTCATCATCTGCAAAGAGAATCCAAGATGTCCAATGTGAACCCAGTTAAAATCCCATTTATAAAATTAGGTAGTATTATTGATGGAGATGTCAGTGAAATTTTTATTTGTATTACAGGAAGATGTTGCTGTATATGTAGGGTCTTAGCCCTGAGGAGCTGTCTTGAGAAGAAAAATAGTTGTTCAGTTTGGGCTGTCTTGTGTAGTTCCTTTCATAGAATGGGTTAGTTATTCAGGATGGTTATTTGAAGGTTTGTAGGGACAAGTGAAGCTTTCAATAATTGAAATTTAGTATGAAGAATAGTGATAAGATATCTGGGATTACATTAGTGTTGGCCGGACAACTCTAAAAGGGTACTATGACTTTGAGGATGAGAGAATGAAGGCTCATAGATGGAATTCTCCTCAGCCTTACTGCCACTACACTTGTCAACAAAGCTGCAGTGTTATAGAAATATTAATATTAATGATTATGTGCTAGGTCCTTTTGAGAGAATAATGGCCAATGATAATTACAGAGAAAGACAATTCCAGAGTTATGTATTACCAGTGTTCAGTCTAGATCTCTTGATGCATAGTATCAGAATTGGTATTCGTAAATACTTCACAAACCAAAGATACTAGTCATACAAAAAGTAAGATACTTCTTTAATGGCTAAGTGTAGAGAATGCTTATGAAATTGTTTAGTTAAACTGAAATTCTAATTAAAATTTATGATTATAAATAATAAACATGTCTTTGTATCTAAGATTATGTTTTTATAGAAAGAGCTATATTAACTGTTCATGTATCCACTCAGCTATTCAGTCACCAGGTATATGTTGTATACCTACTTCATGGCAGACTCTGTGCCACATAGTGACAATACAGCAATAAGGAAAATAAATTAAGTCCCAGCTTTCTCAGAGATTATAGGCTGCTGGTGAGACAATCAGAGTGTTTGGATTTTATTCTGAAGATAGTGGAAAGCATTGAAAGGTTTAAGTAGGAGAATGATGTGATGAGATTTGAATTTTAGAAATCTAGCCCTGGCTATTATGTTGAGAGTAGATTGCAGTGGAACAAGATTGAAAACATGAAGACCAGTCACCAGATTGAAAACATAATCCAGTAACTGATTATAGTGATTTGGGCTTGGTTGGTGGCAGTTGGGATTGAGAGAAATTGGATACTTTGAAAGATACGTGAGAAAATGAGGTCAGTTTGCCCTTTTTGTATATTGAATATGTGGTGAAGAATGGGGAAGCCTGAGGTATGTGCTATGGACACTTGGTTGAATGTGGTGATGCCATTTCATGATATGAGACTGGAGTGTGGGACAGTGATCAGTAGACTTACACATATTGAATTTAAGGAACCAGGAAGACATCCAAGGAGGGAAATCCATTAGGCAATTGAATACATAGATCTGTATCCAGGAGAGATATTTGGGCGAGATATAAATTTTGAAGTCATCAAATTATAATAATACAATTGAAACCTGGAAACAGATGAATTTTCTAGGAAGAGATGGTAGATGGAAAACAGAATTCCTTCAATTTGTGTTATGAAAATATATCAACAAGATTATATAGCAAGAGTAAGAACCTGTACTCTATAGTCACACAGTGCTGGGATCCACTACTTACCAGCTGTGTAGCCTCTACAGGTATCTTACTTCCAAGTCTCCAAGTCTTCCTGTGTAATGTGGCACATGGTATATATTAGGTGACTGGGAGAACTAAATGAAATATAATGAAAGGATGTAGAACAGCATCTGGCACTTAGCAAACACACAAATGTTTGTATCTTAGAAAAAAACTATTATCAATTTTGTCATTCTTATCTGTTAACTACTTCTAATAAAATGTGATACAGCTCTAATATAAAGGGAGTTTCTCCATATATTAAGATTAGTCTTTGATGAAAATAACTTGAAATCATGTCATAAAAGCTGAATACATTGGACATGTTCTTATGTTACTCCTATAAAAAATTTTAAAACAAATTTTTAAATGGAGAATCAGATTTCATTAAGCTAAAACAAGTTCCTACCCAGAAGACTTAAAATTTTATTTTGAGATATACTGTGAAGATTGCCACATGAAGACAATAACTGGAGTTTTCATTCCACACGTATGCCATGGTTAGCCTCCAATCTAATGCCTAATATACAAAATCGCTCAGCCAGCTGAATAAAATGTTAAAAACAGAATTTCTTTCTCACTTTTTAGTTCATTTCTTATTTGGGGGGGAAAAATCTCTTGGTCTTGTTTTTTTGCTATAATTTCTATGCACATACATGTGATGTTACATGTTACCCATTTTTTAAAAATTAACCAAAAATAATTTTTGTGGTAATGTTCTAGTGTTATCTGTGATAAATAAAAACAATCTTACTCACTTAATAAAATATTGAAATACCATGTGCTACTCTTGACCATCATCATCTCATTACCATCCTGTATTCCTTTGTGTTTTGCATTTTTGTTTCATTTGCATGGAAGATCTTCTGCTATGGATTACCATGAATTGAATGAGGATGGAGAGCTGTGGCTGGTTTATGAAGGGTTAAAACAAGCCAACAGGTTATATTTGTGTCCTCAAAATGGAATGTTATTAATTTGTTGTTTTTCTTACTAACAGTGACCTTGTGACTTTAACTCTGTGTTTCTTTTGCATTGTCTTCCTGGGTAAATCAGTTTCGTTAAAACCTATTAAACTTAGAACATTCAGCCAGACACCTTCTCAAAAACCTTCTCCTCTAAGAGATACTATTAAAGCTAAAATTGATTGATGGTGAATATGAAAATTACTTCCTATAAGTGAATGATACTTTCTAGAGTGAATATCTAAAAGTTGTGAATCTCTCTCTCTAGGAGTTGAGAAAACAAAATCTTTTAAGTATGGTACAAATTTTGGGGGGTAGGAACTAATATTTATTACTTAATTAGCAGCTTCTTGTTTCAAAGATCAATCTACATGATATATGTACCTGTAGCAATGTGGCTGCTTTCTTGTATATTATTATACTGCCTAAAAATAATATCAAATAAATGATTTGGCATTCCTTGTGGTTATTACAAAGTTCACATGCATGAGACAACAAATCAGGAGGGTTTCATGTTTAAGGGAAAGAAAATAAATTGAAATAGCAATATCTTTTAATGCAGATAATCATCTGCTTATTGACATGTATATCTTAAATCTCATAAAAATCCATTTTAGAATTAAATTTTTAAAAGTCTTAAAATACTGTTTGTTCAGGGGGCTTCCGCTTATTCTGCTTTGTTTATTCTAACCATAAACCTCTGTCATTAATTTTGAAGTATTATTGGTTTAAATTCTTTTGAAATTTTAACAGCTTGCTTGCAATGGCATCAGTAAGTTTTACCCAGCAGTTGGCAAACCAAGACAGTTAGAATAAAAGAATGTCTTCTTTTCTTTCTTCACATCAGTTAAATTTTTTTTTTTTTTTGGTGGTCGTGGTGGTGGTGGTGGGGGTAACTGGGGATTTAATCCAGGGGTGCTTTACCCCTAAGCTACATCATCAGCCCCCCTTTTTTGAGACAGGGTCTCCCTAAGTTGCTGAGACTGGCCTCAAACTTGTGATCCTCCTGTCTCAGCCTCCTGAGTCACTGGGATTACAGATGTGTACCATTGTGTTTTTTTTGTTGTTGTTGTTGTTTTTTGTTTTTTTCTTGCATCAGGTCTTAACCATCACTTCATTTTGTGTTTAGAAAAGGAATGACTGTACAAGCAGGGAAGCACAGTGAAGGGAGGATGCTCTTACTCTCTGGCATCTTTGTTGCCAGTGCCCTCATCTACTTTGTGGGCACAGCTGGCTACATGGTTGCTCAAAGAAACAGTAACCACTTGTTGGTCCTGTTAATACTTGTATTCCAAAACCATGTCGTGTTTGGATTCTGTTACTGTTATATAAATTTATGGGGAGAGAGATGATGATAAATTTAAAATATGTGCATATATGAAATTACAGAACTTTCTGTCTGAATTTAACTAAATCTGCATATATTTTAGAGTAAGGCTCCAGCATTTCTGTCCTTTAGTGATAAGAGTAAAATATAAAAATGGGACCCTGGTCCCACCCTCTACCTAGAGTTAGTAACTATAATCCTTAAAGGCATATTTAATTAGATTGGGAGTTTGTAAGCTTGCCCTTATAGTGCAGAGTTATTTGGTAGCAGTGATACTGTGTTTTCCACATTTAATTCTAGCTTATAAATATAGAAAGCCAGATTAGAGTTAGGTCTTTCCTTTTTTTTTTAAGTCATCATTTCCTATGAATTTTTTAAAGAGCTAAGACTCCTCTGTCTCTTCAGACCTCTGAGAATTTTATACTGCTCAGAAAGACACAAATATGAGAGTGTTCACATACATTTCTGGTCCTTGTTTGGGTTTTTTTACTTTAATCAAGTCAGAAGATTCAGGGCTACTAGAGAGTACCTGCTTTTTCTACTTTTGTAAGTGAGCATGAAGCCCTACCCAACACCACTTAGGCAGGAACTCAAAGTGTCATCTTTTCTTTCTACTTGTATGGCTTCTCTTCAGGCTCCTGGAATCCCAGCTGCAGTCACAGAAGAGGAGCCATGAGAATGAGGCTGAGGCCCTCCGAGGGGAGATCCAGAGCCTGAAGGAAGAGAACAACCGGCAGCAGCAGTTGCTGGCCCAGAACTTACAGCTACCCCCAGAGGCCCGCATCGAGGCCAGCCTGCAGCACGAGATCACCCGGTTGACCAATGAAAACTTGGTAAGTAGAAGTACCACCCCCCTACCCCCACATGCCCCCTCTCAGCAGGCAGTGCTTTGCATTGCTGTATATCTTGGTTTCTTTTTGATCAAACACAGCTTTTCCTTGCTGAGAAAATTTCCATGCCCCATATTTGTTACTCTCTTACTCTAATAGAAACAGTAAAGAAAACATGAATAAATTTGTACAAATGAACAACCTGCACAGGTTGTTCTCACAGAAAGCTCCAGGTGTCCAAGTGTTCTCAGATGTCATTTGGAAGGTCAGGAAGAGAGCCACCCAACTACAAACTGGGTTTTGATAGAGTCTGAGGCAACCTGCTTCATCCATTTCAGCTAAGGATTCTCTGCCTTCTCAGGAGGTTTGGTATGTGATTGCCATGACAGATACTGGGCAATTTTGCTTACATTTGGTCCCCAAGCAGCCACCAAGGCCATCCCAGCCTCTCTCTCAGGCAGACAAGAGCAGGTTAGAGTAGAGATCAGGGAAGGTGGTTGGCAGAACCAATAAGGGGCTTTTGGTTAATGCTGGATGGAGCTTATTGACAGGAGAGGGAGTCAGGATTCAGGTTTAGACTTATTCTTTTAAGAAGAACTTGTATGTATGATTGCACAATGGTGTGACTCTACTTCATGCTCAACCAGAGAAGAGAAAAATTCTTCTCCATATGTATACAATGAATCAGAGAGCTTTCTACTGTTATGTATAACTGATTAGAACTAATAAAAAAATTAAAAAAAAAAAGAAGAACTTGTATAACAAATGCAGAATTTTTTTCCCTTGCCAGATTTTTGAACACTGGTATGGAATCCAAGTTTTTTCTTTTCCTTTTTCCTTGTTTGTTTTCTTTTTTTACTGAAAATATTTTCTAAGTTATTTGTTTCTGTCATATAATAATCTTTATTACAGATTTGTTGTTTTTAAAATCTGACAGATATACACATAATATTAAAAATCATTGAAAGATTATAATTCCATACTTCTGTGTAAAATCTGTATTGTAGTGATAGCCTGATTTTGAGAAAAGTTTTTTAAGACTTTTGAGAATTTGTCTTTTTTTTTTAATTAAGGTTTCTTAATGACCTATAATAAAATACTTTGAATTCTCTCTGAAAATTTGCAATCTGAATCATCTGTCCATTATTTCATTAGTGATACTCTATATTACAAATAGATTTCTAGTGTCATTTATCCAGCCATTTTTTGTGTGAATTAGAAGCAAAGTGGAAGGTATTCTTTTTGCAGTCTGTATTTCTGTGTGAGGCTCATGGTGGGAATACAGGAAGAGGGTGAATGTTGTATTTGGACTCTTCAGAGTGACTGAAATCTTGCCAATTTGTCAGAGAAACTACTGATTCATTAAATATTTTTGAAATGTCATTTATTATTCCCAAGTATATTTTGTTGCTTAAATTAAACTAACAATTCTTTGGTGACTAAGAATTGATAAATATACTAACTAACATTGATTGATCAGTAAAAAAATTTTGTGCTTATAAATGATTGTCTTAAAATACTAGGTGAATCTGAAATAAAGGTGCTTCTGGGTGGCAGATTCCCAAAGTTTATACACGAAGTTGATCAAGTATTTCCTTTGCAAACTGTCGGTAGTATTAATTTTTCCTAGCAATTTTCATAGCTAACATAAAAATAAAATGGGCCTCTACATTTTAAGCCATAAAAATCTGGTTAATGAGTTTGAGTTTGGGGAATACCCTTTTAAGTCAGCTGCTTCTCTTGCCATTACACTGACTACTAATTCAGGAGAATGGATTCAAATAGAAGTACATGAAATTATGTGCTTTTGCCAACTCATTATGGTTTCTCAATCTCAGTTGTGTAATTCTTGGAAGCACTTGAGAAGAAAATTCAAGCAGCAATGGACCTAGGCTTAGTGTTCTTGAAAATGAAGAACATTAATGGAAATGTCACCTTGCGTGACATCCACCAGCCACCTACTGCCCCAACACAAACACAAGAATGGTATCTCTCCTTCTCTAGTGAACAGGTTTCACAGACCTCCCCCAGGATGCCTTTCAGGGAAGAAGGGCCGAGGGTTTCTCACCATTCTCTCCAAACAAGAGTACTAACAGTGCCAATATTTTCCCTTTAATTTTATTTGCCTTCCCTACCCTTGCTATGGCTGCCAGTAGCAAAGTAGGTCTAGCAAACTCCTGAGCATCACCTATGGGGAAGGCTAGAGATAAAAGGGTAAGAGGGCTGAAGACTGAAGTGACAGCCTTGTCTGGGCAGTGTGGATGACCATTCTGTTTACCATCTAAATGATGGTGTCCTGGACATCATTCATTTCTTTTTATTATGCAAAAAATCTGTAAGAATGTAGTTAAAATTATCCATACTAGAAAATAATATATAGCAATGACAAATCAGAGTCTTCTGAATATATACAAATTCATTATTTGTGTTTTAAAATACTTTTAAGTGAATTTTGCTGAGAGGTAGTGTTCCCTCAAAGACAGGGGGAAAAAAACAAATATCCATTATGCCTGTTTTTTCAGTATTTTGAGGAATTATATGCAGATGACCCTAAGAAGTATCAATCATATCGGATTTCACTTTACAAACGGATGATTGTATGTAAAACCACAGTGTTTTTTCCTTGTCTTCCTGCTAATTTTAGCCCTCTATATCTGAAGAGCACACTGCTGCCTGCCCCTCACCAGAAGTCTTTTCAAAAACTTTGACAAAACCTATTTCTGCCCACAGCTATCTTTTAGCCAGTGGTGTCATCTCTGTCAGTGTCCTGCGTCCATTCTCATGTGTGGTTTGTTATTAACACTAGGCTTACAGTGTGATGGAAGCAATATGATTTGAAAGATCACATGAAATCCAAGAAGCAATTAGCAGTTTGAACAAAGCATTAGCAACTATTCCCTTCAAGTCATCATTTTAGCCTGTAATCCCAGTAATTCTGGAAGCTGAGTCAGGAGAATCACAAATTCTAGACCAGCCTCAGCAACTTAGCAAGGCCCTGTCTCAAAAAAATCCAAAAAGGATTGGGGATATAACTCAGTGTTTAATCCCCAGTACCAAAACAAAAAACCCAGATCATTAGTCTAGTATCTATATCCACTCCTGTCTAAACTGGAGAACAAATGATATTTGGATTTGTAAACACTTGTCTTCTCTGTAACCTGAATGAAAACCACAAACATCCCTGACTCATTTCCCTTCTAAACTCTGAGTCTGCTCTTATTTGCTTTAATTTTTGAGTTTCTAATTATGTGCTGGCATTTTAGAGAATTCTCTTTTACAGAGACAATAATCATACACTTTAATACCTCCCACCATAAACATACTGTTTTTCCTCTTTTGCATTACACATTCATAATTATTCCCTTTCTTTGTATATATCACCTGCAAGATTTCATGAGTGTCTTGTGTCACCTGCCACTTTGGCCCAAAGTCATCAAACTGCTCTTTATCCCATTCTCTATGATTATTTTTCAACTTACCTTTTAATTCCCAAAACTTTAAAGTTTCAGAGCTATTCTAACAGCTCCAAAGAATGGGTCTGTCATAGAGTAGGGTTCAATTCCTGCTTGATAAGTTCAATGATCCTTAAATCTTCTCCCAAAACCTTTTGTGAACTCATCAAAATTCATGCTTGCCTAGTTTCCCTTTAAAATAAGCCATTTCACTGTAATAACAATATATTGAAAAGGTTTGATTATTTTACCCATAGAGAGTCTACTTAAAAAGACTCCACAGGAAGCTTGCCATCCATCACGCTGTAAAGATTTTACTGCATTGTGTATTTTAACATTTGGCTTTATTATAGCTGTATTTCCCATGCCTGCCAGTTTTAGCCAGGTGGGGGCTCCACCAACAAGCTGCTCTGAAGCTTTTTTGTAAACTAACAGTACTATTTCTGTGATGCTGTGTCAGCTCTCCCTTGGAAAGGGAAATTTTAAAAGGGCTATTTTGATCTTTTTGTTATGTTTCTCATTTTGATCTTTAGGATTTGATGGAACAACTTGAAAAACAGGATAAGACTGTCCGGAAACTGAAAAAACAACTGAAAGTTTTTGCCAAAAAAATTGGTGAACTAGAAGGTACTAAATATATTTTTTATATGACAGTCATTGAATCTTGGTTGTTTATTGCTATACAAGCAGCCTAACAAAGACTGTATGTGAATATTAGGAAAAATAACCTTTAGCAAACCTAATTTCTGTGGAGTGGAAATTCCTATTTCTACATGAAGAAAAATGTTCTTTCTGTGGTGGGAATTATATTTTCAGAAGGAGAGAATTCATTCATCAAGCATCTAATGAGTGTCTCATGTATGCCAGGTAATGTGCTAGACAGTATACATGGCCATTAAGAGCATGGAATGTGGAGCCAGGCTTCCTGGGTTCAAGTTTTAATCATTCTACTTACTGCCAGACGTGCTGGTGCACACTTGTAATCCCAACAGCTCCAGAGGCTGAGGCAGGAGGATTATGAGTTCAAGGTCAACCCCAGCAATTTAGTGAGGGCCTAAGCAACTTAGCAAGGCCCTGTCGCAAAATAAAAATATAAAAAGGTCTGGGGATGTGGCTCAGTGGTCAAGTGCCCCAGGTTCAATCCCCAGGACCAAAAAAAAAAAAAATCCTTCTGCTTACTAACCATATAATATTGGACAAGTAACCAAACCTCTCTATGCCTCAGTTTTCCAATATGTTAAATGAAAATGTTAATAGTATCTGATATAGTTATAAGAATTGAATGAGTTGGTATGAATAATACATTTAGAATAGTTTATGATACATAGTAAATGCTACATATAACTTAGTTGTTAGTATTAACTTTTAATATTTGGGATACTGACAGGAGTGATATAAAGTCTGTTTCCTCAAAGAATCCACAGTATGATAGAGGAAAAAAGAGAAGCAAATAAAAATATGACTAATGAAAATAAAGAGGAGGATGGGAAAGGCAGCGGAGCACAACAGACACTAGTATGGCAATTTGTAAATCAATGGATGTGTAACTGATGTGAATCTGCAATCTGTGTATGGGGTGAAGGTGGGAGTTCATAACCCACTTGAATCAAAGTGTGGAATATGATATGTCACGAAATTTGTAATGTTTTGAACAACCCACAATAAAAAATTAAAAAGAAAAAAGAAAATAAAGAAATAAGATCTTTTAAAATATCTCATGGTTTCTTTATGATAATGGCAGGAAAACTCCTTGAGAAAAATTAAATATAAGTTGCTGTTATTATTATGAATAAATTAATCTTGTTTTGTGGATTAGTGTGTTTGTTCATTAAATAAATATACTGAGTTCCTGCCATGATCTGAGCACAGTTGTAGGCACCAGGGATCTAACAGTGAACAGGACTAAAGCCATATTCTAAGCTTTTTTCAACAAACTTCTCACTGCTTGAGAGATTTTAGAGAAACTCTTTGGAATTGCCTTCATACCTAAAATGATATTACTCAGCCTGATCTCCCATCTTATTCTCTAGATGTCATTCTGTTTAATTTCTGCTTGGCTCAAAGAGTTAAGATTCCCCACTACTGGTAATGTTCAAGAGAATCTACTATGATTGACTCATAAGTATGGTTTTCATTCCTCAAACATGCCAGGACCTATCATAATTATTCTGTTTGGCTTCCTGTTCTCCTGGTCAAGTCTACTCGTCCTTTGAGACCAGAATCATGTGTCACACCCTCAAAAGCAGCCTTTCCTGATCCTACAGATAGATCTTATGGCCCTGCCCTCTGTGCACCACAGTTTGGCTCACATCTTCTATGATTTTCACTACATCATATTTTTAGTAGTTTTCCTTGTTTGAATTATTGTCTTTCATGATAAACTATAAACTTCCTTAGCATAGGAACCACCTACCTCTTATCTTTCTTTTGTTTTCATAGCCCTGAGTATGGTGTCGGACCTATAATAGTCCTTTCTTAAGTGTTTGTTGAAAAAAATAAATAAGTTTCAGAAATATTTAGAACATGACAACTTGAATATTTACTTTAAAGAGGATATTTCTCTCTTAGATATACAAATACTGGAATAACTGTTTAGAAATCAGAAAGATTACTTTGTAGTCATATTTGATATATAATTCTTCATATAATGTTGAAATTTTGAAACCCCAAATCACACACTCACACATGAGAGATATACAATTTAAAAAAGAACTTTCTACACTTATTGTGCACTAAATTATATCATAAGGTTTTAATCAGACAAGAGCATTTGCTTGAAAGAAACTGATTTTAAGGGTATTAACTTGTGAGATTGCTTATGTTGATCTCCTACTGGCTTCTTTGCCATACATTAGTAATTTTACATTTTTAATCAGCTTTCTTTGATGTATACATTTTTAAAAGATAACATTAGAATATTTCAAGATGTTACTAATTTTAGGCTATTATTAATCAGAAATCAACTTTTCAGTGAAACAACCCTGACAAGTTTAAAGCTGATAGGTATAAAGCTAAAAACATTTGAGAAGGCTTAGATTAAGTCAAACAAAGACAAAATGGTTCTTAAGAAAGGTTATATTTTGAGTCAAGTGATAACATTAACTAGAGAATAAAATTAATAGATTTATGTGACCTGGAACTTATGGCAGGCATTGTCCCTGCTCTACCCTCAAATTAGGGAATATAGATGAAAGATTTTTCTAACACTTCTCTCTTTGTCCATGAATCTCACAGTTGTACAGAAAATACTGGCAACTTTGTATAGCAAAGCACTTTCTGGTAGCCAAAAGTGAATATTTTTCTTCAACATACTTAATGCATATATTATAACATACTTAAATCCTTTGGGTTTATAATAACACAACTCTTACCTTTTCCTATGGGCTACATTTAATTAAGGAGACTTTTTTTAAAATCCAGCAAAATCTGTTTTTAAAAATACCAACCTATATAATTTTTTAGCAGGAATTATATAGTTAAATGGAGAGTATTTCAAAATTTGATGTGCTTTGTGCTGTATTTTAATCTAGGATTGGGTGTTCCATCTCTGTTTTTGTAGTCAAGAAATTTATACCTGAAAGTCTTCTGAAAATCATTTGATTATTTTATAAGAGAAAAAAAAAGCATAGGTGACATTCCCAAAGCCTCAGCCAGTAAGATACAGGACCAGAACCCAAGCTCTCTGAGAACCACTGCTTTCTCTCCTTTGAGTCATGTTTTCCAACAGAGCTTCTCCACTTATAGGAATATATCTGTTTTAATTGAACCTGAGATCAATATCTTCCTGGTGCCAAGTGTGGAAAAGTAAAATTTTTTTAAAAATCCAATTTTCTTTCCTTTTCCATAACAAAAAGGTTAAGGAATGTTTTCCTTTCAAGTTTATAAAGAATTTAGAAAACAGTAATAGGGATTGCTTCAGCTTTTTGTAGAAAGAGTCTGCATTGGATAAAGCACTGGACTAAGAAACTGCCATCTCAGCTCATTTGTGCTGCTCTGACAAAACACCTGAGACTGGGTGATTTTTAAGCAACAGGAATTTGTTTCTCATAGTTAGTTCTAGAGGATGGAAGTTCAAGATCAAGGTGCGTGCAGGCTCACTGCCTGTTGAAGGCCTGATTTCTGTTTCCCTGGTGGTGCTTTGTTGCTGTGCCCTCCAGAGGGTTCATAGGCTGTGTCCTCACATGGAAGGGATGGAAGGACAAAAGGCCTAATTAGTTCCTTATAACACTTTTATAAGGCACTAATCCCATCCTTAAGGGTGGAGCTCCTATGGACTAATCACCTCATAAAGGCTCCACATTTTAATATTGTTGCATTGGGGATTAAGTTTCAACATAAACTTTGGAAAGACACAAATGTTCACACCATTACAGCCACCAATGTCTCTTGAGTGTTTGAAAACTGGAGTAGAACCAGGCATGGTGGCACATACCTGTAATCCCAGCAACTCAGGAGGCTAAAGCAGGAGGAGTGCAAGTTTGAGGCTAGCCTCAGTAATGAAGGGAGACCCTGTCTTAAAATAAAAAATAAAAAGGACTAAGGCTATAGCTTAGTAAAGTGCCTCTGGGCTCAATTCCTAGTGCCAAAAAAGAAAGAAAAAGAAAACTGGGATAGTGTCCTGGTTTAATCCCTTCCAGGCTTTATATTTTCCTGATGCTGCATAGAAGTTGACATTTTATTTTAATTAGTAAATAATTTTGCTAAATAAATCAAGATTATGTTGAGCTGATAGCTGTTTTTTATCTGTGAGTTTTTGTAAAGACTTAAGTCTCTAGGAAGAATTCAAAGGCAGAGAGAAAAATTTTAATGGGAAGATGGGAAAATTTGTGTGACATTTTTGTTCAGACCAAAAAAGATCCTAGTTCAAGATTTTGCAAAAAGAAAGTGAAGCTTTCTTTTAACATACAAGCTCTTTTATTGAAAGTATTCATCATATTTTATAATTTTGAGGTGCATGCTTCACATTTTAGCACCTCTGAAGTTGGAATATGTCTTAAAATTATTGATGCACTATTATCGTTTTATTGCCATTTTTTTCAGTGTTATATAAAATGGCATATCTCACAGTTAGTGGCATCTTAAGGAAGTATAAAAGTAGTAGGCTTAAAACATCTTCTTTGGGTTACATGGACTCTAGATTTTTTCCCCCCAGTACTGGGGACAGTGGCATTTTACTACTGAGCCTTTTTAATTTTTAATTTTGAGACAGGGTCTCAATGAGTTGCTGAGGCTGGCCTCAAACTTCTGATCTTCTTGCATCAGCCTCCAAAGTAGCTGCAATTACAGGCACTTATTACCACACCTGGTAGACATGTGCTTTTACTGATAAATCTAATGTTAAATTCGTTTCCTCCCAGTTTCCCCTCTTAGAATTATCTCTGTGGCTTAAAGTAACTAGAAACATAAATGGCAGAGAATTTATTATTTTAACACACATCAGCAGGCCCATAATCTCTGGAGGCCACAACTTCATCATCATTCCTTGTGGGTGTTGTGTTTAAACTGACCCCAGAAGTAATTAATATGAAAATAAATAGTTTTGAGTCTCCTCTTCTCTCACATAAAGTATTATATTATAAAACTCACCTGGTGGGTTTCAGACTGCATCTTGTATCTGCAGCACTAGATCACGGGAGTTGGTTGTAGCCCCTAGCTGTCCAATTGCAATCTGATCACTCTTTAGATATCATAGTGTTGGTAGATGGTGGTGATTCTACCTAAACCAGGTTTTCAGCACTTACAGTCCCAATATGTGATGTTGCATCATGAGGTGGAAGATATGTCACCATGCTCCATGCCACATAAGCAAGAGCACTAGCAGGTATTTTGTTCTCTATGATAATCTTTTCCTGTAGAATTGGTTTCTTAGAACTAGAAAAGGAAATGCCCAGAGCAACACAAAAGTTCTGATACCTCATGGAGCCAGCACCTTTAAACTTTCTAACATTTTTGCATCTGATCTGCATTTCATTTGACAACAATCTGAGAACCCAAACTTATTGTATGCTTTAAGAGATTTCTTTTTTTTAATTTATTTTTTTAGTCATACATGACAGTAGAATGCATTTTGATTTATAATACATACATGGAATGTACATACATCAATCATATTGACTATTCTATTCTGCTGCCCTTCCTATCCTCCCTATTCCTCCCCTCCTCTCCCATTCTTTCTCTTTATCCAATCTAATGTGACACACTTTTTTTTCTTTTTCTCATTACAACATCATATATGTATTCTGTATAACAATGAGGTTCTCCTTCCATCTTCTGTGCAACTCCCCTTCTCCCTCTTTTTCCCTCCCACCTCTCTTCCCTATTTAGTCGTAGTCTTCTTCTCATGCTCTTCCTCCCTATCCCATTTTGAGTCACCCCCCCCCTTATATCAGAGAAGACATTCGGCATTTGTTTTTTAGGGATTGGCTAACTTCACTTAGCATAATCTGCTCTAATGCCATCCATTTGCCTGCAAATGGCATGATTTTATTATTTTTTAGTGCTGAGTAATATTCCATTGTGTATAAATGCCACATTTTTTTAATCCATTCATCTATTGAAGGGCACCTAGGTTGGTTCCACATTCTAGCTATTATGAATTGTGCTGCTATAAACATTGATGTGGCTGTGTCCCTGTAGTATGCTCTTCTTAGGTCTTTTGGGTATAGTCCAAGAAGGGGAATAGCTGGGTCAAATGGTGGTTCCATTCCCAGCTTTCCAAGGAACCTCCATACTGCTTTCCAAATTGGCTGCACCAATTTGCAGTCCCACCAGCAATGTATGAGTGTACCTATTTCCCCCGCATCCTCGCCAGCACTTATTGTTGTTTGACTTCATAATGTCTGCCATTCTTATTGGAGTGAGATGGTATTTTAGAGTAGTTTTAATTTGCATTTCTCTGATTGCTAGAGATGGTGAGCATTTTTTCATGTATTTGTTGATTGATTGTATATCCTCTTCTGAGAAGTTTCTGTTCAAGTCCTTGGCCCATTTGTTGATTGGGTTAGTTGCTTTTTTGTTGTTTAACTTTTTGAGTTCTTTGTATACTCTAGAGATTAGAGCTCTATCTGATGTTTGAGGGGTAAAAATTTGTTCCAAGGATGTAGGCTCCCTATTCACCTCGCATATTACTTCTCTTGCTGAGAAAAAACTTTTTAGTTTGAATTCGTCCCAGTTGTTGATTCTTGGTTTTAACTCTTGTGCTATAGGTGTCTTATTAAGAAATTTGGGGCCTGCCCCCACGTGATGAAGATTAGGACCAACTTTATCTTCTATTAGACGCAGAGTCTCTGGTCTGATTCTTAGCTCCTTGATCCATTTTGAGTTGACTTTTGTGCATGGTGAGAGAAAGGGATTCAATTTCATTTTGTTGCATATGGATTTCCAGTTCTCCCAGCACCATTTGTTGAATTATTTTGAAACCCTATACTCTAATAAAATAGAGGATAGTGAAGGCATCCATAAATTTCTTAAGGCATATGAGCTACCCAGATTGAGTCAGGATGATATAACCTAAACAGACCAATATCAATTGAGGAAATAGACAAAGCCATCAAAAGACTACCAACCAAGAAAAGCCCAGGACCGGATGGATATACAGCAGAGTTTTACAAGAACTTTAAAGAAGAACTAATACCAATACTCTATAATCTATTTCAGGAGATAGAAAAAGAGGGAGTACTTCCAAATTCATTCTATGAGGCCAATATCACCCTGATTCCCAAACCAGATAAAGACACCTCAAAGAAAGAAAACTACAGACCAATATCCCTAATAAATTTAGATGCAAAAATCCTCAATAAAATTCTGGCAAATCGGATACAAAAACATATCAAAAAGATCGTGCACCATGGCCAAGTGGGATTCATCCCTGGGATGCAAGGCTGGTTCAATATACGGAAATCAATAAATGTAATTCACCACATCAATAGACTTAAAGATAAGAACCATATGATCATCTCGATAGATGCTGAAAAAGCATTTGACAAAATACAGCATCCCTTTATGTTCAAAACTCTAGAAAAATTAGGGATAACAGGAAATTACCTCAAAATGGTAAAAGCTTTATACGCTAAGCCTCAGGCCAGCATCATTCTAAATGGAGAAAAATTGAAGGCATTTCCTTTAAAATCTGGAACAAGACAGGGATGCCCTCTCTCACCACTTCTATTCAACATAGTTCTTGAAACACTAGCCAGAGCAATTAGACAGACGAAAGAAATTAAAGGCATAAATATAGGAAAAGAAGAACTTAAATTAGCACTATTTGCCGATGATATGATCCTATACCTAGCAGACCCAAAAAATTCAACCAAGAAACTTCTAGAACTAGTAAATGAATTCAGCAAAGTGTCAGGATATAAAATCAATACCAATAAATCAAAGGCATTCCTGTATATCAGTGACAAATTCTCTGAAATGGAAATGAGGACAACTACTCCATTCACAATATCCTCAAAAAAAAATAAAATAAAATACCTGGGAATCAACTTAACAAAAGAGGTGAAAGAGGTATACAATGAAAACTACAGAACCCTGAAGAAAGAAATAGAAGAAGACCTTAGAAGATGGAAGGATTTACCTTGCTCATGGATTGGTAGAATTAATATTATTAAGATGGCCATACTACCAAAAGCACTTTACAGATTCAATGCAATTCCCATCAAAATCCCAATGACATTCCTTGCAGAAATAGAAAAAGCAATCATGAAATTCATCTGGAAAAACAAGAGACCCAGAATAGCTAAAGTAATTCTAAGCAGGAAGAGTGAAATTGGTGGTATTGCGATTCCAGATAGAGCAATAGTAACAAAAACAGCATGGTACTGGCGCCAAAACAGGGTGGTAGACCAATGGTACAAAATAGAGGACACAGAGACAAATCCACAAAATTACAACTACCTTATATTAGACAAAGGTGCTAAAACCATGCAATGGAGAAAGGATAGCATCTTAAAAGAGATTTCTTAACTGCTTTCCTTTCCTGTAGATTAAAGGATAAAAATCCTGCTTACTATCACAATCATCAAGATAAGTTCACATGTTCCCTTTTGGTTCCCAACTTTGAGATGAACTTGGAGGCCTCTTTTTATCCTTAGCATAATTCTTCTCTAGCTGCTGTCATTGACAATAGTGACCATTTTTAATACTATTGTACTTCAATGATTGCAGCTTCATAGCAAGACTTTAGTATTCATTAAAAGCAACAAACAAGTAAAAAAAATATTTAGGAATTTATATTAAATAAAGGTGTTTATTTGTTTATGATTTCTTTGGAGATTAGAGGTGGCAGGAGAAAGGTGTTTGCCTTATGAGGCCCTTATGGAAAAAAATACATTTTCACATCAGTTAGTATGAAGGAACACTCTTGATGTGGTCTGAGATGATTATAATGATACATTTAGAGTAAATATTCTTTTGTTTTTAATGACTAGATTCTTAGAACTAGTTGATCTTGCTGTCCCCTTGTACAAAATTTTTTTTTCCTTTGTGAGAAACCTTATTACAAAAAAAAAAAAAAACTTGAAATTTTCAAATCAGTTCAGGTCAGATTATTTGATGTTAATAATATCAGGCTCTAGTGCCTGTCAGAGTAGCATCATCATTTAATTTTGCTACCTATCCACCCAATTTTAGCACCAGAGAATAATTATAAGAGGACAATTTTAAGTGGCAAATATGGCAAGTTTGTATTGTTACAGAGTTCATTTAAAATGATAGGAAAAATGAGAGGGTTTCATGTTCCTATCTAGAAACCATTCTGCTCTTTTTTTTTTTTTCCCTTATGAAGTGGGCCAGATGGAGAATATATCTCCAGGACAGATCATTGATGAGCCTATCCGTCCAGTCAACATTCCCAGGAAAGAAAAAGATTTCCAAGGAATGCTGGAATACAAGAAGGAAGATGAGCAAAAGCTTGTTAAGAACCTGATTCTAGGTAAGTATTCTCTACATGGGATAAAAGCTCTTTCTAGTATGTGTGGCAGTGGTGGGAAGACTAATCAATCATTTTTAAGTAGTCAACACTGAAGTTTCTTTAGTCGTAATTACATGCTGTACATTGCAGTGCTGCTGCAGCATCTTGACTACCCCGTGCTTTGTTAGTCAAACTGCAGGGACAAGTGCTTAGGACCTAACTGTAAGGATCTCTTGAGGCCCGGCCTTCTCAGTCCTATGGGCACATTAGAATCACCAACAAACTTTAGAAAAGTATTGATGGTCCCTCTAACTTAAGCCAATTAAATTAAAATCTGTAGGAAATAGAGCCTGGCCATGTCTAGTACTTTTTAAATAGCCTCTCAAGGGATTCTTACAGTTGAATACCTATAGGCCTTTTAGGTTTCTGAATTTCTGTTTTTCCTTACTTCCCTGGAAAGTTTTATATCTAAATATGTTGAGGACAACAGTTTAATAATAAAGAAGAAACAAAAGAATTAAGATAAAGATTCCAGTAAAGGAAGGACAGGGTAGGACAAATGAGAAGGGAGTCCAGAAGCATTATAGAGGGGCATCAGGCCTTGGGTATGAGCCTTCTGGCTCTGTGAGAAGACAGTTCAGGGGCTGGTGGTAAACAAGGAAAGAGTACACACACCCATGAGTTGTGAACTGAAAAACCTTAAAACTGCTCCGTCAGCATATGTACAGCATTCTACCACCCAAGTGCCAGGGTGACAGCAGTGTGATTGGCAGTTATATTTGATTTAACATTCTTCAGGTTCATGGCATTAAACTCAGAACTATATATGGGTACAGAGGTACCTCAGTTTCAACATGATCTTCATTTAGCAAAAATGTTCAAGAGGTCATTGTTTGGGGGGGTATAAAAAAGAATAAAGAATGAAGGAAGGTGTGTTGTTTTATATAAAATTTGTCAGGAAACACTTTTTTGATAAGGTAATCTTTGGACAGAGGCTAAAGGAAGTAAGAGAGCTGATATCTGAGTAAAGAACCTTAGAGGCAAAAAAAAATAGTAAGTTCATAGGCCTTGGGGTGGGAGCAAGCCTGGTATATTCAGCCAACAGTAAGGAAATGCATTTGACTGAAGCAGGTAAGCCAGGGCTTGGGAAGAGGAACAGGGCCAGATCACGTGGACTACATGAGGATTTCAGATTTTATAAATGGGTGAGATGAGAAGCTGCCTGGAGGATTCTTGAACAAGAGTTAGATAATCTTACCTATATTTTTTAAAAGAAATACTATAGTTGATATATAGAAAATATACTGTGGGGCAAAGGGTGCACCAAGGAGACCAGGTAAGAATCTCTTATAGCAAATCGAGAAGAGATAATGGTGGTCTAGCTAGTTACTGTAATAGCTAGTTACTGTAGTGCAAAGTAGTTTGGACTCTGGGTATATTTTTTAGGGAGAGCCAGCAGGATCCATTGGTGGATTAGGTATGTATTATGAGAAAAGAAAGGAGCCAAAGGGATGAGGAGGTTTATAACCTGAGATACTGGAAGATTGGAGCTGCCATTTCCAAACACTGAAAGAGCAGGTTTATCAGAGAACCAGGAGGTTGGTTTGGGAGAGGTTCACTTTGACATATCTAAGGAGAGATATCAAGAAGGCAGTTGATACATAAGACTGGAGTTCAAGGGAAGAGTCAGGGCAGGACATATAAATATTAGATAGACATGTCCCCACACTCAAGAATTTCTCCTCTTAACAATTTGTTAAAATACTCTTTTTTGCTGGACATGATGGCTCATGCCTATAATCCCAGCAATTTGGGAATCTTAGGCAGGGGGATTGAAAGTTCAAGGCCAGCACCAACAATGTAGCAAGACCCCACCCCCCACTCCCTTCCACCAAGCAACTTAGCAAGACCCCATCTCAAAATAGGAAATTAAAAGTACTGGGGTCATAGCTCAGTGGTAAAGTGATCCTGGGTTCAATTCCCAGTACAAAAAAAAAAATTTTTTTAAATCTGATTTACCCTGATTGATTGAACTTTATATAACTGTGCTTTTATATCTGGCAAAGCATGCTTCACAGAGACTTTCAATGTAGTATAATTTTACATTTTTTTTCATTTTCCAGAACTAAAACCACGGGGTGTAGCAGTCAATTTGATTCCAGGGCTACCAGCATATATTCTGTTTATGTGCGTTCGACATGCCGATTACCTGAATGATGATCAGAAAGTAAGGTCATTACTAACGTCAACAATTAACAGCATCAAAAAAGTATTGAAGGTGAGCTCAAGTTCATCAAAATTCTCATGATGAATGTTCATGATGACAGTCTGTGCAGACATGCTTTTTCTTCCATGGACTTGGGCAAAGTTGCTAGTTCTTTTCCAGTGTTAACTAAAAACTTGCAGTTTAGGAAACATTCTTCCTTGCAACCTCTCTATATACTTTCTTTTAGAACATGACTCAAATTGGATATGTAGCAAAATTAATTTGATATAATTGCATTTATTTGGGGAGTAAATTTAATCTCTTCATGGACAGAAATAGTCTGTTTTAAGATTATACTTGGAACTAAATTAAAAATATTCAGTGGAGATTAAGATGGATAGATAGATAGATAGGATAATGCTAATGTTAAAATGGACGTTCAATAATACATGGCTTATTCATATAAAAACAAGTCTGATAAAGCATTAAAATATTTTCTTCCAACTTTTGTACCCATTATTCTCCAACTCACCCCATAATTCTTCTTGTTACCTAAAATGCCTGCTTCCATGTGAAAAGCAACATAAGATGCTAATCAGAGAAGACAGACTTGGAAGAGGCAGCAGCATTATATAACCAAGCAGAAAGCCCTACATAACTCAGTAATCTCTGAGTCACCTTGCATAATCCTCCTCTTGGCTGTAGAGAAACAACGATCATCATACTTAGTTTTAACTTAGTGTTTCTGTGAGGAATTGACATAATGTGCTCCAGGTGCTTTGCCTTCTGATTATCTAACTTAATGAGGATGAAGATAAGTAAGTAGTTAACAGTGGATTCTCTCAACTCTAAGATGCCTTTCTTGAACTTTAATTGTGGTTATATATATATATATATATATATATATATACAAAAAATTTACCATATTAACCATTTATAAGTGTATAGTTATGTGGCAGTAAGTGTATTCACAGTGTGTACAACCATCAACAGCATCCATTTGTAGAACTGTTTCATCTTCCCCAACTAAAACTCTGTACCTATTAAACACTAACTCTCTGTTCCTCTCCACCCCCCATCCCCTGGTCATGAACTTCTGAAAAATGCTGGTTCTTAATCTCTATTCTGCAGATATTCTATTAATATCCACTGAAATGTGGAGTTTCTGCAGACTTAACTTTTAAAAACTGATTGATGTTTTCTGAATATAACTCATTTAATTTTTTACATATTGGTGCTATATTGGTGCTATATTGCACTTCGACTACAAGTTTTGCCACTTAAGTCAACTCCTAATTAGACAAAAGCAAAATTTTCCCTCAACCTTGCAAGAAGGCATTTATTTATTGTGCCACGTTGTTTAAAGATTAGAAAGGAGTGGGTGCTAGAACAAAATATCCTTTTGATGCCATTTAAAATTGTGGTACATGTGTCTCACATCTGGTTTTGATTTTAGCAACTGTTTTTTTCACATGGGCTCTGAAGCAGCATAACTAGCCAAGGACATATGGAGAATCCATACAGTTTTTAGCTCATAGATCATTTATTTCTAGTAAATCAAAATCTGCAAGTGTCATTGCATTCATCTTGTCTTCTCTGTGAGACAGTCAGATAATATTGATTTATTATTTAGTTTTGACCAAACATGATATTCTCACCTAAAAATATTGTTTTTGGCAAGCTAGATCTAGTAACTTTTTGAGTACAGAATTAGCATTCAATTATAAATTTTTTAAGTTTCCAAAGAAGCAAATGGTTTCTTATTTTGAAGTATTGAATATAGGATATTTGATGTTAATGAAAATAAAAGTCCCCTTTAGTGTTCATGCTGAAAGAAATGGTATGTATTGAGTTAATTTTTTTAAAAGTAGCTTAGCAAAGACTGCAGCCCAGTAATGAGAACAAATGCTGAATTATTTCTGTAATGAAGTCTTCTCAAGTTTTAACCAATTGCATCTGGTAATTCTCCACTCCCATTGGAGAGTGGGGATTCTGGTAATTCTTTGGTATAGGTGCAGTTACAAGCTTTATCTTGAGGTTGTTCCAAGGATCTCTGCAGTTTTACTTGTCTAAACATCAGCAGAGACAACCTAGACAAGAGCTTCGGTGTCCCTGTTCTACCAGTCAACCTGAGGCCAGCTTTGCTCTTGAATCTGGACTGATGGTCTTTCTCAGCTCAGCCCAGAGCCTTTATTAGCAGCAGTTGTCATGCAGGGTTTTTGCAAGACTTAAAATAGTGCTTGGTCAAACCTTCACTCAAGCCATAAGATGATTTTTTGTGTTTGGGAGTATCATAAAATTTTATGCACTTTTGGTACTCTTCCTAATATTGAAAGATTATTGTAGCTAGCTAGATCTTTCAGATATTTACCTTATGGTAAATTGAAGACCAGAACCTAATAGTCCTGTCTCAGCTAAAAAGACAAATTATGATTTCCATCCTCTGAGATTTCTTTCTTAAAGTCTTTTCAGAAAAATATTCTCCAAAAAGTTAAGGGTTTTAGTTTGTTTTGCACTTGATTGAGGAAATAATTTTATTACGTAAAGAAATGATTCAGTCTGGTGTTGTGGCTCAGTGGTGGAGTGCTCATCTTGCATGTGTTAGGCACTGAGTTCAATCCTCAACACCACATAAAAATAAATAAATAAAATAAAGGTATTAAAAAAAAGAAAAAAATTATTCTATGAGAAATCTGTCTTTCCCTGTGATATATCCTACTCCAAGTACACTTTTACTACATAAAGCTACTACCAAAGACCAAAGTCAGGTATTCTCATATAACTTTTAAGAACCTAGGTTTTGAGATATAGTAGAAAAGTTATTAGAATTTAACATTTTTAAAAAAGAACTCTTAAATTAAAAGCATAGCTATTTAGTGCTGGACAGCTGTCCCAGGTAAACTATTGTAGTTTTTTCTGTGCATCATTTTCTGGAAAAGGGTTTAAGCAAATATTGATAGTTCTGTGACTTTCCATATCCAAACTAGTTAATGGTTTTGTTTGCAGAGTTATAGAACTTCTGAGTATGGCTACTCCTCAGCCCCTGAACAACACCCAGACTCTTTTTCAGGCACAGTGACTCTCTTTTCCTCCCTTCCACTCTTTCCCATCCCTGGTGAAGAGCCAACCAGCTTCACCCTCTCTGTAATGCGCAGTGCAGGATTTTTCCCACCATTTTCCTGGTTCACTGCTCAGACATTTTATTATATTCTTGAAAAGATTTTTTAGCTAAGTTGGGTGAGTGCTTCAGACTCTTTTTCATATTCTTTTTTTTTTAATCAAATGGGGTATAATTCATATTCTTTATCATAAAATTTGTCATTCTCTTTTGAGCCTTTAGTTTTCTCTGATTTTTTTTTCCTTAACCCCAAGGGAAGTGAGTTCAGATCAGCTGTGGGTTGAATTTTTTATCGAATAAAAGAATAGCTAACATCGACTAAATGGGAATACTTTTTCTAATAGCAAGAAAAGTAACAGCCAATGAACCTATGGTTTATATTCTGCTAGCAATGATGTAAGGCTGCAATGTGACTTATTTATTTTTGTAATAGTTCATGATGGTAACTAAGAGAAATAGGCCTTCTGGTGTCTGTTCAATTTTTTTCAGTTGTTATTTCTCTAAGGAAAAGACAAATTTAGACTTATTCTCTTTTTCAGAAAAGAGGTGATGATTTTGAAACTGTCTCCTTCTGGCTCTCTAACACATGCCGATTTTTGCACTGTTTGAAGCAGTACAGTGGAGAAGAGGTGAGAAAATCTTGCTTATAAAACCAGCATGCTATTCTTATTGTTTTTAAGGAAAAATTTTAAAGTGAAAAATATTTAAACATATGTTAACTCCAAAACTCAAATTCAAAGATGGCTTGGGAATTCATCTTTTTGTTTAATGTTCATTACCTACCAAACAGTGAATTGAGGAATGACATCATTTCTTCACTGTTAGAGTTTAAATTATGAGAAAGCACAGCAAAAATAAAATAAACCTCAGTCAATGAATATTATCATAAATGAATCTTTTTGCCAGTACATTGAAGTGAACTGTCAAGAGCTAATATTGAAATACTGAATTATTTAGAAATTTGTCAGTTTTGGCTTGTTACTGGTGATCGGGGACAAAATATAATCTAAGATAATGTGTATTTTGTTTTTTGTTTGTTTGTGGTATAGGGATTGAACCCAGGGCGCTTTACCACTGAACTACATCCTTAGCCTTTCTTATTTTTTATTTTGAGACAGGATTTCATTAGGTTGCCTAGGCCTCCATTAATTGCTGAGACTATCCTTGAACTCCCAATCCTCCTGCCTCCACCTCCCAATCACTGGGATTATAGGCATGTGCCACCATGCCCTGCTCTCATGTGTCTTTTGATCTGTATAAAAATCTATATTACTTTTGTTTGTACTGATGTGTTCTTTAGTTGTTTGATAAACTTCAAAATATTTTTAAATTATGAAAAATAATAATTTTTATTAATAATTAATATTATCTCTTTAATAATTAAAATATCTATATTAATACATTTTATTATTTAGTATATATCTGACAGCACTCAGTATATTTATGTTATTTAATTTTTATAACATTTGCATGGTAGGAAATAAAAACCCAGTTTTACAAATGAAAAAAACTGAAATGTTGCCTAAGTCTGGGATTCTGGGACAGCCTACCTCTTCAAGCCTGTACCCCTAGCCCACTGTCCTCTACACCTCCCCATCCTTTGCAGAAGGGCAGGCAGAAAAACTGACCAATAACACCCAGAGGCAGAGGACTGTCCTCACAAATGATGGCAAATATAAAGATGAGCAAGACACCTGAGAACATGGAACTGACATAAGAATCCCCCAGAAAGTGCTGGGCATGTTGATGCATGCCTGTAATCCCAGCAGCTCGGAGGCTGAGACAGGAGGAGCACAAGTTCAAAGCCAGCCTTAGCAATTTAGCAAGGCCCTAAGCAACTCAGTGAGACCCTACCTCTAAATAAAAAATATACAAAATAGGGCTGGAGATATGGCTCAGTGGTTGAGTACCCCTGAGTTCAATCCCCAGTACCCACCTCCAGAAAGGCCATTAACTATGTCCTGTCCATCCCCACTTGTCCTTAAATTAGTTATCGGAAGGCAGATACTTGACTAAGGGCAGAATCCATCAAGTAAACAATTGCCTTTATTAAGCAATATCAAGTGAGCAGCATGTTCAGATGCAAAAATAACTGCAAAAACTACCTGCTTGTATAGTTAACTTTTCTTTTTAACAGCTACTACCAAAACATTTCATTCTAATCTCTGACTAAAAATAATGTGGATACCATGAAATATAATGAAAGGAAAATTTTTGTTGTTTACCAGTCTCTGTAGAAATTGGTCTATTTCAAGATTATGGAGGCCCTATGGGTGTAGTGTTTATGAATAGGACTGTATTTAGTGAGCTGAAGTTAAGAAATTAGTACTTTAAGATAATTTAGTGTTTAGCAGTAAACCTGCTATTTCATAAATGAAACCTCATTCATTTTTTTAGTTAAATTCCCCCACTTATTTCATTGACATTGCTATTAGAACAGCTTAAAATGCTGGGTTGCCAAATGTACCTATTATTCAAAAGCTTGTAAGAAGTGGAAGAAAGAAATGATAAAAGCAAACAAGCACATACCAGCAATTGAATGATTATCGTGGCATTTTTGTGTGGGATAAATGGAAACCCTTGGGAGAGAGAAGAAAGAGCATAAAGATGCTCACCAAACTGGAGATAGTGAGGCAGACAGAAGAGATGCTTGACCTCAAGTGTATCATTATGACTTTTCTTTATGACTCTAGGGCTTCATGAAGCATAATACCTCTCGCCAAAATGAACACTGCCTCACCAATTTTGACCTGGCTGAGTATCGGCAGGTGCTGAGTGACTTGGCCATTCAGATTTACCAGCAGCTTGTACGGGTATTAGAGAACATCCTTCAACCAATGATTGGTAAGGCCAGCACATCACTGAACATCACAGTCTGTCTATCTCATCAATAAGTGACTGCCAGTGGCACATATTTCAGGGCATAAATTAATGTGGAGAACATAAACAGCCCTAAAATTATCTGAGGAATCCCAGAACTCCAGCCATGGCTACCTGGCATACCACAGAAATTCATTTTTCCACATGATCAAAACAGCAGATCTGGATCCCATTCTTAATGTGTAATGCTTTTCTCTTCTTATTGTCATATTCCTTATAACCAGAAATAGACCTTATCTCTTGTTCAGTTTTCCATAATGCTTCAAACTTTGGACTATGGTGCTACTGCACAGGGCTTCCTAGGGGCCCTCATCTAAAAACAAGGAGGCTGGGGAAGGTTTGAACTTTGCCTAATAATCTACAGTGAAATGACTGAGAAGGTACTATGTCAACAAGAACATGACCCATAGGTTTGTCTCAGACACTCCAAGCTGAGTTGTACATCTGGACATTTTAAAGGCAATTTGGCTTAAGGTGGTTTCTCAGCTGAGTTGCTGGTGTGTGTGTGTGTGTGTGTGTGAGAGATATGCTTATGTATATTCAGCTCAATGTGTGATTCCATGTACCTCTCTTTATCAATGTGTACTCATTCTGGGTGTTTATTTATATATTGTACTATCTGTGTTTCTTTGGAATGTGTAGCAGGTAGGAACAGAATTTAGGAGTCAAGCTACTAGTTTTGAATGCATTTAAAGTTTAAAAAAATTTTTTTCAAGTTACCAGCACTGTTATCTTCATGCAGATTATCAGCAGACTCTTAAGGCTACTTCTAGCTACCTACTCTTTCTTTCTCTACCCATGTGTTTTTTCATATTTCCACAATATTTTTTTTATTTACCTTCTAAGGACTCATAGTATTCTATTGTTTTTTGTAGGCCCACAATTAACCAGAGACTAAAAGGTTAAGGAACACATGCCAGATGGCAGTTGTTTCTTCTATTGTCTACTAAAAGGTCAACCTGGCCAAAATAAAGGCAGTAACAGAGACAAAGGTCAGCTTTAGCAAATCTTTTTTTCTAGTTTTGTTTGTTCGTATTGGTTGGCTGAACAAGAAGTTTGCCTCTAAGATGTCCCACTCTAAATAACTGTTTCCATCTCCCAGGCATTTAATAGCAGTGACCCCCCCCAAAAAAAAATTGTCAGGGTGAGTTTCTGAGAAGCTGAGTTTAGCACAAAGAGGTAAAAATGAACCAGGAATGATCTTTGCTTTCAAGGGGTTACTGGACAGGGAGTGGACATCTCAGAAGTATCCTAAGGAAGGCATCAGCCAGATGCTCTGAGAGCACAGTAGGGGAGCAGTATGCCACAAACCAAAAGACTAAGTCCCGGGATGCTGAGGCTAGCTCAAGGTCTCATTGCTATTGTGGGAAACCCAGGTCTCCTCCAAGACTATTTCTAAGTGTCACATTTTTCTTACTGTTTTATTGCCTCTGAAACTCAAATATGAAGAATGCTTATCTTTTTTATTAGTTCATTATAGATATATTTAATATTGTGTTTCATTTTTCATTATTATACAAGCATAGAATATAATTTGCTCCAATTCAGTTCTTAGTACCTCCCCATTACCTCTCCTCCTTCCTCTCTCTCTGTTCCTTCCCTCTACAGTACTGATCTTTCCTTTTAAACTAGTACATTGTGGATATACATAAATGTGAAATTCACTGTGGTATATTCATATGTGTTCATAGAAAAGTTTGATCAGATTCATTCCACCATTCTTTCCTTTTCCTGTCTCTCCTCCCTCCCTTCCTCTATTTCACTGATCTATCTTCTTCTATTTTCATGGGATTCACACCCCTTTATCTTTTTTTCCCCTTATTTTGGTCTAGCTTTCCCATATGACAGAAAACATTCAAAACTTGACTTTCTGAGTCTGGCATATTTCAGTTAGCATTGATGATCTCCTGTTCTATCCATTTACCAGCAAATGCCATAATTTCATTCTTCTTTATGGCTAAGTGAAGTACCATTGTGAATATATAGCACATTTTTTTTATCCATTTGTCTGTTGACAAACACCTGGGCTGGTTGAATATTGTGAATTGTGCTGCTATAAACATTGATATTGTTGCATCCCCTATAGCTTGCTGATTTTAGATCCTTTGGGTAAATACTGAGGGGTCAGATAGTTGGGTCATATGGAGGTTCCATTTCTAGTTTTTTGAGGAATTTCCATACTTCTTTCCAGAATGGTTTACTAATTTGCAATCCTTCCAATAATATTGGTGAGTACTCCCCACATCTTCACCAACATTTATTATTATTTGTATTCTTAATAATTTCCAAGAAATGCTTATCTTAACACTGACCTCTCAAAAACCCACCCAAGATGCCATAGCTTCTCCTATCACAAGGCTACTACTTCTTACTTTAGAAACTACATCATTAAGGATACTTACTTTATTTTATTTTGAATTTAAAAGTATTTTGATATTTATTTTCATTTCCTTTTTTTTAATTCTTTCTTTCTTTATTTTAGACATACATTTTCATTTATTATTTCATTTATTTAATTATTTTATTATTTCATTTATTTTAATTTATTATTTCATTTATTTTCATTTTCAATGTTAAATTTGAATGCATATAAAAATATATATAGGTTTCATCAATATGTACTCATATTTACAAAATATATATTCATAGGACTCACAATTTACTCTTCCCTCTTTCAGGTCTTATATGTTTATGTATGTTTTCACACATAATTTTAAATATACATTCTTATGAATATTCATATTTCCTCATATTAATCTTAATTCTATAACACTAACCCTAGCTCAAGACAAAATTTGATATTACCCTTTCCATACCTCTCTATCTAAACCTAATGTGACTTAAATCCATGTACACAAATATGAATTTTAAAGGTTTTTTTTGACTTGTTTTTTATTTTTTTAATTTATTCTAATTTGTTATATATGACAGCAGAATGCATTTCAATTCATAGTACACATATAGAGCACAATTTTTCATGTCTCTGGTCGTACACAAAGTAGAGTCACATCATTCATGTCTTCATACATGTACTTAGAGTAATGTACCCTCCTGCCCGCTCTCTTCCCCTCCCTCCATTTTGGCCTATCTAAAGTTCCTCCATTCTCCCATACTCACCCCACCATTCCCATTATGGGTCAGCATCCCCCATCAGAGAAAACATTTGGTATTTGGTTTTTTGGGATTGGCTTACTTCACTTTGCATGATATTCTCCAACTCCATCCTTTTACCTGCAAATGCCATGATTTTATTCTTTTTAATTCCTGAATGGTATTCCGTTGTGTGTATACCACAGTTTCTTTATCCATTTATCTACTGAAGGGCATCTAGGTTGGTTCCACAATTTAGCTATTGTGAATTGTGCTGCTATAAACACTGATGTGGCTGCATCACTACATATGCTGTTTTTAAGTCCTTTTGAGTCTAAACCGAGGACTAGGATAGCTGGGTCAAATGGTGGTTCCATTCCAAGTTTTCAAAGGAAGCTCCATACTGCTCTCCATATTGGTTGCACCAATTTGCAGTCCCACCAGCAATGTATAAGTGTACCTTTTTCCCCACATCCTCACTGACAATTATTGGTGTTTGTATTCTTAATAGCTGCCATTCTGAGTGGAGTGAGATGAAATCTTAGAGTAGTTTTGACTTGCATTTCTCTAATTGCTAGAGATGTTGAACATTTTTTCATATTTTTGTTGATATTGTTGTATATCATCTTCTAAGAATTGTCTGTTCAGTTCCGTGGCCCATTTATTGATTGCATTATTTGTTTTTTTGGTGTTAAGATTTTTGAGTTCTTTATATATCCTGGAGATTAGTGCTCTATCTGATATGTGTGTGGTAAAAATTTGCTCCCATTCTGTAGGCTCTCTATTCACCTCAATAATTATTACTTTTGCTGAGAAGAAGCTTTTTAATTTGAATCCATTCCATTTATTGATTCTTGATTTTATTTCTTGCAGTATAAGAGTCTCATTAAGGAAGTTGGGGCCTAATCCGACATAATGAAGATTTAGGCCTACTTTTTCTTCTATTAGGTGCAGGGTCTCTGGTTTAATTCTTAGGTTCTTGATCCACTTTGAATTGAGTTTTGTGCATAGTGAGATATAGGGTTTTATTTCATTTTGTTGCATATGGATTTCCAATTTTCCTAGCACCATTTGTTGAAGAAACTGTTCTTTCTCCAATATATGTTTTTGACACCTTTGTCTAATATGAGATTACTGTAATTATGTGGGTTTGTCTCTATGTCCTGTATTCTGTACCATTGGTCTACAAGTGTATCTTGATGCCAGTACCATGCCGTGTTTGTTTCTATTGCTCTGTAGTATAGTTTAAGGTCTGGTACAATGATGCCACTTGTTTAACTCTTCTTGCTAAGGATTGCTTTAGCTCTTCTGGGTCTCTTATCTTTCCAGATGAATTTCATGACTACTTTTTCTATTTCTATGAGAAATGTCATTTGCATTTTGATTGGAATTGCATTAAATCTGTATAGTGCTTTTAGTAGTATGGTCATTTTGACAATATTAATTCTGCCTTTTCAAAAACAAGGAAGTTCTTTCCGTCTTCTAAGGTTGTCTTTAATTTCTTTCTTTAGCAATCTGTAGTTTTCATTGTAAAGGTCTTTCACCTCTTTTTTGATTCCCCAGTTTGTTTTTTTTTGTTTTGTTTTGTTTTTTTTTGAGGCTATCGTAAATGGGGTAGTTTTCCTAGTTTCTCTTTCAGAGATTTTGTCACCAATGTACAGAAATTCCTTTGGTTTAGGGGTGTTAATTTTATATCCTGCTACTGTGCTGAATTCATTTATTATTTCTACAGGTTTTTTGGTGGAATTTTTTGGATCATCTAGGTATAGAATCATATTGTCAGCAAATAGTTTAATTTCTTTCGTCTGTCAAATTGCTCTGGCTGGAGTTTCAAGAACTATGTTAAATAGAAAGGGTGAAAAAGGGCATCCCTG